AGGAAAGAGCATAGTCTATCTTACTCATTCCTTCTTCAGCTTGGTTCAAACCTCAACCTAAAATGTATTTTAAAATATGGATCTGTTTTTAAAAAAAAAGATGCAAGAACTGGACTTTGAGCCTCTTAATTTTGTTAGCTTTATGTTCATTTTGCCACCCAACTCTCAGTCAGGCTGTCTGCAGAGCGCACTATCTTCTTGCTTCCTGGGGCGTTTGAGATACCTGCAAACAGTTCTCACCTTACCACTAGCTTAGTCATCACTGGAATGTGTTGCACTTCTCCTGCACGGCGGCTGCATCTCCTTCCTCCAGTGCTTTCTATTATTACTGGTAAGTGTTCCCTGAGGCTAAGCAAGAGCAGTATTCCAGGAAGATTACTAATAACTTGAACTGCTCCTCATGGAGACCACCTTCCTTTGTCATTCTGCCTTTTCTAAACTTAACTGCAGTTTCTTTATTTTAAAAAATTCCATTGACTATAGTAACTGGCACTTAAAAAAAACACTTCTTTTTAAAAGCAGTGTTCTTTCTTTATTCTGTTATTCACACTGCTTCATAATGAAACAGCCAAGTGTGTTCCGTAAGAGGCCCAAATAGAAGACTACTCTGAAAAGAGCGTGAATAAATTCTTCGGATTCAAAGGATCTGGAGGTAACAGGAAGTTCCAGTTTCTTTGCCTCCGGCTTAATCAAGCCTTTATCAAAGCAGATTTGCTAAATCCAAAATGAAAACATTCCAGGCTAAAGTTTACCCCCACTTACTTCCCCCTCTCTCACGTCGGGACAGTTCTGGAGGTTTTCTTCCCTGAAGTGTCAGGAATTCCTGTTCCTTCCCCAGATGGTCAGCATTTGTACGGGTTTGTCCCTCCATGAGGGGGTTAGGGAGAGGTGACTCTCAACCTCAAACTAAGGGAGCCGGGCAAACCACTGGGGACACCCCTTTTCCCTTCTGCGGGCGGGCTGGACGTCCCAGGGTCTCAATGAACCACCCCAAGCGGGGAAGGTTGGTTCTCCCCCGGCCTCCAGCGTCGACCCGCCACACCCCTGGCCTTTGGCTATCCTAACCACGCAACTCCGCGCAGACCTACCCGCCGACGCTCCCCAGCTCGCTCCCCAGCTCCCAGCCGCCACACCCGAGGATTCCCTCCCCCGCCACAGCGGCGGAGTCCCTTTCTCCAGCCCTCCTCCTCCTCACAACGGTCACACCCGACGGCTCACTCCATCCTCAACGGTCACGCTCCTAGGATTTCCTCTCATCCGCCCGTCTCCATCCCAACCTGGGGTGCCCCCCCACCGCCGCTCCAGAGCATCAGTGAGGGACACACCCCAAAGTTAGGTGGCTTGAACTCACCGGAGGCGAGGGCGGGGGTGGCGGCGGCAGCCAGAGAGCACGGCCCGGGTGGTGTTGTAATGGTTTCCTGCACGTCACGACTCCTTTTCCAGGGCTAAGCCACTGCGCAAAACCCACTTTGCCAGGGACAAAGATGGTGGACAGGAAACGCCAACGTCAGAGAGCCTCGCCGCGTGACGTGTGACGTCGTCTCCGCGCGCCGGAGAAACACAAGGCGGTGATCGCGGTCGCCTTGGAGAATCGAAGATGTTTGCGTGGCCGGGTAGAGACCCGCCACCGGCGTCTCAAATGATGTTTAGTGTCTATCCCAAGAGATGTATTAAACAAGCTGGTGTTGTCTGGATTTGTTTGCTTGCACAGAAGCTCAAAAAACTTAACTGAAATATTCTGCCCCTTTCTCCAAGAAAAAAACAACTCGGCTAATTTCCCCAGCCAGTTCAGGAGTGTGGAAAAGGGTGATCCAGCCCACGTCTCTACACTGGCAGTGGGACAACAGAGTGGGGCAAGAAAAAAAGGCTGAGATGGCATCAGACCCGAGTTCAAATCCCTGCCTTGAATGTGACTAGTCAAGTTGCCTAAGGTCTCCTCAACCTCAGTCCTCTTATCCGAGAAATGAAGTCTCAAATGATGGACAGTACGTGTATCTCTCTTCTGTTTGTGAGGCCTCAGCGGGATAAAGTACGTTAAGCACCTAGCATGGAACAGGTGTGCTTACACAAAAGTACGTTCCTTTTGTAAACCACAACCCAGAAACCTCTGTACCCTCCCCTCAGGTTTACTGTGAACCTCAAACAACTGCTTTAAAACAGTCTTTTTGAAAATGTGGAGACAGAGGGCACACCTGGGGCAGAAGTGGAGGAGAACAAAATTTGAAAGGGACCAAGAAGGACTAATCAGAGAGGTAAAAGGAAAAGCAGGAATTATATCCATCTGGTCACTCTTCTACTTCTGAGGTCTAGCCCCCCCTCCCTTGCAAAATGTGTTGAATTAATAAATGTATAAGTGAGTAATCAATAATATCAACTGCCATAGAGATAAAGAGGAAAAGCTGGAAAGTGTCCAAGGATTTAGCAACACAATGGTCTTGGATGGCATTGCCAATGTCAAAAGCCACAACGCATAAGTTTGAGGATGAATTGAGGAAAGAATTAGTATATGTAAAGCACTTAAAACTATACCTTCACATAGTATAGACTATGTATTGGGTTGGCCAAAAAGGCCATTTAGTTTTTTCCATAAAAGGCACATTTTTCATTTAACCAATAATGTCATGAAATTCGGATATTTTGAGTATGTCAGCTATCTCCCACTATTGGATTCTAGTGGGTAGAGGGCAGGGATGCTGCTAAACATCTTCCAGTGCATAAGAAACCCCACAGCAAAGAAGTATTTGGCCAAAATGTCACTAGTACCAAGATACTTTGCAAACCACTTTTGACACATTGGATCAGTCACGGCACCTTCTCCTTATACTGCACAAATCGTTCTTTGCATTGCAGTTGTGTTTTTACCTTTCTTGAAACAATAAAGCATAATATACCAAAAAATGTGATTTTCTTCCATCATCAATATTAAAATGGCTGCACTAAAATTCACCAATTTGGTTAAGTTTTTCTTAAATGCACGTTGATATGACAGCTGTCACAATGCAATCTAACGAAATTGTTTCAAATGAAGTTAAAGACAACTAAGCACTACTAGAACCATTGTGTGGGAAAAACTAAAAGAATTTTTTTTTTGGCCAACCCGATACAGTAATTAATAATACATGAATAAAATGTTTTGCATATTCACAACTGTAAACCTACTTTTGTCCCATCCTGTATGAGGTTAGAAATATTGTTACCTTTGGTTAGATAGGATTTCTGTTTAGGCTAGTGTGAACTGCTGGTAGTTATCTCTTCCACTCAACTCATACCATATTTACCTGTCTAATGGCTCTTACTACATTTTAGTATAAGAGCAATCACTTTTTATGTCTTACCTATTAAAATAAAAACCTGAAGTGGGTTTTGTGATAAGGTGTTTATTAATGATTGACTACCTTTCCTTTTTCCTTCTGTAATAACTTGTTTACTTTTGGCTTATCCTTAAAGGATTATCAATCGAGATGTTTTGCTTTGTTCTGTCTGGGTGAGACTGGAGAGGAACTCCGAAGGTAAGTCAATAGGAATTTGAATAAATACAGTGACAGAAATCTGTTGAAGCTCATTCATTCCAACAATGTTGCCTGAGTGAGACTTGGCTAATTCTTGCTAGAGACATCTGATAGGATTGTGTAGTTTCTGTTCCTTCAGCGCTGGATTTCCTCCTTTTGCTAGCTACTCCATATACTTCTAACAAATTTCTCTAAATTAGCCTGTTTCTCTTGCTTTCAACCAAAGAACCACAATTGGTCCAAATATTTTAACTAATTTTCCACTTATTGTAGTTGATGTTACTTCTCAACTTCTTTTTGCTGTTCACTTAAGAAAAGCCTGTATAGAGCAGCTACCGTTGATGGAGCACCTAACATGTACCAGGTACTTGACAGAAACATGATGTCTAGTCCTTAAACTCTGAAAGGTAAAAAACCTTTATCAGGGGTCTTTCTCTAGCGGGCATTTTGGTAAAAAAAAAAAATCACCTTTTAGAACTGTAAGTAAGGTTAACTCGCAAGATATTTCTTTCCTATTCATATAACTAAACCCAAACCTTGTTTTCGAGGGTTTTCGTTATAGAAACCAATGATCTGTCTTCATACCGTAAGGCCCTCTGAGCAGTGAACAATACCTTCTATTTCTAGCTATTTAGCCCAGGGGTGAGGCAGGAGTTCTGGAGAAAGAAGACAGGTTGAACTTGCACTCTAATCCAAGTTCGATAAACCTGTACAATTCAAATGAGGCAAAGCTGCAGGTGATGTAAAAGCACTTAATAAACCGTAAGGTAAATTACACTAACTTTGATATACAATGTAAAGTAGTGCCTTGTCTCAAGCCTCCCCAGTTCACGCTACGTGCAATTCACCAGATTCTCTCACCTTAGCACTGGATTCATAAAGCTAATGGGACACACTCTCCCGTGTACAAAGATAGGAACCGCTTACATCTACTGTAGCAAGTGCCTAGAGTAGTGCTTGAATGCAACCAAACGTAGAAGGCGGGTAAGCTACCAGCTTGGACGAAATGCAGTCGTCCCAAGTTTTGAGGAACCGCAGGAAGCTTTCTCATTCTAATCCTCTTTATTTATCACTGGCAGAATACAGCTAAGGCCTCTATCTCCAGCCACGTCGCTTCAGATCTTTCTCGGGGATCACAAAATTTAAGTTCACCTCCACCCTGCCGCGCGTAGACCGAGCACGAGCTTTCCACCCCCTCATTCCCTTTCTCCCTCCGCCCCTAACTCAATCGCTCCCGGGACCGAGTTCTGGCGCCTGATGTCTGCGCTCCAAACATCTTCTCAAAAAGATCTCTGCAGGGACTCAGAACTCTGGTTTCCCCACCGAGACAGTGATGCATAAACTACTAGGTAAAGCAAACGAGCGGAAAAATCCCTCTCCAAGAGAACCCCCGAGGAGCCCGCTTTTCAGCGGAGGCGGAAGCGGAAGTGCTACTGGGGTCATAGAGTTTCCTAGTTCCGGTTTCTGGACGGCTTTTGGAGCTAGAACGCCTCTCGTCTGCTGTGGTTCCCCAGCACCGGCGGCTTCTCTTTCCGGGTGCAGCGTCTGTCATAAAGCTGAGACCTCCCTTCAAACGTGGCGTCGTGGGTCCTTCGCGCCTCGCCGGGGGTCAGCGTGCAAGGACGGGCGCACGCAGGATACTTAACACTCAACAGGCGCAGCCAGTCCGCGTACCGGGCCCGCACTGGCGCCCCCGAGCCCTCACGATTGGAAGTCCCTGATTCGCAGCCTCCGGGACTGCATTTGGAGAGGACAGCACTCCCTGGCCCGTACCTGTACCCCATAGTCACGCTCTGCCCTGTGAGGTGCAGCATTTCCCAAGTCCCCCTGTACCGCTTCCACCCACGTCTGCGTTAAACTTTGTCCTTAACCTCCTTGAGACTCCGTCCCCTCTACCTCCAGAAGTGGTCTTTTCCCCCAGTTCCCGTAAACATTGGGAGTTAAGTTTTGGATGTCCTGCAAAGATTACTTCTAAGACTGAGCATCCATTCGGTCGCCCGAACAAGTTCATGCTTGCTAGAGAGCTTGTGGGCAAAGGGAAACCCAGTGCACACGGAAAACGATGGCTGAGCACGGGGCGCACATCACCGCTGCTTCCGTGCAGGACGACCAGCCATCCATCTTTGAGGTGGTAGCGCAGGACAGTTTAATGACGGCAGTGAGACCCGCTCTTCAGCATGTGGTCAAGGTAAGGTATTATTTATTTAAACGGTTTTAGGGACGACTGGCTAAAAACCAAACCAATAATTTATTTGGTAGCCTTGTAAGTGACCAATTAGCATATATTCTGTGATTGAAGGGTTATTGAGTCCATGTTATGTGTAGAGTCCGGTAATGAATACCCAGCATTTCAGGAAGGACAGGGCTGACCCCAGAAGAATCTCAAAGTGTAGACTTTAGAGGGGAAAAAAGCAAGTGTAAATATAAGGCATAGTAGCTGTGAAATGGAACGAATTTCGTTTATTAATTTACTTTAATTTAGGTTCTTGCAGAATCAAACCCTGCCCGCTATGGCTTCTTCTGGAGGTGGTTTGACGAAACCTTTGCCCTGCTGGATCTTCTGCTCCAGCAGCATTATTTGTCTAAAACCAGTGCCTCATTTTCTGAAAACTTTTATGGCTTAAAGCGGATTGTTACGGGGGACACAGACAAGCTTCAGAGACTGGCCAGCGCTGGGCTCCCCAAGAAGCAGCTTTGGAAGTCAGTCATGTTCCTGGTCCTCCTTCCGTATCTGAAAGTGAAGCTGGAGAAGCTGGTTGCTAGCCTGAGAGAAGAGGATGAATATTCCATCCATCCCCCTTCTTCCCGCTGGAAACGATTTTACAGAGCCTTCCTGGCAGCCTATCCGTTTGTTAACATGGCCTGGGAAGGCTGGTTCCTTGTACAGCAACTCCGATACATCCTGGGGAAAGCTCAGCATCACTCCCCGCTGCTAAGTCTGGCTGGAGTCCGGCTAGGTCGACTCACGATTCAGGACATACAAGCTCTGGAGCACAGGCCAGCTGAAGCCAGCATGATGCACCAGCCAGCCAGGAGGTAAGGCCTTAACACTTCCCCCCAATATTTCGCAAATTCTAAAATCTCACTTTATAGTTTTATGAAATCACCTCCCTCAGTCCACTTTCAGCTATTTCATAAACCGTAGAAATAATCTGTGTTCATAAAACAAGCATTAGTATCCTGGTAACTCACCTCCTCACTAGTACATTTTTGTGTATGCTTGCTATGGCCAGGCCCTGAGCTAGGTGTTTGCTTTACATACATTATCTCAATCTGCATCACAACTCAATGAAATAAACTCGTTAGCCCCATTTAACAGTCAAGGAAACTAAGCCCTAAAAGCTAAATACCTTGCCAAGGCCACAGCTAGAAGGTGGCAGAGCTGAGATTCAAGCCAGATTCAACACAATTCTCAAGACTGCTCTCAACGACAGTGCTACTACTTCTACTTAGTGTTCATGTTCTCCTACAAGTTCAAATATATATTCATTCCTCAATACTGTGCTAAGTTAATTTGTGGTAAGTGAGTTGTTTCTTTTTCTGGATACACACACACAGGAAGGTCTATATAATCAGTGTCTCACTAATTTCTCAAAACACATAAAAAAAACCCCTAGTCATTAAAAACAAAACTTAGGCTCTATACTCTTAAATACCTAAGTCAGAAAGAGAGGATCATTTAGAATACAACCTTAAGGAGATAAGCCGATCTAGCAACTGTTAAATCCCCAAACTGAACTGGGGATTCTGATGAAAGTGTAAGAATTACATTTGCGTCAGTCACTCTATGATTATACCTAAATAAAGCTTCTCCTTCTGCCTCCCTGTTCTGCTCTCCAACAGTGTTGCTGAGAAGATAAAGTGGGCCGTGAAAAAAGCTGTGGGGGGTGCCGCCGTATCCCTCTCCTCGGGCCTTTCCGTGGGCGTGTTCTTCCTGCAGTTCCTCGAGTGGTGGTACTCGTCTGAAAACCAGGAAACCATCAAATCCCTGACGGCGCTGCCTACGCCCCCGCCGCCTGTCCACCTGGACTACAACCCTGACTCCCCGCTGTTACCCAAACTGAAGACTGTGTGCCCGCTGTGTCGCAAAACCCGGGTGAACGACACTGTCCTTGCCACCTCTGGCTACGTGTTTTGTTACCGCTGCGTGTTGATTTATGTGAGGAGCCACCAAGCCTGCCCCGTCACGGGTTACCCGACACAAGTGCAGCATCTGATTAAACTGTACTCCCCCGACAACTGAAAGGGTTGGCACGGTAAGGCCGCGGGGCCGGAGTCTTCAGCATGGTCCACGGCACTGTTTGATACTCCTTAGGCTCAATTCATAATTATATGAATTTTAAACAACGACATGGATTTCTTTAAAAGAATATACACCCATTGATGTTAACCTTCTAGCCTGCTGTCTGGGCCTCAACTTAGAGCTGACCGAGCTGGTTAGAGTGAGAGAGTGGGGATTGCAGGGGACAGTGTAGGAGAAGTGGGTAAAAGAGGATAATCAGCACAGAAGCTTTTCCTTAAAGAACAAAGAGGCACAGAAGCTCTTGGGGAAAAAAAAAACAAGTTAGACCTCAGAAAGTGGGTGGCGAAGGGGAAGCAGGCCTTTTCTTTAGAAAAGAGTGTTGATCTGCCTAGGAGGAGGAGGCTGGCTGTATCCCTTGGCAAACAATGTGAAGCGTGGGCTTGTTCTTTATGTTAAGCACTTCTGGAAAACAGGAATAGCTCCTTCTACATACTGTGACCATTGGTTAAGTAACATCTGCTGTAGTTTATCAACTTTTAAAGATTACTTCATTACCCATACATGTCTTTCCTGGGAAACTGGTTAAAGGAAAAGAGGGGTTGAGGGTATGTATAGAGCAACATTAGGGTTTCGGTGCGACACCCAAGTGCTGATGGGCAATGAAAAGATGGAGTAAAATACCGATCCAACTGTGTAAAGGAAGGATCTGTTCATAAGCTCTTTCTGCTTGCTGTTAACAGTTTGCTACACTGGCATGAATTATTCTGGCTATTTACTAAAGTTTCTGTGAAACACTTAAATAAATTTTAAGAATAAATGATTTTGGCAAAGTGCTGTCCCATGTTGTCATAATTATGTGGAAACTTAAAAGATTACTTGAGCCCTGGCTGGCGTAGCTCAGTGGATTGAGCGCAGGCTGTGAACCAAAGTGTCGCAGGTTCGATTCCCAGTCAGGGCACGTGCCTGGGTTGCAGGCCATGACCCCCAGCAACTGCACATTGATGTTTCTCTTTCTCTCCCTCTCTCTCTCTCTCCCTTCCCTCTCTAAAAATAAGTAAGTAAATTTAAAAAAAAAGATTACTTGCCCTGGCTGGTGTAGCTCAGTGGATTGAGCGCGGGCTGGGAACCAAAGTGTCCCAGGTTCGATTCCCAGCCAGGGTACATGCCTGGGTTGCAGGCCATAAACCCCAGCAACCGCACATTAATGTTTCTCTTTCTCTCCCTCTCTCTCTCTCTCCCTTCCCTCTCTAAAAATAAATAAATAAAATCTTAAAAAAAAAAAGATTACTCGAGGTGTTTCACGTAAATTTCTCATTCAGACCACCTTGACTTTGGGGGCATTTTTGAATTGGCATTTTGGGTTTTTTTGCTATTCCAAATACTGGTGGGGGGACCCTCTACTCCAGCAGCAAGAATTCAGCCTTGTTTGACCCATCTTGTATGAGAAATACTACAAAAACCAACCTCCCTACGTAGGAAAATTCATGCCTGGATTGGCAGGTGGGTGAAGAAACACGGGTTTGGAAATAAAAGTCACCATGACTGGGAGAGGAGGGACCAACGACACCTGTAAGCTCCTCTGCTGAGACAGGCGTTTCCAATACCTCAGTGCATGTTAGCAGCTCAAAGTACGCACATTCCCTCCCAGCACGAGGGTGATAAACCACATTCCAAAATGGAACATCCTCTGGATTTTAAAACATTAACGCTTTTATGTATCATAAGAAGAGTATATTGGATACTTGCAAAAGTTCTTCATATGAAAATAGCAAGGTTTTACCAAAGCAAAAACATAGTTAACTAAAAAAAAAACAAAAACATTTTGAATAAGTCAATAAGGGAACTGAACCAGACTCAGGACTGAAGTAACGCAGCACTCCGTGAAGGTATCGAAGCCAGATTGGTCACCTCCACCTAAGAAAAAAAAGCATGAACGTTATCAGTAAGATTCAAAAGCATATCAAAGAAACACATACGTAATAAAATCAGCATCCAGGCAGGCGAGAGCACGCCAGCGTGGGAACACCAGAATCAGCTCAGAGAGAAGATTGAGTGATCACGCCCTGGTCAAAGCCGACAGGAAGGACGGCCATACCAGGTCAGGCGATACTTCGCTCATCATCGCATCACTGCGTTTCACCTCGTGTTGTCTAAGAGTCTTTTCCCTTCCAGAAACACTTAGGTTTACCTATGAAAAAAAAGTAAAGCTTTCTTTTTAGGTGAGTTTAGCTTGCAACCATGGGCTTCCAATAAATATCTTCTATCTTCTACCATCCTTCGGTTTAACTCTGCTGAGCAAGTTTTGGGGGAGTTTTTTTTGTTTTTGAAATACAGAAGCAAAAATGGGTAAGCATTTACAGTTTTAAAACTTACAACATGCATTAAGAAAATCTCAGGGATGCCTGTGAAGGGATTTATGGTCTAGTTCTAAAGCAAAATTTTAGAAAAGCTTTTCAACTAAATTCCTTTATAAACTCCAGTTATATATATATATATATTGTAAATTTTATATATATATATAAAATTTACAATTCTGCACACAAAAATAAAAGGTAGGCCAATTTTTTAACACCATAATCTTCTATCTTAAGAGTCCAAGACCCAGAGAGGCTATGATTTGCCAAAGGTCCATAGCAAATTAACAGCAGAGCTAGAAAGAGAACTAAGGTCTGATGACTAGATTTACATTTTTCCACAATCAGCTAAATGTAATTTCATTTTTCTCCAAGGCATGCGCTAAAAGAAGCAATGTACCCTGGCTGGTGTAGCTCAGTGGATTGAGCACGAGCTGTGAACCAAAGTGTCACAGGTTCGATTCCCAGTCAGGGTACATGCCTGGGTTGCAGGCCATGACCCCCAGCAACCGCACATTGATGTTTCTTTCTCTCTCTCTCTCTCTATCTCCCTCCCTTCTCTCTCTCTTAAAAAAAAAAAAAAGAAGAAGAAGAAGAAGCAGCAGCAGCAATGTAAAGCCTGGGTAATTCACAACCTGAATAATTAACTTTTGAATGAAAATGCCGATTACATTGCATTTCTTTTAAAAGACACCTGACATGGAAAAGTACTAGGATCACAGGTCACCCTTTCCAGCTTTTCAGCATGGTATTGCGGGTCTCTACATAACAATTTTGGAAACACCACATGCTTCCTTCAGCCACTTCTAGATGCCAGTAGGTTGATACTCCGTGAAACTGACAACTGTTGGTCTGCGTTTGCCATTTAGCAGCTAAATTCCATGGGAGGGGGCGGGGCGGGCGGGGAAGTATAACAAAGTGCCTGTTCTACAGGTGCTATGCCTGAGCCTTAATCTCATCACCCTCTACACAATCACACTTTCCTAACTTTCTTCTTTAATACACTTCGCTCCATCTGGAATGCTTTCCCCACCCCTTTCAATCTGGAGAACGCCTAATAGCAGTTGTAAAACCTTACCCAAACGTCACCTTCTCTGTTAAGTGGTTCCAAACTCTATCAGTCACTCCCTCCCCGGACTCCCACAGCACGCACCACACGCCAGTTATTCAGGTCCCCCCACCTCCCCGTCTGCCCCAGCAGAGTCCCTGAAGAACCAGGGCTGTGTCTTACTGGCCTCTGCATCCATTATACTCAGAACGGCGTATAGGAGGAGGCCCACTAAGTGAGCGTTTAACTCAGTCAGCGCACGACCCTCCCTACGAAATCCTAAATTATAAAAGCATCAGCACAATTTATAAAGACCACTTACCTCCAACGCTTTACGTAGATAAGGCCCATACCTCAAGCATCTCTAAACCCTCGTTCCTTCCCCCAGCTTCTCCCTTATGGCGCTCTGCACGGCGCCCTGCGCAGGACAACCAATGCTTACACACAGTGGACCATCGAAAATAAAATAATAAGGTCCAAACCCTACCAACTTCAAGAATGGCTGAGAAAAGCCGTCCTCGCGGGGAAACACGAGTAAGGCTGGAGCCAGGGCTCACACCAGAGACGCAGGCAGGAGTCCTAAACCCTCTTCAGGAACTCCTAAAACTCCTGCTACCTAGACTTTTAAAAGGCTGGCCCGGGCCTGCGAAGAATGATGGAGCGGACGCCCAGGTTTCTGTTCCTCCGCTGTACCGGTCTCCCCACCGGCAAGGGGGCCCGCTGGCTTCCCACCACCCAGTGCGGCCTTCGCCGGACAACCAATCCCGCGGCGGCCAGCGAGTCACGTGGGACATCGCAAGCAGTGGGCTGGCACAGGAAACAGCCAATCAGAGGGCGAGACGAACGTCAGGGGCGGAGCGGGCGGGAGGACGGAAAGGCCTATTCCGCGGCTGCTTTGCGCGCTAGCTCCATCTTCAGGTTTAGGGTAGTCACCTTGCAGCCTCTGAGCAGTTCCTTCCCGCTCTGGGACCTCAGGATGACTGTCATCCCGGGTGGTTTTGCCTGTGCCTTGTTCACAGCTGGGAAGGGGTGTCTGAGGCGGTTGTGCCCTGGGTTTCTGGGAAGAACTATTGATTGAGTGATCCAACATTGTTTATTGCCAATTGTGCGGGTTCCCGCGTGACGGCCAGGGGTTGGGGTGGACTTAGACGAACGTGACCGTCTTCGTCCAGGGGGAATTTACTGGCTGGTCGGGCTCTCGGACGCTTCCTAAATAAGCAAGAGGTGCCGCAAGAAAAGTGCAGCTAAATATCAAAGAAGTGTGAGGGAGAGCAGGAGAGACTTCCTGGAAGAGGTGGCACTTGATCTGGGCCTTGAGGGATGGATGGGGTTTCAGAATGAGATTCTGGAAGAAGGAATGATTTCATTCCTGAATTAAATGAGAAAGCATTAGGGAGCTGACCAAATTTAGGTAAAGTTGAAACGTGTAGTGTTTCTCAAAAATTGATGAGTGAAACCCCTGTCTGGCGTAGCTTGGTGGATTGAGTGCGTGTCTGCGAACCAAAGCATCGCAGGTTCGATTCCCAGTCAGGGCTCATGCCTGGGTTGCAGGCCATGGCCCCCAGCAACCACACGTTGATGTTTCTCTCTCTCTCTCTTTCTCCCTCCCTTCCCTCTCTAAAAATAAATAAATAAAATCTTTAAAAAAAATGATGAGTTAGAAACACCGGCATCAAAAACAAACCACACACACGAAATACCTGGGGGAGAAAAAAAGACAGACTTACCGAATCAGATATTCTGGGGTTGGAGCAAGGGCATGCATATTTTTAATATTAGTCCTATGGGTGATCCTAAGTCACACCAAAGTGTGAGGGCCAGGGATGGTGTTAAAGAAAGGGGATAGTAGGAGATTCAAAAGACAGGTCAGCACTTGGTCAAGAACGGTGCTTGCTGGCAGCGTAGTTCAGACTACTCTGGAGAAAGTGAGAGACAGATTTAAAAATTCAGAGCCCAAGATGATAGATCAGAGATGTGCTTTAGAAAAATTCAACATGCAACTGTGTTTCTAAATAGCTTGAAGGAAGGCAGAGGGGAGCTATGGTAAGGAATTACAATGGTCCAGGGGAGAGCTAATAAGAGCCTAAATTAGGACTGTGGCAGAGGAAATGGAGAAGTAGCATAGGACAAAAAGCGTGAGGACTGTGATGAATGTCAGGGATGGATAGCAGGACATGAAAAAAATTAAAAGGAAGCATGGAGAAAAATGGAGGGTCTCTTTTTCCAGACCCACGAGGACATCCACTATGCTTTGACAACAGGGGGTCAGACAGTGAAGAGACTGTGTCTCTGCCTGTGCTGTCGCCTCTGCGTTTCCATGTCCCTTCCTCAGCCCGGCACGGTCTTACCTGCAGATTCCAGTTCAGAGACCATCTCACTTACGAAATCTTATTCTCACGAGCATAGTTATCGACACTCCTCAAAACACCCCGGGTGCACTGCTCATACATTTCTAATTCTCCAGAGTGGCACTCAAGTGCAGTGGTCATGCATATGGACGATATTTGCAAGCACCCCACATAGAAAAAAGTGAATAATAGTAACAGCACCTTCTTCACAGAGCTGCTAGATGAATGAGAACAATGCCTAGTACATAGAATGTATGTGTTACATTACAGTGAGTTGTTAATACATGTTTTCCCTCTCTAGATTGTGAATAGGACATGTATCATTCTCCTGGCTAACAGAAAGGATGCATGATGGAATGATAGTAAATGGGTTTTGGAATCGGATAGACAGGGGTTCAAATCCAAGCTCTGATACTTACTAGGTGTGTAACCTTGATCTTTCCTCCCCTGAACTCAGTTTATTTATAAGACAGTGAAAATAATACATGTCTTACAACTTGTTATAAGGACAGTTTGAGATAATCAAAGTTGCATATCCAGTACAACCAAGAGTGCTCTACCCAGCAAAGCTGTCAGTTAGAATCAAAGGACAGATGAATAGCTTCCCAGACAAGGAAAGCTAAAGGAGTTCATCATCACCAAAACAGCATTGCAAGAAATGTTCAAGGGTCTTTAAGATGAACAAGAAGTCCTGGGTGGCGTGGCTCAGTGGATAGAGTGCTGGCCTGCAAACCAAGTATGTTGCTGGCTTGATTTCCGGTCAGAGCACATTGCCTGGCTTGTGGGCAAGGTGTTTGCGGGCTGGGGCTGGGTCCCAGCTGGGGGTGCGCAAGAGGCAACCAACCGGTGTTTCTCTCACACATCAGTGTCTCTCTCCTTCTTGGTCTCCCTAAAAATAAATAAATAAAATATTTCAAAGAAAAAGGATTAAAAAATATGAACAATAAACAGCCATAAAAAAGAATGGAATCTTACCATTTGTAACAGTGTGGGTGGACCTAGAGAGTATTATACTAGGACTCAGGGGGTATTGTGCTAAGTGAATTAAGTTGGTCAGAGAAAGACAAATACCATATGATTTCACTAATATGTGGAATCTAAAGAACAACAGAAATGAACAAACAAAACCGTAACAGACTCATAGATACAGGGAACAGACCGATGACTGGCAGAGGGAAGGAGGATCGGACACTGGGTGAATACATTGAAGGGGCTGAGAAGTCCAAATTGGCAGTCACAGAATAGTCACGGGAATATAAAGAACAGCATAGAAAACACAGCCAATAATAATAGCATGATAACAGCATGGTGCCAGATGGGGGGGGGGGATCGCTTTTTAAAGTATATGATTGTCTAACCACGATGCTGTACACCTGAAACTAATACAAAATCATATTGAATGTAAACTGTGAAAAAAGAATTTTTTTATATAAAAAAAAGCAAGTTCCATGAAATAGGCAAGCTGCAGGCCTCTGTGTGGACATTCAGAAATGACCTAAGATTAGGTTTTTGAAAGTTGCTTCTCTTCCCACTTGCAAATCTGGTGTGAAGTTTACGAAGAGCTAAGGGAGCCCCTAGTAACATGTTGCCGATTATCACCATGGCTGCTGCTTTTTTTTTTATCTTATGGAATACCACTATTTGTTTACTCATTCTTACGTTGATGGACATGTGGGTTGTTTCTTCCTTCCTTCTTTCCTTCCTTTTTTTTTTTTTTCCATTCTAAATAAAGTTTTTGTTTTGACGTGTGTGTGGCCCCAGATTGTGGCACGTGTTTGGAACGCAGTAAGTGCTTAGTAACGGAGGAGTGAGTGAAAAGCGGACATTATATACCAGGCACCATCCTAAGCTCTTCACCGTACATCATCTCAATTTATTCCACAAGAACTGTATGGAGAAGTCACTATTAGCATCTCCAGCGGACACAGAAGGAATCTGAGGCTTAGATTAGTTTATCCAAAGCCTCAACCCTAGGAAGTGCCAGAGCCAAGATTTCAGCAGCCCAGGTGCCCCAGTGAACCAATGAGTGAAAGGTAGCAGACGCGCCCAGAGTCAGGCGGCGCGGCGAGGCAGAGCTGGCTCTGGCGACCTCGGTCGCTATGTTCTCCGGGAGTGAAGTGAGGGAGAGATGGAGGTTAGAGGTTTATGTCTAGTGTGCGCCCAGGCTGGATGAAGCGTAAGTATGTTTGCTGATAGATTGAAATTCTTAGTGAATAAATATATCTTACGTACATTGGGGGCTCCGGCTCTTTCTTAGCCAATTGCCAACAGAGTGGCCAGACTGCATTCCCAAGACTTAGGAAAAGGCACTGTCTAAGCTAGTGATTTCGAATTGCTTTGTATCACAGGCAATGGTCTTGAGGTCTCAGAACCAGACGTGAGATCCGCCCTGGTGTGATAACCCAACTATTCACAGCCACGTGAGTCCGGGCAGGTGTGGCCCCGTGTCATGGGGCCAATCTTCTCCAAGCTCTCACGCAGGCACTGTAACTCGGGGACCTGCCCCCCAGTTGTATCTTGGGAGGAGTTGTGGCCACAGCACCCCAGTCTCTCTCTGCGGGTCACACGCTGCCTCCCCCTCTTGTGTGTGTATCAAATCTCTCTCTGCCTCTCTCTTGGGAGAACAGTTATAATTGGATTCAGGGCCCACCCAGATAATCCAGGATAATCTCCCCATCCCAAGATTCTTACTTAATCACTTCACAAAAACCGCTTTTTCTTATAAGGTAATATTTGCAGGTTAATAATAATAGTAATAGTAGTAATAATTAATAATAGTAATAATTTTAATTATTAACATAATTAAAATAATAATAATTATTATATGGGCTACTTCAAGAAGCTTTATTCAGTTTAACCAACATTTCCAGATGAGATAACTCATCTGTTTATTTATGTATTTTTCAATTATAGAACCATTTATGTTCATTGTAGACCATTTAGAATATACAGAAAAGTTTGTTGTTGTTTTTTTAAGGAAAAGAAATTAAATGAAAACCATCTGTAATCCTCTCATCCAGAGACAGCCAGCTTCATTAGTGAGCATTTTTTTAGGCTGGGTCTTGTGCCTAAAGAAAAAAAGGAAAAAGAGAATAAAAGTAAATAGAACAGAAAAAGAAACTTGGAAGGTAATGGCATAGATTAATATTGCTCACAATGGATATATGCTGAGCAGCTTAATTCAAAATAAACGTAGGGCTTTGAAAGAAAATTAGCCAGGACAGGAGGTGCCGTATGATGTATGGAAACAACGCCAGCCCCTTAGAAGTGGGAAGTTTCGCTTTAGCACCTCACTCGAGAATGTCTGAATCTCCCCATTACTCCCTAATTCACTCCCACATGTCAGAACCCGGCCGCTAATCTGCCTGGTCATGGGCTCCTCCGGGGCCCTTATCAGCCTTCCTCAGTGGGTCCGCGTCGCGAGCACTGGGGCAGCCCGCAGAGTTCCTGCTCCTCCCAGGCTGATATCAAAGGGCCGCAGGGATGCGCACAGAAAACAAACACTCAGACCCCAGTCGGATGTGGAGCTGAAACAGCAAGCGGAGACGCAAGAGCATCAGGTAAAAAATAAAAATTGTTTTTAACCTTTTTTAAAATTTTTATTTTTAGAGAGGGAAGGGAGGGAGAAAGAGAGAGAGACAGAAACATCGATGTGCGGTTGCTGGGGGCCGTGGCCTGCAACCCAGGCATGTGCCCTGACTGGGAATCGAACCTGCGACACTTTGGTTCGCAGCCCGTGCTCAATCCACTGAGCTACACCAGCCAGGACTGTTTTTAACTTTTTAACAACCTCGTCTGTCTCATCTTAGATGCAGTTTGTGTCTGAGGGCACAGAGGGCCTGGTAGAATAGTTGCTGAGGAGAAACTTGGAGAGGGAAATGAGTGAGAACTTTTGGGAAAAGTGGAAGGGGTGTTCATTCATATGGAGGAAGAGTCTCAACTGTCTTTGTCACAGTTGCCTTCACAGTTGTTAGAGTACGGTTCTACCATTTCAAAAGCGGTTCGATTTGTCCTGTGGCTCTCAGCAGGTGGAAATTTTAGGGAGCCAAATTGTACTTGAAAATGAGAAAGCCATTTCTAACAGAGCTGTCAGAAAGTGGAAGGGACTAACTTGATAGGTAATGAGTTGCTCATCGCTGGAGGTGTTCAAGCCTTTTCTGGAAAGCAGTTTGTTGGGAGCTGGGAATATTACACAGAGGATTTAAGAATCAATCAGATGGTTGGTTGGACCCGAAAATCTTTGAAGTTCCTTCCAACACTTCTGTGAGTCTATGATATGAATGGAAACTTATCAGAAACTTCTCTAAAGAGCCAGACATTTACATTTACCTACAGGAGATACTCACATACGAAAAAAAATCAATCCTATCGATTCCGGTTTTCTTGGTAGGCGTGAGAAGGCAACCAAGAGCAAACTACGGCAGAGGAGGGTCCTGTTGGATGTCTGTTTGGTTTTTTCCTCTCAGTGGGTATCAACAACCCCCACGTGACCTCTACTTTGCAAAGATTACACAGAAGAAATGAATTCTTCTAGAGGAAGAGTTTTGAGTTGGGCTAGTACACATTTTATTTTTGCAGTTAACAGAAGCTAAGGGGGGTGTGTCTGAGTTATTTGCTCCAGAGCCCTAGTTTCACTTTAGGTGCCTATCCTCTGCTCTTGAAGCACAGGGAGCTCGGCCACAGTTTAATAACTGTGTCCCAGGCCCATGTTCCTTTCCCGGTCTCAGAGGGCCTCGCAGTGTAGGGCGGGAAAACGCTTGCCCCTGCACCACACTGCGTGGGGAGAAATGTACTTTTAGAAGAATGAAGAGATAAAAAGAATTCTGCATTTGGTATCCATGGACAGTCTTTCAGGAGTAGAATAAAACTTTGATTTTAAAGATTTTATTTATTTATTTTTAGAGAGGGAAAGGAGGGGGAGAGAGAGAGAGAGAAACATCAATGTGCGGTTGCTGGGGGTCGTGGCCTGCAACCCAAGCATGTGCCCTGACTGGGAATCGAACCTGCGACACTTTGGTTCGCAGCCCGTGCTCAATCCACTGAGCAATGCCAGCCAGGTGAATAAAAATTTTAGAAATGTACAAAATAACACACAAAGAATACCACATTTTACACTTGTTTTTATAGTAAGATATCTACATCACACAGACGATCAAACTGAACCCGCTTAGTTCCCTATCACCCCCTTTCCTTCCCCTTTGAATGACAAATAGGAGTCTTCTTGACTTCGATTTCTATTTCTACATATTCTCTAATAACTTACCTTGACTTCTGTTCCAACCCATGACTCTTCTTTTCAAATTTTGACTTTTATAAGATCTGGGATCACTAATGGCACTTCCTGATTTTAAACTTTTAAAAAATGGCTAAAAATTTCTGCACTCTGTGTTTTCCATTATGGCAAAATATGAAGCGTTTACTTTTAACGATGCGCATTCATGCTGCAAAGGCTAAGGATCTTGACGGAGTGGTTAGAAAACAGTGATATCAAGATTATTTCCATGTTAAAATCAATGGATATCCAATGATTTATATATTTTTAAGATTTTATTTATTTATTTTTAGAGAGAGGGGGAGGGAGGGAGAAAGAGAGAGAGAAACATCAATGTGTGGTTGCCTCTCATGTGGCCCCCACTGGGGACCTGGCCCGCAACCCAGGCACGTGCCCTGACTGGGAATCGAACTGGTGACCCTTTGGTTCGCAGCCCACACTCAATCCACTGAGCTAGACCAGCCAGGGCAATGATAATGTATAGTTTTGAAGAAAGCATTGCAATCTCTGGAATTCTTGTTAACGTAGAAACAACATGTCTGTCCTGCTTATTTACTGGAACCCCTTTCTGTTATTGTTCCGAGCACAGACTGGCTGCTGAGATGGAAAGTCTGGAGCCCAGGATGGACATGTCCTATCCTGAGATCGTTGTAGAAGTGGGCACAGTGACTTTTGGAGAAGAGAACAGGAAGAAGATGACCAATACCTATTTGAAAAGAACCGAGAACTCCAAGATCATCCAAGCCACATGTGCCCTGTTGAATTCCGGAGGGGGCGTGATCAAAGCGAAGATTGACGATAAAAACTACAGTTACCGATGCCATGGGCTGGGGCAGGACCTGGAAACCTCTTTCCAGAAGCTTCTTCCTTCTGGTTCACAGAAATACCTTGACTGCATGCAACAAGGGCACAATCTCCTGATTTTTGTGAAGTCGTGGAGTCCGGATGTCTTCAGCTCCCCCTTGAGGATTTGCAGCTTGCGCTCCAATTTATACCAGAGAGATGTGACCTCCGCCATAAACCTGAGCGCCAGCGCCGCCCTGGCGCTGCTCAGACACAAGCAGTCTCAAGCCCAGAGAGGGAGACCGAGGGTGAAGGCACTGCATCCCCAGAGAGCTCTCGACCCGAACGTCCAGGAAGAGGAAGACATGAGGACTTCTGCCTCGAGATTTCTTCAAAAGGACAAACTCCTCTATAAAGAGAAACTCGACTTTACTGAGTCAGCGCATGTGGAGTTTAAAAGGTTCACCACCAAAAAGATCATCCCTAGGATTAAAGAAATGCTTGCTCATTACGTTTCTGCGTTTGCCAACACCCAGGGGGGCTACCTCATCATCGGGGTGGATGATAAGAGCAAAGAAGTGTTTGGGTGCAAGAGAGAAAAAGTGAACCCGGACTCGTTAAAAAAAGAAATAGAAAACTGCATTAAAAAATTGCCCGTGTTCCACTTCTGCTGTGAAAAGCCGGAGGTGAATTTCACTACCAAAATCCTGGACGTGTACCAGAAAGATGTCCCGTATGGCTATGTCTGTGTGGTTCAGGTACAGCCCTTCTGCTGCGTGGTGTTCACGGAAGCCCCGGACTCCTGGATCATAAAGGACAATTTGGTCACCAGGCTGACGGTGGAGACCTGGGTGGCCATGATGCTGGATATTCAGCCAGGTAAAGCAGAACAGGGGTCATTATTCAGTTCGTAGGGAGGAACACCCTTCTCTGCCTTCCCAGGCTGTTGGGTCAGATATTTTACTTAGAGAACAGAAAGATGTTTTGCTTAAAAATTCCCCCATTACATGGTTCGTTTTCTAATATTTTTAATTCCAGAGAGAGAGAGAGACAATATGAAATGAACTCTCTGTGGTCAAGAGATGCTTGGATTTTAGGAAATTTCTACTTTGGGAAAATAATAGTATGCCATCAGCCACGAATTAGTGACTGTAACTTTTTGTGCTGTGTAAAGACCTGTTGAAAACTTTTGCAGGCTGATCTTCCTAATCAGAAACATAGTTCAGCAGTCTTACCCTAAAGATATTTGGGAGAAACATTGTTTAAGATTGACTCTCCACTAATTCACTCAAGGGGAGCTTGTTGACCATTTTGAATTGTTTCCCTTAACACCAAGAGCTAATGCCTTCAATCTCTGGGCTTGGGGCACCACCTAGTGGGCAAAGGCTGATACAAAAAAAGTCAGGGCGGGGGTGGGGGATGGGGCGTGGAGGAGGAGTCCAGGTGTTTTCACTTCCTTACAGTTTTGCTCAGAATCAGCTCTGGTGATTTCTAAGCAATTAGTAGAGGACTTATAGCCTGAATGAAACTTAATCAGTTTACCTCCACGGTTAATGGGCTCCAAAGCTGACAAAAGAAGCTTTTTTACTTTTGTCAGTAACAACAAATTTTAAAAATAATTTTTATCCTGGCTGGCGTAGCTCAGTGAATTGAGCTCGGGCTGCGAACCGATTGCAGTGTTGCAGGTTCGATTCCCAGTCAGGGCACATGCCTGGGTTGCAGGCCATGGCCCTCAGCAACCGCACATTGATGTTTCTCTCTCTCTTTCTCCCTCCCTTCCCTCTCTAGGAATAAATAAATAAAATCTTAAAAAAAAACTTTGGGAAACAAAGTCATTTTTTAAAAAATATTTTTTTTTTAAAAAGAAGCTTGGATCAAGACTTGAGTGATTTTATTAGATTATTCTTTCTCTTCTAAATTTGTTTTAGCCTACACACACAGAGAGACACCCCAGACTAAGAGATCCTGCCACCTTCTGTTCCATCTGAACCTTGGATTGGGACTTAAAACAACCATAACAATATAAAAAATATATATATATGCTGTGCTTACCTTTTTCTGACTCCGCCCCTTCTAGAAGCCTCTTCCTCGTAGAAATGACCTGGAATCAGCATATTAAGAGCTGGAAGGCATCAGGGATTACCTCACCCTGGCGTGAGACAGAGAGAAGTGAAACAGACTTGCCCCACAGGAGCCACACGGTGGCTTAGGGGACCAGAGCCCCGCAGGGGTGCCCAGGCCTTGTTTCCTGGCAGATGCAAGCTGTTTGAGTCATAGAAAGTGTGCGGGCAGCTCTGCCCCATGCAAACGGCATCGTGGGAGGAACAACTAAAACAGTTCGTTTTCTTTTTTGCCTGAAACAACTCTCCATGTATGTATTTGTTTAGCTCCTGGCAGCTCGACCACAGACTACAGCCTGCCCCTGGTCTTGCCAGCTTCGCCTGCACTGGGAGGCCCCCGCCCTCCCACCAAAGTCCTGGAATTTAAGGGTGCTCTCCAGCAACGTCTGTTTCCAGGTATTTCCTTCCTCATTTCAGCTAAGGGAACTGCTTAGTTCTAAAATTGCACTGGGAGGAACTGATAGCAATTCGTCCGAACTGTTCTCCTTAGAGAGAAGGTCAAACACAGGATTTACCAGACACGGTGGTCCCAAAATAATACGTATGGCTAACGCCTGTTTCCCAGCCATCAGACTCACGCAATATCTCTGTGTGCTTTGGGGCTTCTGGTCGCCCGTGGCTTTTCTTTCCTAAATCTGCGAGGATTTAGGAATTGTCCTAAATCCCTTAGGTCTGTACCACGAGAGAAACGCACCCCAGCTTTCCAATGGCGAGGCAGTGAGCCTTGGGGTTCTAGTACAGTTTCTCAACCTTGGCCCTAAAGGTCTTTTTTGTTGCGCGGGGGTGGGGCTGCCCTGTGAATTGTACCACATTTTAGCACCATTTGTGGCCTCTGTCCTCTAGATTTCAGCAGCACCGCTCCAGCTGTGACAATCAAAAATTTCTAGATGTTACTAAATGCCCCCCTGGGGGGGGGTGTCGACATTGCCACATGTTAAGAATCATTGTTTTGTAGGAAGTTTTTAGTTCCCCCAAAGCATCAGGTTCACACACAAGTAACAGGAAGCGCTGACTTCCTAGCAATGGTGGACCATTTGCCGTTGAGCAGACGGTGCAGGAGGCTGTTCTGTGCAGTGTCCTGTCTGGCTGCCCCCCACCCCCACCCCCGCTGTGTGCCAGCTACTAGCTGCCAGCACTGGGGGCTTGGCGGCTCTGGCCTGTGGAGCCAGAGCAGCGCTTTCTTTGCAGAGGGCGGTGCTTTCTTTGCAGACAGGGAAACCGAGAGTTCCACACCTCGACTCACTTCTTGCTAGGATGTGGCAGGAATACTCACAACAGGCTTTCTTCCATTTGAGTAACTTCCATTCCTTGAATTCTCAGTGACCCAGGAGGAGATACGCTTTAAACCCGAATCCCTCTGTGAGAAGCTCTTCTCAGGCCATCCAGAACTGGAGGAATTCATGAAGACGCAGATACGTCCTTACTCTCGGGGGATTGTGCTGTTTTCCAGGAGCTGGGCTGGTGACCTCGGCCTCAGGAAGGAGCAGAACGTGCTGTGCGATGCGCTCCTGATAGCAGCGGACAGCCCCCTGGTGCTCTACACCGTCTTAGTGCGCCCCAGTGGGACCAACAACGGGCCTGAGTATGCCCGAAGCACTGCCCGGCAGCTAAAGCAGAAACTGGGAACGGTGGGCGGCTACGCGGGGAAAGTGTGTGTCATCCCGAGGCTGGTGCACCTGCCCGGCGCGCTGCGGCCCAGGCCTGGCGACTTCCCCGTGCGCTACCCCCAGTCCTACCAGCTGGCCGATAAGGAGGACGTGGAAGACTTGTTACAGGCCCTCGTGGTGCTCTTGCTGGGCTCGAGCTCTCTCCTGAGTGACCGGCTGGGCGGCGAGTTTTCCAAATTGCTCGTAGCGGAGCAGTGCGAGCTGCTTTCGGAGAGCCTGCAGGAGACGCGGGAGCTGTTCGTCCACTGCCTGCCGGGAACGAGGAGGACGGCCCTGGCCATCAAGATCATGGAGAAAGTGAAGGGCCTGTTCCAGTGCAAACCCAAGGAGATCCTCTATGTCTGTGAACACGACTCCCTAAGGGATTACGTGGCGTAAGTGTGTCCCTGACTAAACACAATAAATGTATGTGAGTCAGTTTTTTCAACAGTATCGGAAAAGAGAATTTGGGTTATTTAAGGTTTTGCACCCTGGCTGGGGTGGGTCAGTGGATGGAGGGCTGGCTTGTGAATTGAAAGATCACAGGTTCGATTCCCAGTCAGGGCACATGCCTGGGTTGCAGGCCAGGTGCCCAGTTGGGGGTGTGTGAGAGACACATTGATGTTTCTCTCCCTCTCCCTCTTCCCCCTTCCCCTCTATCTAAAAAGTATATAAATAGGGGGGTGGGCAGGGCAGGGGAGAGCAGTGGGGGAGAAGTGGGACAACTGTAATTGAACAAAAATAAAAAGTTAAAAGAAAAGTAAAGCACACTCTCTTTTTAAAAAGATTGTATTTATGTCTGTTTAGAGAGGGGGAAGAGAAGGAGAAAGAGAGGGAGAGAAACATGGATGTGTGGTTGGCTCTTGCACGCCCCCTAGTGGGAACCTGGCCCACAACCCAGGCATGTGCCCTCACTAGGAATTGAACTGGCGACCCTCTGGTTCGAAGCCTGAGCTCAATCCACTGAGCTACACCAGCCAGGGCCATATGTATTTTTAAAATAAATATAATAAAAAAAGATTTTGCAATGCCTTAACTATGTAAATGCAAGAGCCCAAACATTTCTAAGTGATCAGGTGGTTGAGCTATAAATGAGTACTTTGCAATTTTCAGGCTTCAACATCTCCTCATAAATTAGCCAAGTGTGTACAACTTTTAAATTTATATAACCAGAAACCCTGTTCACAATCATCTGTGACCTTAAATTTAAGAAAAGTAGAAATGAACCTATTTTGCTTTAAATAAACACTTTGTTTGTTACTTAACACTTTATAGTCTTAGGGTATTTCAGTTAATTAGACATTCTGCCTAATAGAAACTTGAATTTAAATGCCATTTGATTTTGTTTATAAAATATTTTCATTTGTATGACTTGTTCTGAATCAGTAATTTTAGAAAACACGCAGATTTGCTTCTGATATAAATTTTTAGCTTTGAATTTAGTAAAAGAGACTGGTTGCTTTTTAATCCAGCAAATGAGAGCAAACTCATTTTAAATTTTTGTTTGGTTTACTTATTTTACTCAACAAATCTTTTTGAGCACTGTGTATATGCTAGGTACTGCGTACATTTAGTGTTAGTGGGGAAAAAATACCGAACACCGGGACGTAAAGCCCAGTAAGGGGGACAAAAAATTAAAATAAGTGATGTGGATATTGTATAATTAGTATGATTAATGAAGAAATTAATATCTTCTTAATGAATGAAGATATGCTTATCTAAACTTGGGCTGAAGGTTGGTCAGCACATACAAGGCTCTTGGGCCGCTCTTACGAAGTCAGTAGGGAGAGTAAATAAAATGAGGGCTTTTCTCCAAAGGGCACAGCAGGTGCAAAGACGTGGAGACACGTGAGAATCAGAAGGGCAAGTCTCACTGGAGCGGTGGGGGAGGGGAGTGGGAACGTAGTAGGTGATGAAGTTGGAAAGGAGGCAGGTGCCATGTCATGAGGGGTGTTGTAAACTGTGCTGTGGGTTAAGTTTTTCTTCAATCCTCACCCGAGGACATGCTTATTAATTTTAGAGAGAAGGGAAGGGAGGGAGGCAGGGAGAGAAACATCCATGCGAGAGAGAAATATCGATCAGTTGCCTTCTAGCACATGCCCTGACTGGGGATTGAACCTGCAACCCAGATATGTGCCCTGACCAGGAATCGAACCTGCCACATTTTGGTCTATGGGATGATACTCCAACCAACTGAGCCACACCAGCCAGTGCTACTTGGGTTTATTTCAAAACTTTCACATGCACGTTTAGCTAGATAATCTTGGAGAGCTGGGTTTGCAGTTTCATATTCTCTCTGTCCGGTGACTTGTAGTTGAGTAGCTTGGTAGCATTCAGCACACGACTGAACCAATGAACCACCCTCCAGGCGAGCACTAGCCTCTGATGGCAATCCGGCGAGTAATGAGTGCATGGCGTTTCCTCAGACTCTGTTTATCTCTGTTCCACCCGTACAGCCAACACACCACCTGCCAGGCCGTGACCCGGAAAACCTTCATGGGAGGGGAGTTCCTAAAGGTGAAACACATAGTGATGGACGAGACGGAGAATTTCTGCAGCAAGTACGGGGATTGGTACATGAAGGCTAAGAGTATCACCCACCCAAAGGCGAGGGGAGCTCGAAGTGAAAACCCTCACCACGGGGTCCTCTGGATCTTTCTGGACCCTTTCCAGGTCCACCGCGCCGATGTCAGTGGCCTTCCCCCTCCGTCTGCCCGGTTTCCTCGCAAAGCCATCACCGACGGGATCCACTGTTCACTGGAAATAGCGAGGGTCATGAAGCAGGAGATGAAGAAGGTCCAAGAAAATCCTCTCTCCACCGTGTGTCCAGACACAGTGGCGTTGTTCAGAGAAGCCGCCTACGAGGACGCGGTGCGAGCTCAGGCCCTTCCTGGGGTGTGTGAGACGGAGACCAGCCTGACCGTGGAACAAATCGCAACGTACGTGGCAGACAGATGCCACAGCCTGCTCCAGTGTGGCTACCTGCCCAAGGACATAGCGATCCTGTGCCGGAGAGAGGAGGACAGAGGACGCTATGAGCTTGCGCTGCTCAAAGCAATGGCGTTAACTGAGACCCACGGAGCCACGGAAGCTGTGTTCAGCCAGGCCGCTGGCGCTAGGGGCGATCGCATCATTTTAGACGGCGTTCAGCAGTTTTCAGGCCTGGAGAGGAACATCGTGTTTGGGCTTTGTCCAGAGTACACCCTGTCGGAGGAAGCTCACAGGCTCTGCTTCGCCTCGAGAGCCATCAAACACCTCTACCTGCTTTACGAAAAGAGGGCCGCTTTCTGAAAAGTATTTCAGACGATACAGGAAGCCCGAAGGAGCAGAGTCCCTTTTCCCGGGCGGGTGGCAGTTACTGCTTTTCACGTATTACCAACGAGGAGCTCGAGGCACAGTCAGGATGGCAGAGGGCCACAGAAATGTCTCTCACTGTCCTCTTCCCGGTCCACCCCACCTCCTCCATGGACAGTTACAACAGACGTCTGATTGGTCCCCTGCCTCTGGTTCCATCATGTCAACCAGAGAAGTTCTCCTCAGAGAGGGAACTGATGTTATGGCATTCCCTGCTCGTGCATCCTCAGTGAGTCCCTGCAGTGTTTAATCCAAACCAGTTTTCAAGGCTTTTTGCATGAGACACCCTGACTCACGCTCCTAACGCAGCCTTTGTTACACCTCCGTCTCCCAGTGCTTCTAACGCAGCCAGGCTTGCGGGCCTATCTGGGGCTGGGAGGTAATGTGCCTTCAGGGCTACTTACTTTGACTGGGTGTCCCAGGGCAGCACCTGGGCTGGCACGTCGTCCTGGCTATGGGTCTCAAGCTTTGTGGGCTCGGAACTTGATTTCCTCTACAAGTGGGAATGTGCTAGCCGTTGTGACGCGTGCAAGAGGCTCTACACATTTCAGCATTAGGGCTGCTCTCCTGGGCTTCTGCTACTGCCATGTGAAGAGTGTGCCTTGGGCAGCCCGCCGGTCACGGACGCATGAGAGATGGGAAGCAGTTTTGGACTCCACTCGTGACCTGGAGCCAGGTGTGATCGATCCTAACTAGATTAGCCCAAACCCAGCTGGTTTGCAATGCATACGAGAGAAATAAACGCTCATTGTTGTATCACTGAGATTTCAGGAGTGTTTGTTCCGCAGCAGTAGCTGACTAATGCAGGCATTTCCTCGTGTTGTAGCACAGTCTTCAAATGATTGTTTTGTTGTTGTTGTTGTTGTTGTTGTTGTTTTTTAAGATTTTTAAAATTTATTTTTAGAGAGGGAAGGGAGGGAGAAAAAGAGAGAGAGAGAAACATCAATGTGCGGTTGCTGGGGGCTGTGGCCTGCAACCCAGGTATGTGGCCTGACTGGGAATCGAACCAGCTACATTTTGGTTCGCAGCCTGTGCTCAATCCACTGAGCTACGCCAGCCAGGTAAATGAGCGTTTTTAATGGTTGCACAATGTCCCAGCTAGATTATACAAAATTGTAATAATCACCCACTATTCATTTGCATCACTAGCGATTGGACACTATGGAAATTAAACCCTGTCCATACTCAGGCATACAAACTTTTCTTTCTCTACTATATTTATAAATCTCCAGAAATGAGATTACTGGATTGAAGGGTAGCCAAACCAAAGATTCACCCTAATCACATTGGTTCTGATGGGAAGTACATAGAAAAACCCTAATCACGGTACCTGAAAACATATAGATTTGTTGCCTTAAATAAGAAAGTAAAATGCTGACATCAGGTTCTGATGGCGAAAAAAAAGGCATTGGCATCTCAGAAACAGGCGGCTTAGAACACGCTGTCTCTGCATGGAGGGCGGAACCGAGGCCCATCACCCTACCCCAGGGCGTCAGAAGAAGAGCTTGACTTGGAAAATTACAGATGGAGGCATGAATTATGTAACCTTAGTGTTATGTAGGGGAAAAAAAATGCTGGTTACTTGAAACTGATACAGGGTGCTATCTCAGAACAAAGACAGGATGCCTCAGGACTTTTTTTTTTTTATTTGAGAGACAGACAGACATCGATTTGTTGTTCCGCTTATTTTTGCATTCATTGGTTGTTTCTTATCTGTGCCCTGGTTGGGGATTGAACCCACAACCACTCCAACCAGTTGAGCTACCTGGCTAGGCCTTTTTAAGAAAAACTGTGGCATGGAGAAACCCACTTAAGAAAAGAGAAGGGAAGGGGGAAATTGGGACAGCTGTAATAGCATAATCAATAAAATACACTTAAAAAAAAAGAAAAGAGGAGGGAGTATAGAGATAAACTAGATTTTCTATGAAGCTGAGCTGCCCCAGTTTCCCCAAGGTTTTGGAAAGGCCACACATGAAATTATTTTCAAGAGGCTTCAACTTGAAAGAGGTACAAAACTTATAATAACCCTGTGTTACTATTAATTGAGATATTACTTTTTTAAACAAATTTATTTTTAGAGAGGGAAGGGAGGGAGAAAGAGAGAGAGAGAGAAACATCAATGTGCAGTTGCTGGCGGCCGTGGCCTGCAACCCAGGCATGTGCCCTGACTGGGAATCGAACCTGCGATGCTTTGGTTCACAGCCCGCACTCAATCCACTGAGCTATGCCAGCCAGGGGAGATATTACTATTTGCTAATGCTTTGCATGTGTTCTCCCAACTCCGTGAGGTCTATACACATTATCTCAGTTTTATAGGTGAGAAAACTGAGGTACAGAGACATTAACTTTCTGAAAGGCACGGGTCCACTGAGCGCCCGAGCTGAGCAAGTACATACAGCATGTACACGGAATCCTCGACGTGGCGATCTCAACTCTGAGAATGCGTGAATGCTCTGAAAATGCTCTGCAGAGGCGAGAATGCCCGTGCTCGCTCTCAGGGCCCTCTGTCAAGGTCTCTGTCAAGGTCTCACCCCTAGAAAGCAGTGGCCTTCATGGCGAGTGAAGACAGCGGCTATCCTGTTCCCTGCACTTAACCTCTGCGAGTTCTCCCTGCCCCTCCTGGCTACTCTAGAAGAATCTGAATTTCTCCTTCTGCGAAGCTCAGAATCAGACTCGGGTCACATTCCTGGCCCTTCCAAGGTCAGGCCCTTCTGCCAGACCCCATCCAAGGCTGCTGCTGCTTGGTTCGATAGCTTCCGCTGACAGAGGCAACGTGATTTTGAAACAAATGGGATCAGTTTTCCATGTTGTTTCTTCTTTCATTTTCAGCCTAAAATGGAAGTCGAAAAGGAAGGAATTAGGACATGGCTACTGTGTACTTTCTCTCCTTATTGTGTACTGACTGCTTCAGAATGATCTCAGGTCCTTTGCAGTTAAAGCCCACCTTCACCCCTGCTTCAATGAGGAAGGGCTGTCTTCTCTGCCCAGTTACACAGCTTGGAAGAGACATGTGTTGGAGGCGGGCAGGGCGGCAAGCAGGGGGTCCCTTGGAAGACAGCCAGATATAACCCACCAGTCAATGGCTCACCCACCAAAGTTCCTCCACAGCTCCAATCCTGTACCCTCTGACACACAGGATGAGGTTAGAGCTAACAGACAGCAAATGCTTGCTATGGCCAGGCACCGTGTGAAATGTTTTAAATGCATTATAACTTTTATCTTCCCAGCAACCTTTGGGTTATATTTCCCGGCCCCAGGGAAGTTAGGATAAGGTTGTGTTAAGAACGTGGGTCCTAGGGTCAAACCCTCCCTGGTTTTGAATTTGAACTCTATTCCTGATTAGCTGAATGACCTCAGGTAAGTTAACTCTCCCCTTTAAAACTCAGGTTTCTCAGCTGTCAAACAGAGATAAAATTCATACCTAAGCCTTAAGATAAAAATGAGGGTTCAAAATAAACAGTCCATTTAAATAAAGCCTGACACGTAGAAGCATACATTTCGGCCCTGATTAGCTTTAATTTGTACTCGAGGAAGTTGAGGCGTCAAGGTAAATGCCTGGCCAAGGATCAGAGAACAAGAAAGTTCTGAACCCAAGAGCTGAACCCAAGATGCGAACCCATGTCTTCCTGACGCCGAAGTCCGTTTTAGCCTCTCTGCTCTCCTGCCTGCCTGGATGGCAGCGGCAGCGGCAGGAGTTCCCACGATCTGCACGTCGCTGTTGAGACCCAGATTGAGTATACTTAGAACATTTGATATTAAGCAACACAGTTATTCTTGGTTTCTAAAATCTTCTTCCAAAGCCAATATGACAACGAAGATGCCTTACATAACAGAAATGTAGAGAAAAGCATTTTCTACACTAAGAAACTTAAAAAATATATACCTTTCATGTCTAGGTCTGTACAGGGTGGGGCAAAAGGCGGTTTACAGCTATCGGTATGAGGAATACTACAACCATTCATAAATCATAATGCAAGAATAAAATCTGTGTTTCACCTACTCCCACCTGGACACCTCCCTTTGCCCCCACCCCGCACACTGACGTCACAGAGAGACCAGAGAACAGGACAGAAGCCCTTCCTCCCCATCATTCCCACCACCTCTCACCGCCGTCCTTCCTGCTCACTCGTTCCCAGCGCCGGTCCTGGGGCAGGTGTACCTGAGCAGAGCTGCAATCATGGGGTACAGTCCACATTGTATCCTGCTTGGGGTGGCTCTTCTGGAAGCCATTCCCACTCTTCAGGCTGCTACACAGCACGTGAGACATTTCTCACGCTGCAGCCTGGGGCGGGGGGCAACCCCCATTGTAAATGGCCTCTCAGATTCCATGTGGTTTCTTGGGCCAGTCCGCCTGAATTTGCACCCACAGAGAGGAAGACGGTGACGGGCAAGCAAAGGACACTAAAGCTCTGCACCAAACCCCATGAGATGCGGGGATGGGGGCGGGGAACGAAGTTTTAGGGAACGCAGCAACAGAGGGTCACACTTAGGACAGAAGATGCTTCTCCCCTGGCCTTGCGGCTGTGCCCGCCCCGAGGAGTGGCCGTCGCCAGGGGCCCAGCTCAGGTGGTCTGTGGGGCAAACCTTTGCTTGTGCAAAGCTACCTCAGTGGACTTTTCTGTATTTGCCCGATAGGAATCATGTGGCGTGATGGTTAAAATTCCAGATCCCTGTACCTTTCTCAACTCTAAGACACGTGCCTGCAACTAATTTGGAGATGGTGTGGGAGATACCGCACTGAACGTTGAAAGGGGTGGAACCCATAACTGGGCTACAGGAAGAACACCCACCACCACTTAGGGTGCTCCCCGGGAACCACAAGCTCCCTGAGCCTTGGGGCACCCCTGTACTCGTGTGGGTTTCGAGTCAGATGCGACAAGCTCCAGATACGGGCTCAAGCACCCAGTGTGACTTGGGCAAGTCAACTGATCTTATGTAAAATGGAAAAAAACTCTCTCCGTCAGGTGGTGGTTGTCCAGATTAAGAGCTTTATTTCGTGTGCTTGGCACAAACCAGTGTCCACAAGCAGTAGTTACTAACCCAGGATCTCGGTGTCTGGCATGTACATGGTCCCAGACTCAGTTTGGGAGAAGTCACTTTGACATCATCATCATCATCACTTAACCTTTCTGAAGCGTGGTTTCTGCCTCGAGGTAACCGCGGCACCAGGAACGGCTCAGCTCCGGGCTTGTGCTGGCACAACGCTGAGTCCCGTGCGGACGTCGTTATCCACAGCGGGGACCACAGATGCCCTGTGGTCCCCGCTGGGTTTGTCTCCCTGGACACTTTTCAAGTGTGCTTAAAAAGAAATGCTGTGTCTCTTGGGGGTAATTTGTAGGTTGCCATACTTTTTGCAATTGGATAATTACCCGCTCTGTTCGACACATGTGGGCAACCTCTTGAAGGGACATCGCTGGCCAGATGGGAAACAGAGTTGGCAGAAATCGGATGTGGGCGGCAGTCCGTAATGCTAGTAATTTCTGTGACAGTCCACCGTGAAGAGCGAGCCTAGAGGCTGTGAGGAGGGGACACAGGAAATGGGTGTTCAGGGTTCCCCAGCCTGGCTGAGCACAGAACCGCCTGGGGTCTTCAAAAGATACATTCATGGTTTGATCCTGCACACCTGGGGAGGAGCCCTAGCATCTGCATGTTTTTAAGGTGTGCTAAACGATTGGGAAGCTGGTTGCTGTCTGCTCTCCTTTTGCAAGGCGAATGACTCAAAGCCAATGACTTCTGCTTTGATTGCCAGGCAGCCACTGCACAGATGGCTATCTTGAATAAACAGATTGCCAGCCAACTCGCCCTGCTGAGACTTCTTTGTTTTATAGATCTCGGCTGATTCTGTAACTGACCACTGTTTTGGGCCACTGTTTAAAAATATTTTTCTTTCCTGTGCTCTAAATGCCCGCTCTTATCTTTTAAACTCACCAATCAAGATGAAGCCCAGGAAACCCTAAGGCTCCACCCTCAGCCCCAAGCAGAGCCAAACCTCAGGCCAGTGCACTTTCTTTCTCTCTCTACCTGCAACCTCAGCAAACCCCAGAGTGTGCTGTCCAGCTTCCGGGTCCTGTAAGTAACAAGTCTGTATGCTTTTCAACTACCTGATGATTGTCGCTGAAGGGCGTCTTGCAGTCATGATAAGTACCACAAGGGCAGGCCCAACCATAACATTGGTTATGGACAGGATGAAATGCTGGTTCGTGGCATCTGAAGCTAAATTCCCTCCAGTGCACATCTGTCCTCAGAGTTAAGAATAGTTGCTAAAGCCTTACTGCAATAATTCTCGAGGTCTATAAGGATGGGCACGTGGAAGAAACCACACAGGAGCTCAAGGGACTGTGGCTGGTGTGGGTTCTGAAGGGAAGCTGCAGTTACAGAACAAACTTAGAACAATAGCAACAACATTAGCCACCAAGTCAACCACAGAGGACCCCGTAGAAATTTCAACTGTAACCGTCGGGATTACAGAGGCTACTAGAAAAATTAAGGAAGTCAATGAGCTGTACAGCTTAATTCTCTATCTGGCTCTAGCAATCCCTCCCCCCCTCTCACTGCATTACATATTTCTTGAGTAATTCAGGCTTACGGTGCAAAATAACAGTTCTTTCCTCCCTGTCTACCTCCTTCCTTTCCAATTCCACTCCCCAGAAAGTGATCCTTCATAATACTTTGGTGCTTACCCAGATAGGCTTTTCTTTTTTATTTTTTTCCTTCACTTTTTAATTTTACTGTTGTTCAAAGTACAGTTGTCTGCCTTTGCCCTCCACCTGTCCCCCCAAGCCCAGCCACCCCCACCTCCCTCCCGTGATTCCACCCCCCTCGGTTTCGTCCATGTGTCCTTTACAGTTGTTCTTGAAAACCCGTCAGCCCCCCTCCCATTACCCAGAGAGGCTTTTCTGTAGCCTTGTTCTCCAAGGAGCTGAAAGTACCCCCTGGGAGATACAGTTCCTTTAGAGTCAAGCCACAACGAACTAGCCTTTCCCCTACTTACTAAAATGCCCAGTTTTTCTTGAGAGACAGGAAACCGTTCTTTTTCTTCTTCTCGAGGCCAGAAGGGCAGACATTAAGAGGCGAGAGCACTCTAATCTAGTCTCTTGGGAAATCAGACAGAAGCTTATCTCACTTTTCAGAGACACCAACTTTAAAAAGTGAACAGTGTGGTTTTGCTTTTCAGGAAACTGAGAGCTGGCACTCACCCCGGCTGGCATTTCTCCAGGGGGCTCAGATTTCAGAGCCGGTTCTTCCTTCGGAAGGTCACCACAGCCCCCAGTCAAAGCTGCTGACTCCGGGACAGAACACGACTCCAGGACTTTTAACATCCCAACCCTGAAAAATCTTCTAACGCCCAAGGTGAGTAATGGCTGTCCAGAAAGACGCCAAGCCTTGCCTGTTCAACAGAAGATGGTCTGAAAAAAGAGATGAAAAAAACAACAAGAAAAAAACCTCTAAGATGAAAATCCACCCTGTGACCCTTGCAGATATATCTTGTCTATATGTTTGGCAGGAGGCGGAGGTGGATGCAAATGGCCACCTGTTTCTTAAGTGAAAGAGACCGAACTGTTCTGTGGATGGGAACCACCTTCCCGCTCAGGCCAGCCACGCGAGACTCCAGCCCAGAGGACCTGGCCGAGTTCTGAGACAGATATGGTGTGCCGGGGTTGCAGGGGAGACTTATCAAAGCTCTGGGGAATAAATTTTCAAATGGGACAGGGAGGAGCTAGGGCTTTGGCGGGAAGAGATGACTGTTCGAACATTCCGTCGATTTTGTTGGTCTGCTTTTCATATTTCACTTTCATAAATATTTATTTCATAAATAATTTCGCTTTCAGGAGAAATTTAAGATATATTGATTGGGAAGCTCTGTTCTAATTGGATTTTCCAGGTTATTTTTGTGTCTTAAGTACATGTGGTTATTTTGTTTAGCAACATTAATTAAAAGCACTGCAAAGTGCTTTTAAACAAATTGCTTCTTCATATCCTTTTGGCAACAGGGCACCGATGAATAGATAACTATGAATAATACTTCTGCAGGTGCACAGTTGGGAAATACCTGCCATTCTAGACCAGGAAATCAATCCTATGTAACAACCAATATTTAGTTCACTAGACACAGGCAGCACCTACATGCATCCGGGATATTTTCCATAGACATCAAGCGGTGTACTCACGATTACAACATGAATGTATTACTTCAGCCATAAATGTAAGATGATTATTTAGCCCCAAATTAAATAAAATATTTCCATATATGTGTGAGGAATGACCTATTACAGGCCATAATTACAGCACTGAGGTGGGGGGGGCAGGGAAGAAACAAATCAGAGGGGGTCATCTAGCCCCAATTGTAATTCTGAGGGCGCCATAACTTCTCTTCATCTGTGTGCAATACAGGACAGCATAATGCGTGGGGCAGGCGGAGCCAGGTTCAAGGATGTGTCTGTTGTTTCTTTGTGGATTGTAACTCTCTCAGAGCCCTGGGGGATCATAACCCCATCTCCCTAGTCCATCCCTTCCCTTGGGCCCACACGCAGAGGCTCTGCTCCCCACGCCCCGGACCACTGCGCGCCCCATCCCCAAAGCTTTGCACGCTCCCCTACAGACACAGACCCACACAGGCTCTGGCCCTGGGAGCCCACGCCAGTCCCGGGGCTCCGATGCTGTCCTGCGGGAGCCTTGCTGGCCAGGGCTCTGCGAGGGTGTTGCGGACGTTGGACGCGGTGGCGGAAGCTACTCGGGTGGCGGTGGGGAAGCCCCCATGCTGGGGTGGAGGTGGGGGGCCGCAGCAAGCCGCCAGACGTCGCTGAGCTGCAGTACCGGGAGGAGCCGCAGGGCACAGGCACAGGGCAGACAGGGCCGCAGGGCAGTGTGCAGCCGAGTGTGAAGGGCGAGGGGAGGAGGCGGAAGGGAGTGGGGGGGGTGTGTTGAAACTGGTGTTGCTGTCAGGCTTTCTCAAGCTAAAACATCTTCCTGTTTAAAAAAAATATTTTATTTATTTTTAGAGAGAGGGGAAGGGAGGGAGAGAAACATGAATGTGTGGTTGTCTCTTGCCGCCCCCTTCTGGGGACCTGGCCTGCAACCCAGCCATGTGCCCTGACGGGGAATGGAACCTGCGACCCTTTGCTTTGCGGCTGGCGCTGGATCCACTGAGCCACACCAGCCAGGGCCCTGTTACTATTTTTAAATGATGCTTCTCTAGAATAATTTGTAAATATTATCAAGAAAAAATTGAATTTGTTGAGATAATTTGACTCTGTTACTAGCTCATGTCATATTTTATATTATTAGTCATGGTATTGCTTGTATGCACAATCTTTTATTCTGGGATAAACCCAATTTGGGTTTGTAGTGTGTGTGTGTGTGTGTGTGTGTGTGTGTGTGTGTGTGTGTGTTTTCTTCTTTAAAAAAATAATTTTTTTTTATAGAGAGGGGAAGGGAAGGAGAGAGGGAGAGAAACATCAATGTGTGATTGTGTCTCACACACCCCCTACTGGGGACCTAGCCCACGACCCAGGCATGTGCCCTCACTGGGAATCGAACCAGCAACCTTTTGGTTGCAAGCCTGAGCTCAACCACTGAGCTACACCAGGGCTGTGTGTGTGTTTTATAGCATCAATAAGAACTGTAAGTACAAAGATAATAGAACAAACACTTTCTTTTCGTTACACTGAATTTTTGTTACCCCATTACCTCAAATTCACAGCTGTTGGCATTTCATCATAGTTACTGAAAGCCTTTTTAAAGTTCAGTAAATAACATAGTGTAGAGAAATTTGAAGTTCTCTTTGCCTTCCACCTCCAATTGCATTTCTTTCTCTCCTTTTCTCACACACACCCAAAATTCTCAGTTTATTGTGTATCTTTACAGTATTCTTAGCACACGCAGTTTTCAGTACACTTCCCCAGGAATAATGTGCACCTTGGGTGTGGGTGCACACTTAGCTTATTTAAATAGTATAAATCTGTATGTGCACTTGCACATCTTCACTTTTTAATGCTACGTTTTGCTTCTGATCTGTCACTGTGTGTGCTTATTCTCTTACATTGCTTTATAACATTCCTTTTAATAAATGTTACATTTTATTTAAAAACTTATGCAGAAGTGTTTAATTTTAATGAAGTCCAACATACCAATTTTTTCCATGAATCATGCATCTAAAATGTCATTAGCAAACACAAGTTCACCCAGATCATCTCTTGTGTTATATTCTAGGAATTTTATGGTTTTGCATTTTAGATTGGGTTCATTATTAATTTTGAATTAATTTTTGTGAAAGATATATGTGTTTCTAGGTTCATATTTGTACATGTGGATGTCCAGCTTTTTCAGCACCATTTGTTGAAAAAAATTATCCTTGCCCTGGCTGGGGTAGCTCAGTGGATTGAGCACGGGCTGCTAACCAAAGTGTCGCAGGTTCGATTCCCAGTCAGGATACATGCATGGGTTGCAGGCCATGACCCATGGTGTTTCCCTCTCTCTGTCTCTCTCTTTCTCCCTCCCTTCCATCTCTAAAGATAAATAAATAAAATCTTAAAAAAATACTCCTAGGAGTAAATTAAAAAAAAAAAAGACTACCCTTCACTTGTTGAACTCCCTTTGCTGCTTTGTCAAAGATCAATTGACTATATTTCTGTCGGTCTATTTCTGGATTCTTATCTGTTCCACTGACCTATTTGTCTATTTTTCACCAACATCACACTGTCTTGTTTTTTTTTAATATTTCATTTTATTTTTTTTCGACCGAGGGGAAGGGAGGGAGAGAGGGAGAGAAACCTCAATGTGTGATTGTCTCTTGAGCACCCCCTACTGGGGACCTGGTCCGCAACCCACCCATATGCCCTGACTGGGAATCAAACCTGTGACCCTTTGATTCACAGCTGGAATTCAATCCACTGAGCCACACCAGCCAGGCTGATAAGCAACTTTATACTTTAGAACTGGATCTCACTGACTGCAAAGCATCATCCATGTGATCCTAAGCATGTTCACCAGCCTCAGTTTGCTCCTTGGTAACATGAAGATAATCGTGTTTGTTGTGGGGAGGTAGTGAGATAATGTATGTACACTTTTTGGTACAGTGCTTAGCTCAGTAATGTAAGTTATTTCAGCCCCTAAGGAAAGGCACAAACACATCCTTCCTACCATCCTCCCTGCTTTTACCTGGACTTGCCTTATCTAGCCTTCTTGTTTCAAAACTTTTGACCCCAGATCTTGATAGGGATTTCTGCCTGTGCCCACACATGCTTTGGCATATATATATACTGGTTCTCTCCCCACAGTTAGGTCTTATTTCTCTCTTTTACGTTTGGCTTATCTATCTTGTTTTTAAAAACACTATTTTTTAACAGAAGTTTTAGGCTCACAGCAAAATTGAGAGGAAGGTACAGAGATCTGTTCTTGCCTCTCCTGTGACCAACATCCCCAGCCAGAGGGGCGCATTTGTTACAATTCATGAACCTGCATTGACACGTTGTGATCATCCGAAGCCCTCAGTTTGCATGTGGTTCAGTCCTGGTGTTGCACATTCGATGGGTTTGGGCAAGTGTATAATGACGTGTATCCATGATGATACAATGGGCCCTAAAAATCTTCTGTACTCCGCCTATTAACCCCTCCCTGCCCCAGGCCTTGACAACCACTGATTTTTTTATACTGTCTCCATAGTTTTATCTTCTCCAAATGTCATACAGTTGCAATCGTACAGTATGTAGCTTTATTAGATTGGCTCCTTTACTTAGCCATGTGCCTTTAAGTTTTCTCCAGGGAGCCCAGCAGAGCCATGTACTTTGTAAAATTTCCTCTGATAACTGTCTTAGATGTTTTACTTTGTAATTGATTTATCTGAGTTCTCAATGTCTTAATTAAACCAGTTTGCTTTTTTGCCTGTATTTTAAGAACAATTCATCTATGTTTTTAAAATTCTTAACATATATTTTGGTGGAACAAAATCTTCTTATTTAGTATTTTAGAGGAAAAAGTCTACCAGACTTTCCCAGTTATTGATTATCTTTCAAATCTTAAAAGAAGAGATTGGGAACTCTCAGATTTGTTTCTATGCCAAACAAAATAACCCAGATTTAAAAAAAAATTTTTTATTGAGTGATTTTAGAGAGAAAGAAACATCATCTTGTTGTCCATCCACCCATACATTCATTGGTTGCTCCTTGCACATGCCCTGACCAGGGATCAAACCTGCAACTTTGGCGTGTCAGGATGAAGCTCTAACCAGTTGAGCTACCTGGCCAGGGCCAAGATAAATCAGGCTTAATAGATATAGAAAGGAGTTGCCAATATGAAAATATTTATCCAAGGAAATGAACGAACATGTAGCACTTGAGAGCAAATGTCCGAATGAATAAACATTAAAACTGAAGTTTGGATGTGTCTCAATCTGACAAGGAGACTTCAAATGTGATAAAATGTAGAACACGATAGTTCTAACTGTAAATTTTATCACAAGGAGCATATCAGACAAATGAGTAAGATTGTGAATGACCTGGCCTTCCCAATAGTTCACTGCTCAGAATTCTGTTCCCTTGACACACCTGCATCAACCACCCTTTTATTTGTTCAAAGCTCCTTTTAAATAATAAAGACACTAGTGTCTTGTCTAAAAGTAAACACCAAACAGGCACAAACAAAAATAAAACTCTTAGTCTTGTTAATTAATCAAATAATTGTTTCTTAATTTTCTGACTTCCTTCTGCCCTTACATTTTTTATTCCTGTTATTCTGTCCCTTGGTGAGCTAGTTCTTTCTTAAGTTCCTTAACTTTTGAAGAAAACCACTATTTTGATTTTTCTCTCTTACCAATGTGGGAATTTAGTGCTATGGGTTTTTCTCCATGTGCTGTTTACACCTCATCACGACCTGAACCAAAAATCTCCAACCAGCAGACCCTTTGCGTCTCTCATAGTACTTAGTGTGCTCATGAAGGACACTCCTTGAGCATTTTTTGTGTTAATGAATTAAAGAATAGCCCTGGCTGGCATAGCTCAGTGAATTGAGCTCGGGCTGGGAACCAAAGCATTGCAGGTTCGATTCCCAGTCAGGGCACATGCCTGGGTTGCAGGTCACGGCCCCCAGCAACCGCACATTGATGTTTCTCTCTCTCTCTCTCCCTCCTTCCCTTCCCTCTCTAAAAATAAATAAATAAAATCTTTTTAAAAATTTTAAAAAATAAATAAATTGAAGAATAAAATGTTTTGATCGCATTCTTTAACCTATACTCAAGCAAAGGAGAAAAGTGACTGCAGGTGGCAACACAACTGTAAGCACCTTCACGGCCTCTCCTCACCGTGGTTCTGTTGAGTTTTATTGATTTGCTGAACCACTTCCAAACGCAAGTTCTCTGAGAAGACCTAGAACGCACTGATCCTTCTTATTCCCACTTATCAGCTCCACCCCCTGCCCTATCCATCTTCAGTTCCCATCCCGTCCTAGGAATGTGTATAGTCCAGAGTTCAACCACTGTCTTACCAATGCTCTAAGTTTATATCTCCTACTGTCCTTTTAAATTTTTGGAGGTAAAGATTTTTGTTTTTATGTTATAAATGTCATAACACAAAATTAAGTTATAATTTCAAAGGTACAAAAAACAAGCTCCAAAGAAAAAAATAATGAACACAAATGTGTCCACCACCCAAATTTAATAGAAGATGCCAATTAAAAAAACTTTTTATGATGCCAGTAAGCGGTATCACTATCTACCCAGTTGCTTATGCCCAAACCCAGTTACTAAATTTTAATCCTTCCTCCTCATTTCTCTCTGGTCAATGCAGGTCATGTTACATAATTTTACTTCCCAAATGCCTCTCACATGTGCCCAGATCCTCTTCACCCCCACCGCCACTGCTGAGGCCCAGGGCTCCATCCTCTCTCACAGGGCGTGTTGCAGAACCCTTCCTACCACAACTGCTTTGTCCAACCATGCTTCCCCTCAGACAGGAGGCTCTGAGAGGCAGGGCTGTGCTGATCCTTGATCTGCCACTTAACCTCCAGCCCCAGCACTTCGCAGGAACTCAGTAAATGTTTTCAAATGAATTAATGAATGCCATTTTACATGCTACATAATTTACTTCTTCGTCAACATGATAGATGTGGTTTAATGGTTTCTGTTGCAGAGTGAACATGGAGAAACATAATTCATCTTTGGTGGTGGAATCATCTTATGCAGATCTGGTCATCAACGCAGGAAAAGTAACTTTTGGTGAAGGGAACAGAAAGAAGCTGCAGAAATCTCAGAGAGACCAGGAGAAGGAGAAAGTGTCACAGGCTGCCTGTGCTTTATTAAATTCGGGAGGAGGAGTGGTTCTGATGGAAATGGCGAACAGCGATGAGCATCCTGTGGAGCTGGGGCTGGATTTAGAAGAGTCTTTGAGAACACTTATTCAGTCTTCAGATTTGCAGGCTTTCTTTGAGACCAAGCAAGAAGGGAGGCGCTTTTACCTTTTTGTTAAATCTTGGAGACCTGGCTCTTCCTCTGAAGACGACTCCATCAAGCCCCGCATTTGCAGCCTGGCTACTTCGTTATACTGTAGATCGGGCACCTCTGTGCTTTCCATGGAACCAGGACAGGCGTTTAATTTCCTCAGGAACAAGAAAAATGCAAAACCTTCGAGGGATGAACCTTCTAACAAAATTCCCAGGGGGTCAAAGCAAAACTTCCATAACTTGAATCCCGCTGAACAAACCTTTAAAAGAGACCAGCTTCAACGTGGTGAAATCCTGCCTTTTCCCGAGTCTCACTATGTAGAGGTCAAACAGTTCTCTACAGACCACATCCAACGATACGTTAAAAACATAATTCCAGAGTACATCCCTGCATTTGCAAACACTGGAGGTGGCTATCTTTTTATTGGAGTGGATGATAAGAGCAAGAAAGTTCTGGGATGTGCTAAAGAAAATTTTGACTGTAACTCTTTGAGAATGATAATAGAGGATGCAATAAGCAAATTACCTTGTGTCCATTTTTGCCAATCCGAATGCCAGATAACTTTCACACACAAATTCTTGCGTGTGTTAGAGGACGAACAGTTATATGGCTATGTTTGTGCCATCAGAGTGCAGCCGTCCTGTTGTGCAGTGTTCTCGGAAGCTCCCAAATCATGGACAGTGAAAGGCGGGCAAGTCTGCAGACTGACCACTGAGGAATGGGTAGACATGATGATGGACACAGACCCAGGTAAGAGGGGAAAGCAACTCCCTCCTGTCCTTTTCCTACCTCTAGTACCTTCAAACCAGACAGGTCTTTCTTTTTTTCCTGTGACTTTGAACTTCTCATACCCACTAAATTCTGTGTTTTTTGAATCCCCAAGAATCCTGCTTTCCATACACAATAAACATTTGTTGGGTAATTAGAAGCCCAAATCAATGTCTTATAGGTAATCTTTTTTTTCACATCAGAAGACGAAAAGAAAAATTTGGGGGAATGCTTGCCTTGTAGTAGCTCTTACTGCTTCGGGAGTCATTTATTAAAATTTCACCCTAGCTGAGGAGCTCAATTGGTTAGAGTGGTGTTCCAGCACACCAAGGTTGCAGGTTCAATCCCTGCTTACGGTACATACAAGAATGAACCAATGAATGCATAAATAAGTGAAACAACAAATCTCTAAGCATCAATACATAAAATTTTAAAATAAAATTTCAGAAATTTTATGAGCCAGTTGTTAAACATGGTCCTTATCAAAAATTGTTATATAAACTTACAATTATATTAAAAACAAGTGTAATAAATACAAACTCGCTACTGCCTCATTATTTACTACATTTTAATACTCTTTGCTTGTGAGGTTATTTGCATCTGTTTTATCTGCCTGGGGAAATACTATAAAATGTGTGCTACTGTGCGTTTCTTCCCAACTCCGCACTTAGCAATATCACACTGGTAGCTTGAAATTGTCCATGGCGGGAATATTTGCACCACAGAAATAAACTACATGTACATACATGTCTACTAAAAAGAATGTGCTACATACCAAAACAAGAAGTAGAAACAAAATGCTATCTAGACATAGAGAGTGAAGAATTATATTGAACGAGAAGCACATTCAAACTTCTAAATAATGTCTCTTCATTGTTGGGTTTTGGCAACCCCCATCTGCAGTAAAAGCACTTGTCTCCACAAGGTGAATGGGGCGTTGCCTTGCCATCATCTCTCAAGTCACACCACCCGGACAGTCAGAGAATACACCTCCTGCTGAGGTCTTTCAGTCGTGAAAAGATGAACTAACATGTCAGGATAACATGTTTTCTCTCTTTCTTGAGATCTTGTACGCTTGTCCAAAGACTTTGAATCTCAGCTGAGTCTGTCTAGCGGGCCTCCTCTCAGCAGACCAGTGTACTCCAAGAAAGGCCTGGAACATAAGGAGGATCTCCAGCGACTTTTATTTCCAGGTAGCAATTATGGTTTGCCTACTTGACACCAGCCAGTTTCTGTGCTGGGATAAGGGGAGGTAAATGGTGATGCTTGTGTTTGAAAATCCAGAAAGTAACCCTTACTGCTGTGACTCAGTGGGTTGGGCATTATCCTGAGATTTGAAAAGTGGCTGATTTGATTGCCAGTCAGGGCACATGGGTGGATTGATGGGCAGCTCCCTGGTTGGGGGAGTGTGAGAATCAACCGATTGATGTTTCTCTCACATATTGATGTTTCTCTCCCTCTCCTTCTCCCTTTTCTCCCTTCTGTTTAAAACTAAATTTTAAAATCTTTAAAAAAAATCCTGAAAGTATACTCTGCAAACCTATGTGTAGCAGATGACAATGCTACCAGTACAGTGGTGATGAATAATTTAGAAGTGATCCCTCACTGACCCCACTGGCTGAGGCAGTACCACATGTAGAATCCAGGACTATTAATGCCCTTAAAGACTTTTGGTCTTCGAATTCTCAAAATACACTGATCATAGATATTTCTGGTGATTTTAAAATGTACAGATACCTGCCCTGGGTGGTGTGGCTCAATAGATTGAGTGCCGGCCTGGGACCCCAAAGGTCCCCGGCTGGATTCCCCGTCAGGGCACGTGCCTGGGTTGTGGGCCAGGTCCCCAGTTGGGGGCGTGTGAGAGACAGCCAATCCATGTATCTCTCACACATTGATGTTTCTATCTCTCTCTCTCTCTCTCTCTCTCTCTCTCTAAAAGTAAATAAATAAAGTCTTTAAGCAAAACAAAGGCTGAAATATATTTTTAAAATGTACATACACCTGATTACTCATTCCAGACTCAATAAATTAGAATATGGGATATCTCATTATGTGTATTTTTATCAAGCTTACTCACATGATTTTGATGTTTATCCAGATTGGACACTGTAGTTGAACTAGAGGAATGCACTACACCAAGAGCAAAAAATTCCCCGCCTCTGCCATATTCTCCAGAGGAGTGCCTGTTATGAATATTAAAAAGAATAAAGATTTATATCAAGCTGTAACACTAAATAAAATGCAGGTCAATTATGAACTCATTTCAGGCTTAGGAAAAACAATTGTGTCTGACAGCACACAATTTTGTTTCAGAACCAGGGACAGTGCCTGTTTAAATCCCTACAGTGTAAGTTTATTCTTGTGTCACATAATTGTTCCTTGCTCCCGAGTGATGGAGGGAGACTGTTGGGATGGGTGCAGTCTCACCTTGATCTGTGAGTGATGCCAGGGTTTTGCTTCAAGAGAGGTAGCTCAGGGCCTAACCTCAGGGCCTCCCAGTCAGAGACTACAGGAGATTCTCTGGTAAGAAATGGTTTAACGTGGCTCTACATTCTCTGCAAGTATTTAATGAGCACCTTCTTCCTGGGGGGGCTCCTTCTACCTCCATCAATGGGGTCTGTTCAGAGAAAATTTGATATTCAAATATTTTGAGAGTAGGAAGGGGAACAGAAGTAACATTTTCCAAGCAGCTACAATGAACCAGGTATTTTATGCTATCTTATTTATTCTGCACCATAGGAAATATGGTATTTGTTTGTTTGTTTGTTTTACAGATAAGGGAACAGACTCTTAGACAAACAAAGGAATTTCTCAAGGTCATAAACATAATGAGCTCATAGGTTTAGAGACAGTGTGCCAGGTTTTCAAAACTTCTTTCCTTTTATTATAAAAGAATATTTACAAAAGAACATGTATGAAAAAAATGTTAATTTACCAAAGATTAATTACAATTGAGTGTAAGTATAAGAATTCCTTTTTATTAATTATAATTAATCATAAAATAAATATGATATTGACCTCAAATTTATAATTCCCTCCATATCTAGTGCCATCTGAAGGTTTGCAATATAAACCTGAATCCCTGTGGCGGGAACTATCCTCAGAGCATGAAGGTCTGGAGGAGTTAATAAACGAGCAAATGCATCCTTTCTCCCTGGGAATTTTGATCCTTTCTAGAAGCTGGGCTGTGGACCTGAACTTGCCAGAGAAGCCAGGAGTCATCTGTGATGCTCTGCTGGTAACACAGAACAGCGCCCCCATCCTCTATACAGTTCTCAGGGGGCAGGATGCAGGCGGGCAGCGGTACTGCACCGACACAGCCTTTACTTTGAAGCAGAAGCTGGTGAACACGGGCGGCTACACCGGGAGGCTGTGTGTCACGCCCAGGGTCCTCCAGATGAGTCCTGACAGCGATGCAGAGCCCTGTGAAGGCTCAGGAGGCTCTCTGATTGACTACCCGGAGTCCTATAACCTTGCAGACACCCAGCAAATGGAAACCTTGCTGCACTCCCTGGTGATTGTCTTACTGGGCTTCAAGTCTTTCCTGAGTGACCAGGTCGGCTGTGAGATTTTAAATCTGCTCACAGCCCAACAGTATGAGATCATCTCAAAAAACCTTCGCAAGACCAGAAAATCATTTATCCATGGTTTACCCGGCACAGGGAAGACCATCATAGCCATGAAGATTATGGAGAAGATCAAGAATGTGTTTCGTTGTGAGAAAAATGAAATTCTCTATGTCTGTGAGAACCAGCCTTTGAGGGACTTTATCCGGTAAGCAGTTGTATCTTGTTGTCAGCAAATGAGGTTCAGTCTGAATTCATTCCTTACCTCCCTCTAGTCAAATCATTTTGCTCCTTGAGAGTAGGATGGTAAAGTGATGCATAACCACAGTCCTGTGTACACAGGAGTATGATAGGGTAACTTTCCTCCTTCCTGTACTTAGAAAACACCTGAGTGTGTCATTTAAATTTTTTAACTGTTCATATATGTTGTTTTTTTCTTTTAATGTTTACAGTAATAAAAATATCTGCTGCACAGTGACCCGGAAAACCTTCATGAGTTCTGACTTCAAAAAGATTAAACACATCATCATTGATGAAGCTCAGAATTTCCGCACTGAAGATGGGGACTGGTATAAGAAGGCAGAAACCATCACTGAGAAAGGAAAGGGTCATCCAGGAATTCTCTGGATCTTTCTAGACTACTTTCAGACCAGTCAGATGGCTGACAGTGGCCTCCCCCGTCTCGAACACCAGGACACAAAAGAAGAGCTCACTAGAATGGTCCGCAATGCAGATCAAATAGTCAACTACTTACAGGAAAGAATGCACAAGGTCAGAGAAAATCCACCACCTAACATCCCTCCTGAGTCCCTAAAGATACTCCATGAAGTTGAATGGGCTCAAGGTGTTCCAGGCGAGTGTAAGATTACAACGTACTTGAACTTGGATCAAGTGGTGGCTTATATAACAAAGAAATGCCAGTTTTTCTTGAAGCAAGGTTATTCCTGCAAAGATATTGCTGTGCTTTGCAGCACAACAAGTGATATGGAAAAATATAAATCTAAGCTTCAAACAGCAATGAGTAAGAGAGAAAGTTCTGAGTCCAATGAGGGATCTCATTTGTTTGAACAGTTCGAAAATGCATCAGATGTCACAGGCAATCACATCGTGTTGGACAGTATCCGTCGATTTTCAGGCCTGGAAAGAAACATTGTGTTTGGGATCAATCCACGGGCAGCTGAGCCAGCTGTTTTCAACAATCTTCTGCTCTGTCTGGCTTCCAGGGCCAGGAAACATCTGTATATTCTGATGCTAAACTAAGAAGAGTTGATGGTGAAAAAAATATACCCTCTGTCATAGTTTCAGAAAAGGAATGATGTAGGGGACCATTCTGCGTGGCGTGGACCCAGCTCCCAGTGGAAAGCAAGGTCGGATGCACGGGACCCATCCCCATGGATAGGTTCTCCCATGGGGAATCAGGAGTGCAGTGTACCTAGGCCCCTTTGAGACTTGCTTTTGGAAAACTCCCTCACCCTGAATTGCAGCAAACATTTACTGCAAAGTGACTTCCTAAAATCCATGCCAAACCTTCCAAGGACAAGTGTAACCAGTTCAACCACTTTTCCCATTGCATTTGCAAATATCCACAAATATCCGTCTGCAGTGATGTCATTACGGGCATCCTCTCCTTTGTGTTCTGTAAATGGTAACCACCTACAGGGAACCTGTGCATAGTTAATGAGGACCTTCATGTGATGTGCCCAGAAAGACAATAAAAGCTCATGGAAGGAGGGGCCAAGGCTTTTGGCTCCTCTTGACAGCAAAGCTGCCCACCCTTTTCCTCCACAGGATTCGGTAGTCCATGTGAATTTCTTTTGTCTCAGCTACAATGCGGGGTGAACCCCACGAGTTGGGGTCCAAGACAGAATGACCCATCTGCATCATACAAGCATTATTTGTAACAATTGACCCTTGCAAGAAAATTGGCTTCAGACTTCCGGCCAAGAGCAGGACGTAGGTAGACACACTGTGCCTCCCCACACAACAAAAAGAAGGACAACAATTTAAAAACAAAAAACTATCAGTACTGACAGAAAATCGAACTGTGTGGAAGCCCGACAACCAAGGAGTTAAAGAAGAAACATTCATTCAGACCAGTAGGAGGGGTGGAGACGTGCAGCCGGGCGGAGAGGACTCCCAGCAAGGCGGCAGCAGGCAGACCGGGCGAGGTGACGGATAGTGGAGGGGCCCAGTGCACAAGGTGGCTGGCAGACTAGGTGGTCCCACATTCGTGTGAAGATAAACCAAGGCAAAACTGGGGAGTGGAATGGACTGTGCAACTCAGGGCCCCAGCTCAGGGAAATAAAGGTTCAAACACCAGTTGAAAACACCTGTGGGGATTGAGGTGCCAGGAGAGACTCCCAGCCTCACAGAAGAGTTCGTTGGAAAGACCCACAGGGTCATAGAATATGCACAAACCCACCCACCTTGGAATCAGCACCAGAAGGGCCCAGTTTGCTTGGGGGAAGCAGCAGAGGGGATTGAAATGAAAGAGAGAGCAGAGCAAGCACCAGAGTTCCCTCTCAGACCCTGCCCCACAGAGAACGTCACAACCCAGGGACTGGGTTGCTCCACCCCTCGTATGTACCAGGCGCAACAAGACAAAAACAAAAAATGGCCCAAACAAAAGAACAGATCAAAGCTCCAGAAAAAATACAACTAAATGACAAAGAGATAGCCAACCTATCAGATGCACAGTTCAGAGCACTGGTAATCAGGATGTTCACAGAATTGGTTGAATTTGGTCACAAATTAGACGAAGAAATGAAGGCTATGCTAAGTGAAATGAAGGAAAATGTACAGGGAACCAATAGTGATGGGAAGGAAGCTGGGACTCAAACAATGGAGTGCTGTACCAGGCGGAAGAAAGAAACATCCAACCAGAAAAGAATGAAGAAACAAGACTTCAAAAAAATGTGGAGAGGCTTAGGAACTTCCAGAACACCTTTAAACGTTCCAACATCTGAATTCTAGGGGTACCAGAAGGAGAAGAGGAGGAGCAACAAGTGGAAAACTTATTTGAACAAATAATAAAGGAGAACTTCCCCAATCTGGCAAAGGAAATAGACTTCCAGGAAGTCCAGAAAGCTCAGAGAGTCCCTAAGAAGTTGGACCCATGGAGGAACACACCAAGGCACATCATAATTACATTACCCAAGACTAAAATGAAGGAAAGAAATGGAGAAAACTGTACTTGAACAATGATTAAAATTAAAAAAAGAAAAGGAGAGAATCTTAGAAGCAGCGAGAAATAAGGAGACAGTAATCTACACAGGAGTTCCCATCAGACTGTCAGCTGATTTCTCAAAAGACATCTTACAGGCAAGAAGGGGCTGGAAAGAAGTATTCCAAGTCATGAAAGGCCAGGACCTACATCCAAGATTGCTCTATTCAGCAAAACTTTTATTTAGAATGGAAGGGCAGATAAAGTGCTTCTAAGATAAGGTCAAGTTAAAGGAGTTCATCATCACTGAGCCCTTATTATATGAAATATTAAAGGGACTCACCTAAGAAAAAGAAGATAAAAAACATGTGCAGTAAAATGACAGGAAACTCACAATTATTAACAGCCACACCTAAAACAAAAACAAAAAGAAACTAAGCAAACAACTAGAACAGGAACTGACCCACAGAAATGGAGATCACATGGAGGGTTAGCAACAGGGGAGTGGGAGGAGGAGAGAGGGGGAAAAGGTACAGAGAATAAGTGGCATAGATGGTAGGTAGAAGATAGCCAGGGGGAGGGCAAGAACAGTACGGGAAATGTAGAAGCTAAAGAACTTATAAGTATGACACATGGACATGAACTAAAGGGGGGAATGTGGGTGGGAGGGGGTGTGCAGGGTGGAGGGGAGTGAAGGGGGGAAAATGGAACAATTGTAATAGCATGGTCAATAAAATATATTTTTAAAAAGTTATACAGACTTAGAGTAATGACTTAATGTCTTCATTAAAATACTAAAGTTCTTTAGAATACCCACAAATGCACATAGTCCTTCCTTCTCCCCTTTGTCCACTCCGAGGTACCATATCTCAGGAGAAGGAGTAGAAGTCTATGGTTCAAGCAGCCCCTTGGTTCCAGCACCATCCACTGTGTCGCTACCGCCATCTCCAGTTAATCCAGAGCCATCTGGCACCTTCTCCTGACCCACCAGCAAAAGTCCTTTCTCCCCTTTTCTTAGTGCAATATCTCCTGCCACCTAAGCCACATGGCGAAAGGGAGCACCGCTCTCTCTATTTGGGGAGTGGGTGCCCCGTGGTCCTCTCTCTGATGTGGCTGCCACACCTGGGTTTAAATCCCCGTGCCAGTCTTCCTCTGCAGCTTCATTTCCAACTCCTCCTACAATCGGTTACACCTCCAGCATTCCTGTATTCTTCCAGCTTTACTGGGCTGCTATAGTAAGTCTGGGCAGGCATGGCCCCATGGCATGGAGCCAATCATCTTCAAGCTCTCACACAGGCGCTATAACCAGGGGACGTTGCCTCCCAGTTACATCCTGGGTTGAAGTCACTCCCATCCCCCTGGCTCGAGACATGGCCACAGCTATTTAACACATCCATGAAACCAGTTAAAGGCTATAGATATGTTGTTAAATGACCATGCCAGGGTTAGCTGCAAGGCTGTGGCTGTGCAACACAGCTCTGAATGGCCCTGCTCCATGTGTCCCATCCCCCAGCTCAGACTGGTGAGGGGTGAGGACATCATATATATTTTTCTCTAATATTTCCTGAACACCCTGAGTTCTGTACCCCACTACAAATCCCTATTTGAGGCCCTTCCTTGGCTGCGCTCTGTTACAGAAGGGCCCAATTTGCTTGTGGGTGGCAGGGGAAGTGACTGAAAGCCGGCAGAGAGCAGAACAAGTGCCATTGTTCCCTCTTGGACCCCTCCCCACACACAGTGTCACAACGCAGTGAGATGGGTTGCCCCACCCTGGTGAACACCTAAGGCTCTGTCCTTTAGTAAGTAACAAGTGAACCAAGATAAAAAAAAATGGCCCAAATGAAAGAATAGATCACTATAGGGAACTGATCGGCACGGCAATGGAGAATGTAGCCCAGTATTGATCCGGAAAACCAATCAATATGAGGTGGCACACAGGAGCCAGGTGTGCAGATCAGCTTTCCCTGGGGAACCAGGTCCACATTGTGCCCAGGCTGCTATGAGACTTGCTTTTGCTAAAACTCCCTCACCCTGAGTTGAGACTGCAGGTGTTTAATGTGCATCTCTGAAGCACCTCCCTAAGTCTGTGCTAAGCCGTCCCAAGGATGAAATGTAACCACATCAATCATTTTTATCATTCCCTTGCATTTGCAGCTTGCTCTCCTTTTCTGTCATCTGTAAGAAGTAATCACTTAACTGAATCTAGAAATACTGAGAACCTTCTTTGATGTAATGTGACTGGAAAGCAATAAAAGCCTGTCTGGGCAAGGGTCGGAGCTCTCTCCCCTTGAGGGAGTGGCCATGACGTCCCTTTTTCTCCTCAGGACTCGGTAGTCTGTGTGAATTTGTGTACCGCATCCACAGCACACGGATCCCGGAGGGCTGGAGTCTGCATCAGATCGAAGCTACAGAAAAAATACAGCTAAACGACAAAGAGATAGCCAACCTATCAGATGCACAGTTCAAAACACTGGTGATCAGGATGCTCACAGAATTGGTTGAATATGGTCGCAAATTAGATGAAAAACATGAAGGCTATGCTAAGTGAAATAAAGGAAAACGTACAGGGAACCAACAGAGATGGGGAGGAAGCTGGGACAAAGATCAATGGTGTGGACCAGAAGGGAGAAAGAAACGATGAACAGGCAGAGGAGCCCCAGCCTTGTGGGTGCTGTCTCCCAGCAGAGGCCAACACAGCCCCGCAGCGGGTTACGGCTGCAAGCTCTAACAAGCCGGCTGCCTCTGAGTGGCGGGGGATGGTGAAAGCAGGGACTGCCCGGGGTGCGGGTTCAGTGCTGCACCACTGCGGTGCGCTGCTGTGTTAAGATGAATGCGCAGTTTTATCCTAAGAATGCGAGGTTCGGTTTAACCTGTGAAAATCAACGAATGTAACCCAGCACATCAACAGATGAAAGGAGAAAAACGATATAACTGTCTCCATGAATGCAGAAAAAGCACTTAATGCTATTTGACATGCATTGAAGATACACACACACACAACCAACTAGGACTAAAAAGGAACTTCCTCTTCCTGGGTAAAGGAGGTGCAGAAGCTCCCACCAAGTATTACACTCAGTGGTGGGATGTTGCTTGCTTTCCCTGGAAAGACTGGGCTGTGGATACACTAGGGGATCAAGGCTGGGTTAGAAGAAAGGCTCATTCTTGCAACTTCTCCAATCACATGGTCATCACTTTGACTGGCTTGACCTTTGTGTAGGTAATTGGAGGGGCGACCTGTTTGGGGATGTGATGAAATGTGGGAACAGGTAATGCTCCGGCATTCCCAGGGGGCTGGCCAAGGAAGGCACAGCAGGAAGGAGAAGATGGAGCTGGGTGGGCCTGGGTGCCCCTAGGTGACCAGCTGCTTCAGCCCTTGTTTCTCCCTCACCAGGGACAACAGGGCGGCCCAGCCACGAAGGCAGATCTGGGGGAGGGAGTCCAAGAGGGCCCCAGTGCGAAGCTGGTGCATCTGGAACCCCGCAGGCCGGCCCTGTAGGAGGCCAGAGAAGGGGCGCGGCCTGAGCCAAAGGCCTATGGCTGGGAAAAGGGCGGGGGGGGGGTAGAAGGAGTGGGCGAGCTAAGTGGGGAGGAAACAAGCAAAGGGAGGAAGAGAGGAGGAGCAGAAAGATCCCAAGACTCAGTTCCGTTTTCTCCAGACGCAAGCCCCAAGGCCTGCCCTGCTCCGGGGTTCACGCAAGCAGGCCCCACCGTGGGTGGAGTCTAAGTTCGAATCCAGTCTTCTCTCCGGGCGTGTTGTGGAAGTCAGAGCCACAGCAGCGAAAGAGCGGTGGTGGAATTCTCCTTTCCCTCATTTCGAGGTAGGCTGGCCTCCTCCTGGGGAGGGGGTGGACGCCGGACAGGACCCTACAGCCCGCGAGGCCAGTGGTCCAGGCGGGAAAGGTCTGGGGGTCCTCCGGAGGCTGCGCCCGCAGTGCGCACGGCCCTGCGAAGCTGTGAACAGGTTTCGTTTCTAACACTCTCGACTCATTCTGCTTAACTGCTGCTAAAAACAAACAAACAAACAAACAAACAAACAAACAAACAAACAAAGTAAAAGCAATGCTAGGCACCCAGAGGTAGCCAGGGATGTCTGTCCTCCCCGACTCAGGGACACCCCCGCCCCCCGCTCAGTTCAGGGAGCGAGCTTGGAGCTGGGTGGGGCGGGGAGTGGAGGGGTGGCAGACGCTGCCCGGCTTCACTCCTGGGTGAGCCGGGAATGTAAGGACCGTTCCCGCGGCTCCCAGACTGGAGGTCCGGGCGAGCTGGCCCCTATGCCGGGCTCCGCACGGCCTCAGCTTCTCTCCAGCCACCGTGAACTCGTCCGATCCCATCCTCTCGGGCGCGGGCGCCAGGGGAGTGGGAGGAAGAGAGCGCATCCTCCAGCAGCGCTGCGCTTCCAGAGCTTTCCTCTCCCGCAGGGGAATCCGGGCCTTTCAGGTGGAGGTTGAAGAGTAACTTTCCTCGAAACTACAGACAGTGGGGTCTGCAGAGGGGAGCAGAGCGGGCTGTGTACTGACTGGTGGGCTGGGGCAGAAGTGCCCCCACGGCCTGGGCAAGAGAGCGCTGAGCAGGGCACCAGGAGCCAGGGCAACCGGCAACCCAGGCCGGTGCCCTGACTGGGAATGGAACCAGCCATGCTGCCGCACCCCCGGAGCCACACCAGTCAGGGTCGTTCCAGTTCCAACACTGGTTCGTCCTTTTCTGTCATCAGGTGTCCGTCCCAGTCTTTTAATCGGGGCACGTAGTCCATTTCCATCTGGTGTGATTACTGAGGTGTTTGGGTTTATGCTCATAGAGGACGTATCCTTCGCTATTTGTTTTATAGTTGGCCTGTGTATTTTATGTTTCACTTTCCCTCCTCCTTCTGGACTAGTCGAGTGTTGATAAACTGCCATGCCCTCACTTGCATGTTAGTTCATTTTTTGCCAGTCGTATAAGGGTTACATTAGAAGTTATGACATGCATTTTTGGCCTGCTACATCCTATCTAATGTGGTTTATTACCTTTACCTCGTCCCCAGGTACACTAGGGATTTGCATTCCTTTGCCCATTTCTGCCTTTTTTTTTTTTTTTGCTGTTGTTGTTACTTATTTAATAATTAAACAAACATACTGTTAATCTCTAAGAGCCCTTTTTGTTTTATACAGCAATAGGTATCACTATTCCCCCACATACTTACCCTTTCAGGAAGGTTGAAATTATTTAAAAATTAAGTAACTAATAAGACTCGGTTCAGGCATCACCTCATTGAGAGATAAATCTCACCTCCCCTGGCCTCAGCTGTGCGTCTCCTTGGTGCCCAGGGTCCCTGCATTGTCCTTTCCTTTCACTTCCCAGAAGCACAATTGTCTTCTTGTCTGTGAGTATGCTGGTCAGCGATGAGCTCCTCCAAACCAGACACCGTGTTGCATTTATGTGACCAGCACCAAGCCCAGAACCTGGTACAAGATGAGCTTCCTAGTACTGACTGCATGAACCCATGCAAGAATGGTTGTCAACGTCTCCGAGCGCCTTCTGAATGTTCCCATCCTCTGGTCTCAGGCAGGTCAGGTTCCCTGAGCCCCAGAAACACTGTGCAGGAGCTGTGGGTCCTCCGCCCTGTGCAGGGCTCAGACTTAGTCCATGAAGAAATGCGTGTTCTCTCTCTCTACCCCTCTGTTCCTTTGTGTCAAGGGGCATGGTGTGTTTTGTAAGTGGGCCTAGTGACCCAATGCTGTCCTCCATAGAGGAAATCAAGGTGTCATGTGTGACACCTGCCCTGTTTCTCAGAACAACCTCCCAGTTCTCTCCACAAGCAGTTGACAAAATACAGACCATGGGGCAAACCCAGCCCACTACCCGTTTGGGTTCAGCTGAAAAAATCTGAAGCAGAGTGATGTGTTGTGACATGAGAAAATCAGATAATATTTACATTTCATTGTCCTCCATGTGGAGTCTTTCAGAAGGCAGCCACGTGGTGCATTTATGCACCGTCCTTGGCTGGTTTTGTGCTGCGTGGGCAGAGCTGCGTAATCACAGCAGAGACTCCGCCTGACAGAGACTGCCACGTTCACGCTCTGGCCTCTCACTGAAAACGTCTGCTGGCCCCTGACCCACAGTCCACAGGGCGCAGGGGCCACCCCGCGAGCACCGCGCTAACGTTACAGCAGAAGCTGGTGCAACGGGAGCCTGGGCTGCACACGTCCAGTCTGTCGTCATGGTCTGCCCCTCCCCGCCCAGCAATGACAGGACCCAAGTCTGAGAGGGTGCAGGCTCGCCAAGGACATATCCCCAGACCGAAAGCCTTACGAACGCCCAGAAAGCGAAGCTTTGTTGCAGTCTCTTTATTAACTTTTTTTTTTTTTTTGGCCTGGTGTATTCTGATGTGAACAGCTGAGCTCTGAAGCGTGAACCTACCCAGGTAACAACGTCAGCTGGTTTTACAGAACCGTGGTGAGAGCAGAAGGTGTTTGCAACCTGCCTGAAACGGGGAGACGATCAGGAGCGTTTCCCGGAGAGAGAGTCGGGGGATGGTTTCTCCCTCCATGAGGAAGAGCCTCTGCAGAAGTGGGCTGATGCGGGTCCCGGGCCCGGTGCCGGGCGGGGACGGCGCGGTGCTACAGCGTCTATGTGCACGGCAGTTTGATGGTTGAATCTGCTTTCTTTAGTCTATTAGAAAAACCTGCACTTGTGCCTTACATTTTTTTTTAAAAGATTTTATTTATTTAGTTTTAGAGAGAGGGGAAAGGAGGGAGAAAGAGAGGGAGAGAAACATCAGTGTGTGGTTGCCTCTCACACGCCCCCACTGGGGACCTGGCCTGCAACCCAGGCATGTGCCCTCACTGGGAATTGAACTGGCAACCCTGTGGTTCCCAGGCTCCCACTGACTCCACTGGGCCACACCAGCTAGGCCTGTGCTTTACATTTTTAACAGCAAAAAAGACATCTTCCAGGCAGTAGCCCAGGAAACCTTCACAAAAAAGCAACTTTGAGAAGAGGGAACATGTTGTCATTGCAAAGCTAAGAATGTCCACACCAACAACATGGACTGCTATGAGGGGGAAACTCATTCAAAGGAGAAAGGATTGCCCAGGAGTATTCTTTGGATTTTCAGGGACCACTTTCTGACTAGCAGTTGGATTGTGGGCCGGGGGTGGTGTAGAAGCATGTTGCCCAGAGCAGCTCCATCTCTGAGAACCTTGGGGCCCCTTTCTGTAAAACGGTGCTTCTCAAACTGTGCTGCGTTACGTGCATGTGAATCCCACGGAGATCCTGCTAAAATGTTGCTTCACAAGGTCTGGGGTGGAGCCTGATATTCTGCGTTTTCTAGTAGCTCCCAGCGGTGCTAAAGCTGCTGGTCCACAGGCCACATTTTGAGTCCCGAGGCTCTAGCAGATGCCAATGAAGTAAAGGCATTTCAAACGCATTAACTATTGACCCCTGCTGAGTCCAGGCGTCAATTAGCCAAACCCAACATGGTATTAGGACCTCCCAGGATCAACACGTTCAATCCCAGCTGAGTGTCCAGGATTTCAGGCAGATCAGGCCTTGTATTCCATCCTTCTTTGTGGAACAGGAGCATGGTCAGTGCATTGCCACAGCGGCTCCCCATCCAGGGCGGGGCAAAAGGAGGTTTACAGCTATTGGTATGAGGAATACTACAACCATTCATAAATCATAATGCAAGAATAAGATCTGTGTTTCATGTACTCACACCTGGACACCCCCCTTTGCCCCCGCCCCGCACACTGACGTCACAGGGAGACCAGACAACAGGACAGGAGCCCTTCCTCCCCATCATCCCCGCCACCTCTCACAGCCGTCCTTCCTGCTCACTCGTTCCCAGCGCCGGTCCTGGGGCAGGTGTACCTGAGCAGAGCTGCAATCATGGGGTACAGTCCATGTTGTATCCTGCTTGGGGTGGTTCTTCTGGAAGCCATTCCCACTCTTCAGTCTGCTACACAGCACGTGAGACATTTCTCACACTGCAGCCTGCTGGGGGGGGCAACTCCCAGTGCAAATGGCCTCTCAGATTCCTTGTGGTTTCTTGGGCCAGTCTGCCTGCATTTGCACCCACAGAGAGGAAGACGGTGACGGGCAAGCAAAGGACGCTAAAGCTCTGCACCAAACCCCACGAGATGCACGGATGGGGGGGGGGGTTGAAGTTTTAGGGAACACAGCAACAGGGGGTCACACTTAGGACAGAAGACGCTTCTCCCCTGGCCTTGTGGCTGTGCCTGTCCCGAGGAGTGGCCGTTGCCAGGGGCCCAGCTCAGGTGGTCTGTGGGGCAACCCTATGCTTGTGCAAAGCTACCTCAGTGGACTTTTCTGTATTTGCCCGATAGGAATCACGTGGCGTGATGGTTAAAATTCCAGATCCCTGTACCTTTCTCAACTCTAAGACACGTGCCTGCAACTAATTTGGAGATGGTGTGGGAGATACCGCACTGAACGTTGAAAGGGGTGGAACCCATAACTGGGCTACAGGAAGAACACCCACCACCACTTAGGGCGCTACCTGGGAACCACAAGCTCCCTGAGCCTTGGGGCACCCCTGTACTCGTGTGGGTTTCGAGTCAGATGCGACAAGCTCCAGATACGGGCTCAAGCACCCAGTGTGACTTGGGCAAGTCAACTGATCTTATGTAAAATGGAAAAAAACTCTCTCCCTCACGTGGTGGTTGCCCAGATTAAGAGCTTTATTTCGTGTGCTTGGCACAAAGCAGTGTCCACAAGCAGTAGTTCCTAACCCAAGATCTCAGTGCCTGGCATGTACATGGCCCAAGACTCAGTTTGGGAGAGTCACTTTGACATCATCATCATCATCACTTAACCTTTCTGAAGCGTGGTTTCTGCCTCGAGGTAACCGCGGCACCAGGAACGGCTCGGCTCCGGGCTTGTGCTGGCACAACGCTGAGTCCCGTGCGGACGTCGTTATCCAGATGCCCTGTGGTCCCCGCTGGGTTTGTCTCCCTGGACAGTTTTCAAGTGTGCTTAAAAAGAAATGCTGTGTCTCTTGGGGGTAATTTGTAGGTTGCCATACTTTTCTGCAACTGGACAGTTACCTGCTGTCGACACACGTAGGCAACCTCATGAAGCGACATCGCTGGCCAGATGGGAAACAGAGTTGGCAGAAATCGGATGTGGGCGGCAGTCCGTAATGCTAGTAATTTCTGTGACAGTCCACCGTGAAGAGCGAGCCTAGAGACTGTGGCGAGGGGACACAGGAAATGGGCGTTCAGGGTTCCCCAGCCTGGCTGAGCGTAGAACCGCCTGGGGTCTTGAAAAGATACATTCATGGTTCAAATCTGCGTGTCTGGGGAGCAGCCCTAGAATCTGTATTATTTAAGTGTAGTTTATTGATTATGTTATTACAGTTGTCCCATTTTTCCTCTCCTTTACTCCCCTTCTCCCTGCACCCCCCTTCCCACCAGCATTATTGCCTTCCCCCTTAGTTCATGTCCATGGCTCGTACATACAAGTTCTTTGGCTTCTCCATTTCCCATACTATTCCTCCCCCTGTCTACTTCGTACCTACCATTTAGGCTTCTTATTCCCTGTACCTTTCCCCCCATTCTCCCTAGCTCTCCCTCTGCACTAATATCCCTTCATGTGCTCGCCATTTCTGTGATTCTGTTCCTGTTCTAGTTGTTTGCTTAGTTTGTTTTTGTTTTTGTTTAGGTACAGTTGTTGATAGTTACGAATTTGTTGTCATTTTATTATTCATATTTTTTGTCATCTTCTTTTTCCAAGTCCCTTTAACATTTCACATAATAATTGGCTTGGTGATGATGAACTCCTTTAACTTGACCTTATCTGGGAAGCACTTTATCTGTCCTCCCATTCTAAATGAAAGCTTTGCTGGATAGAGCAATCTTGGATGTAGGTCCTGGCCTTTCATGACTTTGAATACTTCTTTTCAGCCCCTTCTCGCCTGTAAGGTCTCTCTTGAGAAATCAGCTGATAGTCTTGTGGAACTCCTTTGTAGGTAACTGTCTCCTTTTCTCTTCCTGCTGTTAAGGTTCTCTCCTCATCTTTCATCTTGGGTAATGTAATTATGATGTGCCTTGGTGTGTGCTTCCTTGGGTCCAACTTCTTTGGGACTCTCGGAGCTTCCTGGGCTTCCTGGAAGTCTATGTCCTTTGCCAGAATGGGCAAGTTCACCAGTATTTTTTCAAGTAAGTTTTTAATTTCTTGCTCTTCCTCTTCTCCTTCTGGAACTCCTATGATTTGGTTGTTGGAACATTTAAAGTTGTCCCAGAGGTTCCTAAGGTCTCCTCATTTTTTTCTGAATTCTAGTTTCTTCATTCTGTTCTAATTGAATGTTTATTTCTTCTTTCTGCTCCAAGTCATTATTTGAGTCCTAGTTCCCTTCCCTTCATTGTTGGTTCCCTGTATATTTTCCTTTATTTCACTTTGCATAGTCTTCACTTTTTCCTATTTTGTGACCATACTCAACCATTTTTGTGAGCATTCTGATTACCAGTGTTTTGAACTCTGCATCTGATAGGTCGGGTACCTCTTCATTGCTTAGGTTTTTTGCTGGGGGTTTTTTTTTTTTTTTGAGCTTTGATCTGTTCTTTCATTTGGGCTGTATTTCTTTGTCTTGGCATTCCTGTTATGTTGTAAGGGGCAGAATCCTTAGGATTCACCCAGGCAAGGGAACCATGTCACTGTGTTGTGGCTCTTTGTACAGGGGAGTGGCAGAAAGGGAACAGTGCCACTTGCTTGGCTCTGGTCCCGCTTTCAGTCATTTCTGCCACTACCCACAAGCAAATTGGGCCCTTCTGGTGTTGATCTGGGGTGGGCAGGTTTGTGTACATTCTAGAACCCTGTAGCTCTCTCCAACAAACAGTCCTGTGAGGCTAGGAGTTTCTCTTGCCACAGGAAACCCCACAGGTTTTTTTTTACAGAGATTTTGAGAGTTTCTTTTCCTGTGCTGGAACCCTGGGTTGCATGGTCTGTCTCCCTCCCCTGGTGTTCCTGTGGATTTATGTGCCCGCACACGTGGGACCGCCTGCTCAGCCAGCCACCTTGGCGGACCAGTCCTCCCGCCACGCCACGCCACTGCCTTGCTGCTCAGCCTCTCCACCCAGCTGCCTGTCTTTGCTCCTCCTACTGCTCTGGATGAGTGTTTCTTCTTTAACTCCTTGGTTGCTGGACTTCCATACAGTTTGATTATCTGGCAGTTCTGGTTGTTTTTTGTTTTGAAATTGTTGTGGTCCTTATTTTGTTGTGTCAGGAGGCAAAATGTATGTACCTACACCTCCATCTTGGCCAGCTGCATTTTTTTAAAGGCATGCTGAAAGATTGAGAACTTGGTTCCAGTGTCTTTTTTCTTTTCATAATGCAAAAAGCTTTGATTGCCAGGCATCCACTTCAAAGATGACTGTCCTGAATAAACACATTGCCGGCCACCGCCCCTTACTGCAAGTTCTTTGTTTTACAGATCTTTGTTGATTCCGTCATTGACCATTTGGGCCACTGTTTTAAAAATTTTTGTCCTTGCCCTTTAAATTCTCACTCTTGTGTTTTAAATTCACCAATGAAGAGTAAGCCCGCGAAACCCTAGGCTCCACCCTCAGCCTAGACAAAAGCAGAAGCCCTGGCAGGTGCACTTTCTTTTTCTCCCTAGCCACAACCTCACTGTGTAACCTGAAGTGTGCTGTGTAACTTCCAGTTCCTGTAAGTAATAAACCTTTATGTTTTTCAGTTACGTGATGAGCATTCCTAAGGGCGTCTTACAGTCATAATAAGAACCACAAGGGCAGGCCCAACCACAACATTGCTTACGGACAAGATAAAATGCTGGTTCGTGGCATCTGAAGCTAAATTCCCCCCAGTGCACACCTGTCCTCAGAGTTAAAAATAATTGCTAAAGTCTTACTGCAATAATTCTCGAGATCTATAAGGATGGGCATGTGGAAGAAACCACACAGGAGCTCAAGGGACTGTGGCTGGTGTGGGTTCCAAAGGGAAGTTGCAGATCAAAGCAGTAAACAGAAGAAACTTAGAACAATAGTGTAAGGTTTTTCTGGACCCCGCCGAGGAAGTTAACAGCCAATTAGCCATAGAAACAGGTAGATGAGCTTTATTTTGGAAGTTTGTGCTCCCGGGCGACGTTTTCCCCGCCCGCCCGGAGAAGGGGCTAAGAAAAGACCGCGGCGCGGGAGAAAGGAAAGGCTGGGAGTTTTATATGGCTTGACTTGGCGCGGGAGCCAAGGATTGGTTCTTGGTGAACAAAGAAACAACTTAGCATTGGTGGCTCCTGGTCTGATGTCAGTCACCTCTTCTGGGTCAGAGTTCAGTTGCCATATTGCTTGTAGTCCAAACGGTGGCCATATTTGTAGTCCAAAATGCTAATTGTAACTAGATTCCTACTTGTCCTACCCTGCCCATTCTGACAAATAGCAACAACATTAGCCACCAAGTCAACCACAGGAGACCCCATAGAAATTTCAGCTATAACTGTCCGGATTACAGAGGCTACCAGAAAATTTAAGGACGTCAATGAGCTGTACAGCTTAATTCTCTATCTGGCTCTAGCAATCCCTTCCCCTCTCTCATTGCATTACATATTTCTTGAGTAATTCAGGCTTACGGTGCAAAATAACAATTCCTTCCTCCCTGTCTACCTCCTTCCTTTCCAATTCCGCTCCCCAGAAAGTGATCCTTCATAATACTTTGGTGCTTATCCAGATCTGCTTTTCTGTAGCCTTGTTCTCCAAGGATTTGAAAGTACCCCCTGTGAAATACAGTTTCGTTAGAGTCAAACCAAAATTATCTAGCCTTTTGCCTACTTATTAAAATGCCAAGTTTTTATTGATAGACAGGAAACCGTTCTTTTTCTTGAGGCCAGAAGGGGAGACATTAAGAGGCAAGAGCATTTTAATTTATTCTTCTGGGAAATCAAACCTACAGACAGGAACATATCTCAGTTTTCACAGAAACCAACTTAAAAAGGTATACACTGTAGGTCTGCTTTTCAGGCAAACCAAAACCTGGCATTCCTTGCAGCTCACTTTTGGCCAGAGGGCTCAGATTTCAGAGCCGGTTCTTCCTCTGGAAGGTCACCACAGCCCCCAGTCAAAGCTGCTGACTCCGGGACAGAACACGACTCCAGGACTTTTAACATCCCAACCCTGAAAAATCTTCTAACGCCCAAGGTGAGTACAGGTTGTCCAGAAAGACCCAAGCCTTGCCTGTTCAACAGAAAAGATGGTTTGAGAACGAGATTAAAAAAACCCTCTAAGATGAAAATCCACCTTGTGACCCTTGCAGATATATCTTGTCTATATGTTTGGCAGGAGGCAGAGGTGGACGCAAATGGCCACCCGTTTCTTAAGTGAAAGAGACAGAACTGTTCTGTAGATGGGACTCACCTTCCCGCTCAGGCCAGCCACGCGAGACTCCAGCCCAGACGACCTGGCCGAGTTCTGAGACAGATATGGTGTGCCGAGGTTGCAGGGGAGACTTATCAAAGCTCTGGGGAATAGACTTTCAAATGGGACAGGGAGGAGCTAGGGCTTTGGCGGGAAGAGATGACTGTTCGAGTATTTCGTCGGTTTGCTTTTCATAGTATATTTCACTTTCATAAATATTTATTTTATAAGTAATTTCACTTTCAGGAGAAATTTAAGATATATTGATTGGGAAGCTCTGTTCTAATTGGATTTTCCAGGTTATTTTTGTAAAGTGTCAAAAGTACATGTGGTTATTTTGTTTAGCAACATTAATTAAAAGCACTGCAAAGTGCTTTTAAACAAATTGCTTCTTCAAATCCTTTTGGCAACAGGGCACCAATGAATAGATAACTAAGAATAACACTTCCGCAGGTGCACAGTTGGGAAATATCTGCCATTCTAGACCAGGAAACCAATCTTCTGTAACAACAAATATTTAGTTCACTAGACACAGGCAGCACCTACATGCATCCGGGATATTTTCCATAGACATCAAGCGGTGTACTCACGATTACAACATGAATGTTTGTATTACTTCAGCCATAAATGTAAGATGATTATTTAGCCCCAAATTAAATAAACTATTTCCATATATGTGTGAGCAACGACCTGTTACAGACCATAATTACAGCACTGAGGTGAGGGGGAAAGAAGCAAATCAGAGGTCATCTAGCCCCAATTGTAATTCTGAGGGCGCCATAACTTCTCTTCATCTGTGTGCAGTCCCGCAGGACAGCATAATGCGTGGGGCAGGCGGAGCCAGGTTCAAGGATGTGTCTGTTGTTTCTTTGCGGATTGTAACTCTCTCAGAGGTCCGGGGGATCAAAACCCCATCTCCCTACTCCGTCCCTTCCCTTGGGCCCACACGCAGAGGCTCTGCTCCCCACGCCCCGGACCACTGCGCGCCCCATCCCCAAAGCAGTGCACGCTCCCCTACAGACACAGACCCACACAGGCTCTGCTCCCGGGAATCCACGCCAGTCCTGGGGCTCCCACGCTGTCCTGCGGGAGCCTTGCTGGCCAAGGCTGTGCGGAGCGGAGCGTTGCCGACGTTGGAAGACGTCGGAGAAGACTCGGTTGCTGGTGGAGCCCCAAGATCCGGGGGAGGGGGGACGGGGCGGAGGGCGTGGGGCCAAGACACGCAGCGAGCCGCGGGAAGTCGCGGAGCTGCAGCACGGGGCGCAGAAGGCGCAGAGCGCAGGCGCAGACCTGTCAGGGCCGCAGTGCAGTGCGCAGGCGCCACGTCAGAGGCGAAGAGCGGAGGGAGAAGGGAGCGGGGCCTGCGCGTTGGGACTGACGTTGCCTCAAGGCTTTCTCAAGTGAAAACATCTTCCTGTTACTATTCTTAAGTTACGCTTCTCTAGAATACTTTGTAAACATTATCAATCACATTTGTGAATTTATTGAGATGATTTGACTTTGTGTTAATTGCTCATGTCCTGTTTTATTAGTCATGGTTTTTCTTGTATGCACAATCTTATTCTGGGACAAACCCAGTTTGGGTTTGTGGTGTGTGTGTGGGAGCGCGCGCACGTGTGTGTGTAATAGCAGCAATAATAAGAAACTTAAGTACAAAAATAATATGACAAACACTCCCCCCCCCATACCTCAAATTGACAACTGCTGGCATTTTGTCATACTTAAAGTCCTTTTAAAATTCAATAAATAAAATTTGTAGATAAATTTGAAGTTCTCTTTGCCCTCCATCTACGGTTCCATTTTTTTTCTCACAAACACCCAAAATACAAAGTTTATTGTATATCTTTACAGTATTTTTTGCATGTACTGTTTTACGTACACATCCCCAGGAATAATGTGCACCTCGGGTGTGGGTGCACACTTAGCTTATTTAAGTAGTATAAACCTGTGTGTGCACTTCCACATCTTGACTTTTTAATGCTACGTTTTGCTTCTGATGGCTGTCACTGTGTGTGTTAGTTTATTCTCTTACATTGCTTTATAATATTCCTTTTAATAAATGGTACGACTTTCTCCCCCCCCCCCCCCACTGCTTCATTGATGGACAGTTGAGCTATTCCCAAAACTCGGTGTTGCGAACAGTGCTGAAAGTCTCCTGTACACGTTAGTTCTCTCCTCATCTGTGGAACACCGTGTTGTTTGCTTGCAAGTCTTGGTGATGACGAGCACAACTACTAGAAACAATTCATGTGTAGTTTTTTGTGTGGACATAAGTATTCAACTAATTTAAGTAAATCCAAAAAGCACAGTTACTGGATTATGTTGTTACAACGTGTTTAATTTTGTAAGAAACTGATAACTGTCATCCTGGCTGGTGTGGCTTAGTGGATTGAGTGCCGGCCTATGAACCAAAGGGTCGCTGTTTCGCTTCCCAGTCAGGGCACATGCCTGGTTGCAGACCAGGTCTCCAGTAGGGGGCGCACGAGAGGCAACCACACATCTATATTTCTCTCCCTCCCTTCCCCTCTCTCTAAAAATAAATAAAATATTTTTTAAAAAAGAAGTACCACTGATTTTTGTATGTTGATTTTGTATCCTGAGACTCCACTAACTCATTCACTAGTCCAAGGAATCCTTGGAATTTTCTAGGTTTACCATTATATCATCTGTAAATAGGGACAGTTTCATTTTCCCTCTGTGTTGTCTTTCTAATATGTTATGGTCTCTTTTGTCATATAGGAAGTAAAAAATTTTTATCTAGGTAACCTCTGTTTTCATTATGGATGATATATATTTTTAAGATTTTGCTTATTTTTAGAGAGAAGGGAAGAAAGGGAGAAAGAGAGGAAGACACCATTGATTGGTGGAAGACCTCATCTAGGGACCTGGCCTGCACCCCAGGAATGTGCCCTGACCAGGAGCAGAACTGGTGACCCTTCAGCTCACAGGCCAGTGCTCAGTCTACTGAGCCACCCCAGCCAGGGCTGTGGTTGATAATTTTCCATCTTGTTCAAGATAGAAAATTTTTTATCTTTCCTGGATTTCAAGATGTTTTTGATGTGTTAAAGTCTGGCAACATTTTATATATGACATTTGCATATGTGCTCTTAGAAATTGACCCATCCATTTTTTTTTGGCTTTTGTTGTCAAATGTGTTGTATAAAATGAATGCCATAACCAATGTCAGGAAGATTGTGCTAGAATTGTGCTTTATACTATCAAAAAGTCCAGAAAATGTTTGTGTCTTCTGACCTCTACTCCTAAGAATCTTAGTAATTGAAGAAACTAGTTTGCATGATGATTAAGAACCTAGGTTTTGATAAGGAACTTTAAGGATTTTATTTATTTATTTTTAGAGAGAGAGAAAGGGAGGGGGGAAGAGAAGGAGAGAAACATCAAGGTGTGGTTGCCCCTTGTACACCCCCTGCTAAGGACCTGGCCTGCAACCGAGGCATGTACCCAGACTGGGAATCAAACTGGCGACCCTTTGGTTAGCAGCCGGAACTGAATCCACTGAGCCCCACCAGCCAGGCTGATAAGCAACTTTACACTTTAGAACTGGATCTCACTGACTGCAAAGCATCATCCATGTGATCCTAAGCACGTTCACCAGCCTCAGTTTGCTCCTTGGTAACATGAAGGTAATCGTGTTTGTTGTGGGGAGGTAGTGAGATGATGTATGTACACTTTTTGGAACAGTGCTTAGCTCAGTAATGTAAGTTATTTCAGCCCCTAAGGAAAGGCACAAACACATCCTTCCTACCATCCTCCCAGTTTTTACCTGGACTTGCCTTATCTAGTCTTGTTTAAATACTTTTGATCCCTGAAAACTGTAATTGAACAATGATTAAAATAAAATTAAAACAAAAACAAACAAAAAACAACAAAACTTTTGATCCCAGATCTTAACAGGGATTTCTGCCTCTGGTCATGCATGCTTTGGCATGTATGTATATACTGGTTCTCTCCCCACAGTTAGGTCTTATGTTTGGCTTATCTATCTTGTTTTTAAAAATACTATTTTTTTAAACAAAAGTTTTAGGCTCACAACAAAATTGAGAGGAAGGTACGGAGATCTGTTCTTGCCGCTCCTGTGACCAACATCCCCTGCCAGAGGGGCACGTTTGTTACAATTCATGAACCTGCATTGACACGTTGTGATCATCCGAAGCCCTCAGTTTACATGTGGTTCACTCGTGGTGTTGCACATTCGATGGGTTTGGGCAAGTGTATAATGACATGTATCCATGATGATACAATGGGCCCTAAAAATCTTCTGTACTCTGCCTATTAACCCCTCCCTGCCCCAGGCCTTGGCAACCACTGATATTTTTATACTGTCTCCATAGTTTTATCTTCTCCAAATGTCATACAGTTGGAATCATACAGTATGTAGCCTTATTAGATTGGCTTCTTTCACTTAGCCATGTGCCTTTAAGTTTTCTCCAGGGAGCCCAGCAGAGCCATGTACTTTGTAAAATTTCCTCTGATAACTGTCTTAGATGTTTTACTCTGTAATTGATTTATCTGACTTCTCAATGTTTTCATTAAACCAGTTTGCTTTTTTGCCTATATTTTAAAAACAATTCATGTTTTTAAAATTCTTAACATATATTTTGGTGGAACAAAATCTTCTTACTTAGTATTTTAGAGGAAAAATTGTACCAGAGTTTCCCATTTATTGATTATCTTTCAAATCTTTTAAAGATTGATTCTCTTTAAAAGAAGAGATCGGAAGCTCTTAGGGTTTCTATGCCAAACAAAATGACCCAGACTTTTTAAAAAATTTTATTGATTGATTTTAGAAAGAAACATCATCTTGTTGTCCACCCTCCCATGCATTTATTGGTTGTTCCTTGCACGTGCCCTGACCAGGGATCAAACCTGCAACCTTGGCATGTCAGGATGAAGCTCTAACTAAGTGAGGTACCTGGCCAGGGCCAAGATAAATCAGGCTTAATAGATATAGAAAGGAGTTGCCAATATGAAAACATTTATCTAACAAAATGAATGAACATGTAGCACTTGAGAGCAAATGTCTGAATGAATAAACATTAAAACTGAAGTTCGGATGTCTCTCAATCTGACAAGGAGACTTCAAATGTGATAAAATGTAGAACACGATAGTTCTAACTGTGAATTTTATCACAAGGAGCATATCAGACAAATGAGTAAGATTGTGAATGACCTGGCCTTCCCAATAGTTCACTGCTCAGAATTCTGTTCCCTTGACACACCTGCATCAACCACCCTTTTATTTGTTCAAAGCTCCTTTTAAATAAGAAGGACACTAGTGTCTTGTCTAAAAGTAGACACAAAACGAGCACAAACAAAAATAAAACTCTTAATCTTGCTAATTAATCAAATAATTGTTTCTTAATTTTCTGACTTCCTTCTGCCCTTACATTTTTATTCCCGTTATTCTGTGTTCCTTTGTGAGGTAATTCTTTCTTAAGTTCCTTAACTTTTGAAGAAAACCACTATTTTTATTTTTCTCTCTTACCAATGTGGGAATTTAGTGCTATGGGTTTTTCTCCATGTGCTGTTTACACCTCATCACGACCTGAACCAAAAATCTCCAACTGGCAGCGTCTTCGTGTCTCTCACAGCACTTAGTGTGCTCACGATGGACACTCCCTGAACATTTTTTATGTTAATAAAGCATAAAATGTTTTGATTGCATTCTTTAGCCTATAATGAAGCAAAGGAGAAAAGTGACTGCAGGAGGCAACACAACTGTAAGCACCTTAAGGACCCCTCCTCACCGTGGTTCTGTTGAGTTTTATTGATTTGCTGAACCACTTCCAAATGCAAGTTCTCCGAGAAGACCTAGAACGCACTGATCCTTCTTTCTCCCACTTATCAGCTCCACCCCTGCCCTATCCATCTTCAGTTCCCACCTGGTCCTAGGAATGTATATAGTCCAGAGTTCAACCACTGTCTTACTAATGCTCTAAGTTTACATCCCTTACTGTCCTTTTAAATTTTTTGGAGGTAAAGAATTTTGTTTTTATGTTATAAATAATTTCACACTTAAAAAATACAAAAAAAGCCCAAAATAAAATGCACACAAATGTGCCCACCACCCAAATTTAATAGACGATGCCAATTAAAAAATCTTTTTATTGTGCCAGTAAGCAATACCACTACTCAGTTGCCTATGCCAAAACCCAGTTACTAAATTTTAATCCTGATTTCTCTCTGGTCAATGCAGGTCATGTTACATAATTTTACTTCCCAAATGCCTCTCACATGTGCCCAGATCCTCTTCACCCCCACCGCCACTGCTGAGGCCCAGGGCTCCATCCTCCCTCACAGGGCGTGTTGCAGAACCCTTCCTACCACAACTGCTTCGTCCAACCACACTTCCCCTCAGACAGGAGGCTCTGAGAGGCAGGGCTGTGCTGATCCTGGATCTGCCACTTAACCTCCAGCCCCAGCACTTAGCAGGAACTCAGTAAATGTTTTCAAATGAATTAATGAATGCCATTTTACATGCTACATAATTGACTTCTTCGTCAACATGATAGATGTGGTTTAATGGTTTCTGTTGCAGAATGAACATGGAGAAACATAATTCATCTTTGGTGGTGGAATCATCTTATGCAGATCTGGTCATCAACGCAGGAAAAGTAACTTTTGGTGAAGGGAACAGAAAGAAGCTGCAGAAATCTCAGAGAGACCAGGAGAAGGAGAAAGTGTCACAGGCTGCCTGTGCTTTATTAAATTCGGGAGGAGGAGTGGTTCTGATGGAAATGGCGAACAGCGATGAGCATCCTGTGGAGCTGGGGCTGGATTTAGAAAAGGCTTTGAGAACACTTATTCAGTCTTCAGATTTGCAGGCTTTCTTTGAGACCAAGCAAGAAGGGAGGCGCTTTTACCTTTTTGTTAAATCTTGGAGATCTGGCCCTTCTTCTGAAGACGACTCCATCAAGCCCCGCATTTGCAGCCTGGCTACTTCCTTATACTGTAGATCGGGCACCTCTGTGCTTTCCATGGAACCAGGAGAGGCGTTTAATTTCCTAAAAAACAAGAAAAGAAATGCAAAACTTTTGAGGAATGAACCTTCTAACAAAATTCTAAGGGAGTCAAAGCAAAACTTCCATAACTTGAATCCTGCTGAACAAACCTTTAAAAGAGACCAGCTTCAACGTGGTGAAATCCTGCCTTTTCCTGAGTCTCACTATGTAGAGTTCAAACAGTTCTCTACAAAACACATCCAAGAATACATTAAAAACATAATTCCAGAGTACATCCCTGCATTTGCAAACAGTGGAGGTGGCTATCTTTTTATTGGAGTGGATGATAAGAGCAAGAAAGTTCTGGGATGTGCTAAAGAAAATGTTGACTGTAGCTCTTTGAGAAAGATAATAGAGGACGCAATAAGCAAATTACCTCGTGTCCATCTTTGCCAATCCCGATGCCAGATACCTTTCACACACAAATTCTTGCGTGTGTTAGAGGACGAACAGTTATATGGCTATGTTTGTGCCATCAGCGTGCAGCCGTTCTGTTGTGCAGTGTTCTCGGAAGCTCCCAAATCATGGCTGGTGAAAGGTGGGCAAGCCTGCAGACTGACCACTGAGGAATGGGTAGACATGATGATGGACACAGACCCAGGTAAGAGGGGAAAGCAACTCCCTCCTGTCCTTTTCCTACCTCTAGTACCTTCAAACCAGACAGGTCTTTCTTTTTTTCCTGTGACTTTGAACTTCTCATACCCACTAAATTCTGTGTTTTTTGAATCCCCAAGAATCCTGCTTTCCATACACAATAAACATTTGTTGGGTAATTAGAAGCCCAAATCAATGTCTTATAGGTAATGTTTTTTTTCACATCAGAAGACGAAAAGAAAAAATTTGGGGGAATGCTTGCCTTGTAGTAGCTCTTACTGCTTCGGGAGTCATTTATTAAAATTTCACCCTAGCTGAGGAGCTCAATTGGTTAGAGTGGTGTTCCAGCCCACCAAGGTTGCAGGTTCAATCCCTGCTCACGGTACATACAAGAATGAACCAACGAATGCATAAATAAGTGAAACAACAAATCTCTAAGCATCAATACATAAAATTTTAAAATAAAATTTCAGAAATTTTATGAGCCAGTTGTTAAACATCGTCCTTATCAAAAATTGTTATATAAACTTACAATTATATTAAAAACAAGTGTAATAAATACAAACTCGCTACTGCCTCATTATTTACTACATTTTAATACTCTTTGCTTGTGAGGTTATTTGCATCTGTTTTATCTGCCTGGGGAAATACTATAAAATGTGTGCTACTGTGCGTTTCTTCCCAACTCCGCACTTAGCAATATCACACTGGTAGCTTGAAATTGTCCATGGCGGGAATATTTGCACCACAGAAATAAACTACATGTACATACATGTCTACTAAAAGAATGTGCTACATACCAAAACAAGAAGTAGAAACAAAATGCTATCTAGACATAGAGAGTGAAGAATTATATTGAACGAGAAGCACATTCAAACTTCTAAATAATGTCTCTTCATTGTTGGGTTTTGGCAACCCCCATCTGCAGTAAACGCACTTGTCTCCACAAGGTGAATGGGGCGTTGCCTTGCTGTCATCTCTCAAGTCGCACCACCCGGACAGTCAGAGAATACACCTCCTGCTGAGGTCTTTCAGTCGTGAAAAGATGAACTAACATGTCAGGATAACATGTTTTCTCTCTTTCTTGAGATCTTGTACGCTTGTCCAAAGACTTTGAATCTCAGCTGAGTCTGTCTAGCGGGCCTCCTCTCAGCAGACCAGTGTACTCCAAGAAAGGCCTGGAACATAAGGAGGATCTCCAGCGACTTTTATTTCCAGGTAGCAATTATGGTTTGCCTACTTGACACCAGCCAGTTTCTGTGCTGGGATAAGGGGATGTAAATAGTGATGCTTGTGTTTGAAAATCCAGAAAGTAACCCTTACTGCTGTGACTCAGTGGGTTGGGCATTATCCTGAGATTTGAAAAGTGGCCAGTTTGATTACCAGTCAGGGCACATGGGTGGATTGATGGGCAGCTCCCTGGTTAGGGGAGTGTGAGAATCAACCGATTGATGTTTCTCTCCCTCTCCTTCTCCCTCCCTTCTCCTCTCTTTAAGAATAAATAAATAAAATCTTTTTTAAAAAGTTTGGAAAGTATACTCTGCAAACCTATGTGTAGCAGATGACAATGCTACCAGTACAGTGGTGATGAATAATTTAGAAGTGATCCCTCACTGACCCCACTGGCTGAGGCAGTACCACATGTAGAATCCAGGACTATTAATGCCCTTAAAGACTTTTGGTCTTCGAATTCTCAAAATACACTGATCATAGATATTTCTGGTTATTTTGAAATGTACAGATACCTGCCCTGGGTGGTGTGGCTCAATGGATTGAGTGCCGGCCTGGGACCCCAAAGGTCCCCGGCTGGATTCCCCGTCAGGGCACGTGCCTGGGTTGTGGGCCAGGTCCCCAGCTGGGGGTGTGTGAGAGACAGCCAATCCATGTATCTCTCACACATTGATGTTTCTATCTCTCTCTCTCTCTCTCTCTCTCTCTTCCTCTCTCTCTAAAAGTAAATAAATAAAGTCTTTAAGCAAAACAAAGGCTGAAATATATTTTTAAAATGTACATACACCTGATTACTCATTCCAGACTCAATAAATTAGAATATGGGATATCTCATTATGTGTATTTTTATCAAGCTTACTCACATGATTTTGATGTTTATCCAGATTGGATACTGTAGTTGAACTAGAGGCATGCACTGCACCAAGAGCAAAAAATTCCCCGCCTCTGCCATATTCTCCAGAGGAGTGCTTGTTATGAATATTAAAAAGAATAAACATTATATCAAGCTGTAATACTAAATAAAATGCAGGTCAATTATGAACTCATTTCAGGCTTAGGAAAAACAATTGTGTCTGACAGGACAAAATTTTGTTTCAGAACCAGGGACAGTGCCTGTTTAGACCCCTCCAGTGTAAGTTTATTCTTGTGTCACATAATTGTTCCTTGCTCCCGAGTGACAGAGGGAGACTGTTGGGATGGGTGCAGTCTCACCTTGATCTGTGAGTGATGCCAGAGTTTTGCTTCAAGAGAGGTAGCTCAGGGCCTAACTAACCTCACGGCCTCCCAGTCAGGGACTACAGGAGATTCTCTGCTAACAAATGGTTTAACGTAGCTCCACCTTCTCTGCAAGTATTTAATGAGCACCTTCTTCCTGGGAGGGCTCCTTCTACCTCCATCAATGGGGTCTGTTCAGAGAAAATTTGAGATTCAAATATTTTGAGAGTAGGAAGGGGAACAGAAGTAACATTTTCCAAGCAGCTACAATGAACCAGGTATTGTATGCTATCTTCTTTATTCTTCACCATAGGAAATATGGTTTTTGTTTGTTTGTTTGTTTGTTTGTTTTACAGATAACAGAGCAGCCTCTTAGAGAAACAAAGGAATTTCTCAAGGTCATAAACATAATGAGCTCATAGGTTTAGAGACACTGTGCCAGGTTTTCAAAACTTCTTTCCCTTTATTATAAAAGAATATTTACAAAAGAACATATATGAAAAAATGTTAATTTATCATAAGACTAATTACAATTGAGTGTAAGTATAAGAATTCCTTTTTATTAATTATAATTAATCATAAAATAAATATACTGACCTCAAATTTATAATTCCCTCCATATCTAGTGCCATCAGAAGGTTTGCAATATAAACCTGAATCCCTGTGGCAGGAACTATCCTCAGAGCATGAAGGTCTGGAGGAGTTAATAAACGAGCAAATGCATCCTTTCTCCCCGGGAATTTTGATCCTTTCTAGAAGCTGGGCTGTGGACCTGAACTTGCCAGAGAAGCCAGGAGTCATCTGTGATGCTCTGCTGGTAACACAGAACAGCGCCCCCATCCTCTATACGGTTCTCAGGGGGCAGGATGCAGGCGGGCAACGGTACTGCACCGACACAGCCTTTACTTTGAAGCAGAAGCTGGTGAACACGGGCGGCTACACCGGGAGGCTGTGTGTCACGCCCAGGGTCCTCCAGATGAGTCCTGACAGCGATGCAGAGCCCTGTGAAGGCTCAGGAGGCTCTCTGATTGACTACCCGGAGTCCTATAACCTTGCAGACACCCAGCAAATGGAAACCTTGCTGCACTCCCTGGTGATTGTCTTACTGGGCTTCAAGTCTTTCCTGAGTGACCAGGTCGGCTGTGAGATTTTAAATCTGCTCACAGCCGAACAGTATGAGATCATTTCGAAAAACCTTCACAATACCCCAAAATTCTTTATCCACGGCTTACCCGGCACAGGGAAGACCATCATAGCCATGAAGATTATGGAGAAGATCAAGAATGTGTTTCGTTGTGAGGAAGATGAAATTCTCTATGTTTGTGAGAACCAGCCTTTGAGGGACTTTATCTGGTAAGCAGTTGTATCTTGTTGTCAGCAAATGAGGTTCAGTCTGAATTCATTCCTTACCTCCCTCTAGTCAAATCATTTTGCTCCTTGAGAGTAGGATGGTAAAGTGATGCATAACCACAGTCCTGTGTACACAGGAGTATGATAGGGTAACTTTCCTCCTTTATATACTTGAAGGAAATCTGAGTGTGTCATTTTAATTTTTTAACTGTTCATATATATGATTTTTTATTTTTTCAATTTTAATGTTTACAGTAATAAAAAGATCTGCCACCCAGTTACCCGGAAAACCTTCATGATAACTGACTTCAAAAAGATTAAACACATCATCATTGATGAAGCTCAGAATTTCCGCACTAAAGATGGGAACTGGTATAAGAAAGCAAAAGCTATCACTCAGACAGGAAAGGGTCATCCAGGAATTCTCTGGATCTTTCTGGACTACTTTCAGACTAGTCACACGGTTAACAGTGGCCTCCCCTGTCTCCAAAACCAGTATCCAAAAGGAAAGCTCACTAGAGTGGTCCGCAATGCAGGTCAAATAGCCAACTACCTACAGGAAAGAATGCACGAGGTCAGAGAAAATCCACCACCCAACATCCCTCCCGAGTTTCTGCAGATACCCCATGAAGCCGGATGGGCTCAAGGTGTGCCAGGCAAGTGTAAGATTAAGAAGTGCTTGGACTTGGATGAAATGGTGGCTTATATAAGAAAGAAATGCCAGTTTTTCTTAAAGCAAGGTTATTCCTACAAGGATATTGCTGTGCTTTGCAGCACAGAAAATGATATAGAAGAATGTAAATCTAAGCTTCAAATACCAGTGAGGAAGAGAAAATGTCCTGAGTCCAATGAGGAATCCTATCTGTTCGTAGAATTCAAAAATGCATCAGATGTCACAGGCAATCACATTGTGTTGGACAGTATCCGTCGATTTTCAGGCCTGGAAAGAAACATTGTGTTTGGGATCAATCCATGGTCAGCTCAGCCAGCTGTTTTTCACAATCTTCTGCTCTGTCTGGCTTCCAGGGCCAGAAAACATCTGTATATTCTGATGCTAAACTAAGAAGAGTTGATGGAGACAAAATATTCCCTCTGTCATAGTTTCAGAAAAGGAATGACTCATTTGCATCATACAAGCATTATTTCTAACAATTGACCCTTATAAAAAAACTGCCTTCAGAATTCTGGCGAAGATGTAGGCATAGGTAGACACACTGTGCCTCCTTGCACAACCAAGAGAAGGACAACAATTTTAAAACAAAAAAGCAACCAGAAGTGACAGAAAATCAAACTGTATGGAAGTCTGACAACCAAGGATTTAAGGAAGAAATATTCATCCAGACCAGTAGAAGGGATGGAGATGGGCAGCCGGGCAGAGAGGACTCAAGACAAGGGGGCGGCTGGAAGACCAGTGAGGTAGCGGCTGGTGGAGTGGGCTGTTGCACAGCCATGTGCAGATATACTTACTGGGCGGAACAACTGTGGAACTGTGACCAGAAAAGACCAGCGTTCAGGCTGCCTGCCACTACCAAATCCAATAAGCAATGACAGTGATTGAATCTTTTATGGGCACTTTATTCAGATGGCTGGCGATCTGAGAAGATGGCGGGTTCATACCCTAACAAACCATCTTCCCCTTTCTTTCCTGGCCAGATCTTTTATAAGGGGGTTGGGGAAGACAGAAGGAGTGAGTCAAGAGTCCTTGAAGTTTGCAGCTGCAGCACTTCTATCCTGGGCAGTTAGCTGTCTCCAAGTGGGAGGGGTAGTCGCCTGCTCTTCCAGATAGGGATGTTTCCAGGCGGTCATCTCTAGCCAGCACCCCAGGAGGCCGGCCGCTTTTTCTCAGGCGCCAGATGGGCCTTATCTGTAGTTTCTGAAACAAAGAGCTTAACATCCACAATACTTGCTAGATTTATGGCTATTTGCCTTAAGCTAAAATTTTCTAAGTCTTAAGCCCCCTATCAGAATGAGATAGACCTTGCAACCCAGGGCTCCAGCACAGGGAAATAAAGCCTCAAAGCCTCTGATTGAAACTACTGGTGGGGGTTGAGGCAGCAGCGGGAGAAACTCCCAACCTCACAGGGGAGTTCATTGGAGAGACCCACAGGGTTCTAGAATGCACACAAACCCACCCACCCTGGAATCAGCACCAGAAATCTTTTAGAACAGACCTGGGGGAGTGGGGTAACCCCTACCTACTAGGTTCGTCTTGCCTGGCGCCAGAGGAAAGATGTTTCTCAATGCCAGAGATTTGTGAAAAGCAAAGGAATTATGTATTTAAAAGTTATATAGACTTAGAGTAATGACTTAATGTCTTCATTAAAATACTAAAATCCTTTAGAATACCCACAGATGCACAGTCCTTCCTTCTCCCCTCTGCCCAGTCCAGGGTACCGTATCTCAGTAGAAGGAATAGAAGTCCGTGGTTCAGGTAGCTCCTTGATCCTAGCATCATCCACTGTGTCGCTGCCTCAATCTGCAGTTAATCCAGAGCCATCTGGCATCTTCTCAACCCACCAGCAAGAGTTCTTTCTCCCCTTCCTGCAATGTCTCTCCTGCTGCTTAAGCCATGTGGCCAAATGATAGCACCCCAAACCCTTCTGGTCCTCTCTCTGGTGTGGCCGCCATGCCTGGGTTTAAATCCCCATGCCAGTCTTCCTCTGCAGCCTCATTCCCCACTCCTCCTACATCAGTTATACCAGCCAGCATTCCTGTATTCTTCCAGCTTTACTGGGCTGCTATAGTAAGTCTGTGCAGGCGTGGCCCCATGGCATGGAGCCAGTCATCTTCAAGCTCTCACGCAGGCGCTATAACCAGGGGACGTTGCCTCCCAGTTACATCCTGGGTTGAAGTCACTCCCATCCCCCTGGCTCGAGGCATGGCCACAGCTATTTAACATATCCATGAAACCAGTTAAAAGTATAGACATGTTGTTAAATGACCATGTCAGAGGTTAGCTCTCAAAGGCCATGCTCCATGTGTCCCATCCCCCAGCTCAGACTTGTGGAGGTAAAAGACATCATATATATTTTTCTCTAATATTTCCTGAATACCCTGAGTTCTGGAGCCTACTACAAATCCCTATTTGCCCCTCACCCCCTTAGCTGCACCCTGTTACAGACAGAGCCCAATTTGCTTGTGGGTGGCAGGGGAAGTGACTGAAAGCCGGCAGAGAGCAGAACAAGTGCCATTGTTCCCTCTTGGACCCCTCCCCCACACACAGTGTCACAACGCAGTGAGATGGGTTGCCCTGCCCTGGTGAACACCTAAGGCTCTGTCCTTTAGTAAGTAACAAGTGAACCAAGATAAAAAAAAATGGCCCAAATGAAAGAATAGATCCCAGTATTGATCCGGAAAACCAATCAATATGAGGTGGCACACAGGAGCCAGGTGTACAGATCAGCTTTCCCTGGGGAACCAGGTCCACATTGTGCCCAGGCTGCTATGAGACTTGCTTTTGCTAAAACTCCCTCACCCTGAGTTGAGACTGCAGGTGTTTAGTGTGTATCTCTGAAGCACCTCCCTAAGTCTGTGCTAAGCCGTCCCAAGGATGAAATGTAACCACATCAATCATTTTTATCATTCCCTTGCATTTGCAGCTTGTTCTCCTTTTTTGTCATCTGTAAGAAGTAATCACTTAACTGAATCTAGAAATACTGAGAACCTTCTTTGATGTAATGTGACTGGAAAGCAATAAAAGCCTGTCTGGGCAAGGGTCGGAGCTCTCTCCCCTTGAGGGAGTGGCCATGACATCCCTTTTTCTCCTCAGGACTCGGTAGTCTGTGTGAATTTGTGTGCCGCATCCACAGCACACAGACCCCGGAGGGCTGGAGTCTGCATCAGATCGAAGCTACAGAAAAAATACAGCTAAACGACAAAGAGATAGCCAACCTATCAGATGCACATTTCAAAACACTGGTGATCAGGATGCTCACAAAATTGGTTGAATATGGTCGCAAATGAGATGAAAAACATGAAGGCTATGCTAAGTGAAATAAAGGAAAACGTACAGGGAACCAACAGTGATGGGGAGGAAGCTGGGACTCAGATCAACGGTGTGGACCAGAAGGGAGAAAGAAACGATGAACAGTCAGAGGAGCCCCAGCCTTGTGGGTGCTGTCTCCCAGCGGAGGCCAACACAGCCCCGCAGCAGGTTACGGCTGCAAGCTCTAACAAGTCGGCTGCCTCTGAGTGGCGGGGGATGGTGAAAGCAGGGACTGCCCGGGGTGCGGGCTCAGTGCTGCACCACTGCGGTGCGCTGCTGTGTTAAGATGAATGCGCAGTTTTATCCTAAGAATGCGAGGTTCGGTTTAACCTGTGAAAATCAACGAATGTAACCCAGCACATCAACAGATGAAAGGACAAAAACGATATAATTGTCTCCATGAATGCAGAAAAAGCACTTAATGCTATTTGACATGCATTGAAGATACACACACACAACCAACTAGGACTAAAAAGGAACTTCCTCTTCCTGGGTAAAGGCAGGTGCAGAAGCTCCCACCAAGTATTGCACTCAGTGGTGGGATGTTGCTTGCTTTCCCTGGGAAGACTGGGCTGTGCATACCCTAGGGGATCCAGGCTGGGTTAGAAGAAAGGCTCATTCTTGCAAATCCCCCAATCACATGGTCATCACTGTGACTGGCTTGACCTTTGTGTAGGTAATTGGAGGGGCGACCTGTTTGGGGATGTGATGAAATGTGGGAACAGGTAATGCTCCGGCATTCCCAGGGGGCTGGCCAAGGAAAGCACAGTAGGAAGGAGAAGATGGAGCTGGGTGGGCCTGGGTGCCCCTAGGTGACCAGCTGCTTCAGCCCTTGTTTCTCCCTCACCAGGGACAACAGGGCGGCCCAGCCACGAAGGCAGATCTGGGGGAGGGAGTCCAAGAGGGCCCCAGTGCGAAGCTGGTGCATCTGGAACCCCGCGGGCCAGCCCTGTAGGAGGCCAGAGAAGGGGCGCGGCCCGAACCAAAGGCCTATGGCTGGGAAAAGGGGCGGAGGGGGGAGAGAAGGAGCGGGCGAGCTAAGTGGGGAGGAAACAAGCAAAGGGAGGAAGGGAGGAGGAGCAGAAAGATCCCAAGACTCAGTTCCGTTTTCTTTAGATGCAAGCCCCAAGGCCTGCCCTGCTCCGGGGTTCACCCATGCTGGCCCCACCGTGGGTGGAATCCAAGTTCGAATCCAGTCTTCTCTCCGGGCGTGTTGTGGAAGTCAGAGCCACGGCACCGAAAGGGCAGTGGTGGAATTCTCCTTTCCCTCATTTCGGGGCAGCCTGGCTCCCGGGTCCTGGGGAGGGGGTGGACCCGGGACAGGACCCCACAGCCCCCGAGGTCGGTGGTCCAGGCGGGACAGGTCTTGGGTCCTCCCGCGATCACGGCCCCCAGAGCTCTGGGCCCTGCTAAGCTCCGAACACATTTTTGTTTCTAACACTCTTGATTCATTTTGCTCAACTTCTACTGAAAAAAAAAAAAAAAGTAAAAGCAATGCTAGGCACCCAGAGGTAACTAGGGTTGTCTGTCCTCGTTGACTCAGGGAGACCCCCCCCGCCCCAATCCTGCTCAGTGCGGGGAGCGAGCGCCAGGGGCACCACCCCACCTCTGCGAGTCTCTTGGGCGCGGGGGAATACAGGGACCGTTCCCGCGGCTCCCGGACTGGAGGTCCGGGCGAGCTGGCCCCTACGCCGGGCTCCGCACGGCCTCGGCTTCTCTCCAGCCACCGTGAACTCGTCCGATCCCATCCTCCCGGGCGCGGGCGCGGGTGTCAGGGGAGTGGGAGGAAGAGAGCGCATCCTCCAGCAGCTCTGCGCTTCCCGAGCTTTCCTCTCCCGCAGGGGAATCCGGGCCTTTCAGCTGGAGGTTGAAGAGTAACTTTCCTGGAAACTACAGACAGTGGGGTCTGCGGAGGGGAGCAGAGCGGGCTGTGTACTGACTGGTGGGCTGGGGCAGAAGTGCCCCCCTGCCTGGGCCAGAGAGCGATGAGCAGGGCACTCTCTGAGCAGAGCAGAGCCAGAGCAGAGTTCAAGGGCGTCTAAAGCAGGGGCTGTACAATCAATAGAAATGTTTGGGTGAGTCCTGGGCGGGGGGCGTCCATCTGTTATTACTGCAATTGCATGGGATTCATTTTGGGGGCGTCAACATTTACATAGTGTTTTTATAACTTTCCTTTCTTTTTTTCTGTGTCCATATATTTAATGTGCATTCCCTTTAAATGGAATATATTTGAGTTTTCTAAGATGCCATTTATTTATTTATAGAGAGAGGTAAAGGGAGGGAGGAAGAGAGGGAGGGAAACATCAGTCAGTTGCCTTTTGCAGGCCCCCAACCAACCAGGGAGCTGGCTGCAACCCAGGCCGGTGCCCTGACTGGGAATGGAACCAGCCATGCTGCCGCACCCCCGGAGCCACACCAGTCAGGGTCGTTCCAGTTCCAACACTGGTTCGTTCTTTTCCGTCATCAGGTGTCCGTCCCAGTCTTTTAATCGGGGCACGGAGTCCATTTCCATCTGGTGTGATTACTGAGGTGTTTGGGTTCATGCTCATAGAGGACGTATCCTTCGCTATTTGTTTTATAGTTGGCCCGTGTATTTTATGTTCCACTTTCCCTCCTCCTTCTGGACTAGTCGAGTGTTGATAAACCGCCATGCCCTCACTTGCATGTTAGTTCATTTTTTGCCAGTCGTATAAGGGTTACCTTAGAAGTTATGACATGCATTTTTGGCCTGCTACATCCTATCTAATGTGGATTATTACCTTTACCACGTCCCCAGGTACGCTAGGGATTTGCATTCCTTTGCCCATTTCTGCCTTTTTTTGCTGTTGTTGTTACTTATTTAATAATTGAACAAACATACTGTTAATCTCTAAGAGTCCTTTTTGTTTTTTTTTTAAGATTTTATTTATTTATTTTTACAGAGGGAAGAGAGGAATAGAGAGAGAGAGAGAGAGAGAGAGAGAGAGAGAGAGAGAGAGAGAGAAACATCAATGTGCGGTTGCTGGGGGTTATGGCCTGCAACCCAGGCATGTGCCCTGGCTGGGAATCGAACCTGGGACACTTTGGTTCCCAGCCCGCGCTCAATCCACTGAGCTACACCAGCCAGGCGAGTCCTTTTTGTTTTATACAACAATAGGCATTACTATCCACCCACATACTTACCCTTTCAGGAAGGTTGAAATTATTTAAAAATTAAGTAACTAATAAGACTCGGTTCAGGCATCATCCCATTGAAGGATAAATCTCACCTCCCCTGGCCTCAGCTGTGCGTCTCCTTGGTGCCCAGGGTCCCTGCATTGTCCTTTCCTTTCACTTCCCAGAAGCACAATTGTCTTCTTGTCTGTGAGTATGCTGGTCAGCGATGAGCTCCTCCAAACCAGACACCGTGTTGCATTTATGTGACCAGCACCAAGCCCAGAACCTGGTACAAGATGAGCTTCCTAGTACTGACTGCATGAACCCATGCAAGAATGGTTGTCAACGTCTCCGAGCCCCTTCTGAATGTTCCGATCCTCTGGTCTCAGGAACGTCAGGTTCCCTGAGCCCCAGAAACACTGTGCAGGAGCTCTGGGTCCTCTACCCTGTGCAGGGCTCAGACTTAGTCCATGAAGAAATGCGTGTTCTCTCCCTCTCTCTCCCTCTCTCCCTCTCGCTCTCTCACTCTCTCCCCCTCTGGGTCAAGAGGCAGGGTGTATTTCGTAAGTGGGCCTAGTGACCCAATGCTGTCCTCCATAGAGGAAGTCAAGGCGTCATGTGTGACACCTGCCCTGTTTCTCAGAACAACCTCCCAGTTCTCTCCACAAGCAGATGACAAATTACAGACCATGGGGCAAACCCAGCCCACTACCCGTTTGGGTTCAGCTGAAAAAATCTGAAGCAGAGTGATGTGTTGTGACATGAGAAAATCAGGTAATATTTACATTTCGTTGTCCTCCATGTGGAGTCTTTCAGAAGGCAGCCACGTGGTGCATTTATGCACCGTCCCTGGCTGGTTTTGTGCTGCGTGGGCAGAGCTGCGTAATCACAGCAGAGACTCCGCCTGACAGAGACTGCCACGTTCACGCTCCGGCCTCTCAGTGAAAACGTCTGCGGGCCCCTGACCCACAGTCCACAGGGCGCAGGGGCCACCCCGCGAGCACCGCGCTAACGTTACAGCAGAAGCTGGTGCAACGGGAGCCTGGGCTGCACACGTCCAGTCTGTCGTCGTGGTCTGCCCCTCCCCGCCCAGCAATGACAGGACCCAAGTCCGAGAGGGTGCAGGCCCGCCAAGGACATATCCCCAGACCGAAAGCCTTACGAACGCCCAGAAAGCGAAGCTTTGTTGTAGCCTCTTTATTAACTTTTTTTTTTTTTTTGGCCTGGTGTATTCTGATGTGAACAGCTGAGCTCTGAAGCGTGAGCCTACCCAGGTAACAACGTCAGCTGATTTTAAAGAACCGTGGTGAGAGCAGAAGGTGTCTGCAACCTGCCTGAAACGGGGAGACGATCAGGAGCGTTTCCGGAGAGAGAGTCGGGGGACGGTTTCTCCCTCCGTGAGGAAGAGCCTCTGCAGAAGTGGGCTGATGCGGGTCCTGGGCCCGGTGCCGGCAGGACGGAGCAGTGCTACAGCGTCTATGTGCACGGCAGTTTGATGGTTGAATCTGCTTTCTTTAGTCTATTAGAAAAACCTGCAGTTGTGCCTTACATTTTTTTTTAAAGATTTTATTTATTTAGTTTTAGAGAGAGGGGAAGGGAGGGAGAAAGAGAGGAAGAGAAACATCAGTGTGTGGTTGCCTCTCACACGCCCCCTACTGGGGACCTGGCCTGCAATCCAGGCATGTGCCCTGACTGGGAATTGAACTGGCGACCCTGTGGTTCCCAGGCTCCCACTCACTCCACTGGGCCACACCAGCTAGGGCTGTGCTTTACATTTTTAACAGCAAGGAAGACGTCTTCCAGGCAGTAGCCCAGGAAACCTTCACAAAAAAGCAACTTTGAGAAGAGGGAACATGTCGTCATTGCAAAGCTGAGAATGTCCACACCGACGACACGGACTGCTATGAGGGGGAAACTCATTCAAAGGAGAAAGGATCGCCCAGGAATATTCTTTGGATTTTCAGGGACCCCTAACTGACTAGCAGGTGGATTGTGGGCCGGGGGTGGTGTAGAAGCATGTTGCCCAGAGCAGCTCCATCTCTGAGAACCTTGGGGCCCCTTTCTGTAAAACGGTGCTTCTCAAACTGTGCTGCGTTACATGCATGTGAATCCCACGGAGATCCTGCTAAAATGTTGCTTCACAAGGTCTGGGGTGGAGCCTGATATTCTGCGTTTTGAAGTAGCTCCCAGCGGTGCTAAAGCTGCTGGTCCACAGGCCACATTTTGAGTCCCGAGGCTCTAGCAGATGCCAAGGAAGTAAAGGCATTTCAAACGCATTAACTATTGACCCCTGCTGAGTCCAGGCGTCAATTAGCCAAACCCAACACGGAATTAGCACCTCCCAGGATCAACACGTTCAATCCCAGCTGAGTGTCCAGGATTTCAGGCAGATCAGGCCTTGTATTCCATCCTCCTTTGTGGAACATTGTTAGTGCATTGCCACAGCTGCTCCCCAGGCTCTGCCAGTAAACAGTGATGAGGTGCTGAAACTTTCACCTATAGGCTGTCTCCTCCGGGACAGGACGTCCCCTCTGGGCCACGTCTGGGGTGGGTCCGGGTTAGAGTCGTGAGGAACATCAGCATCAGCTCGCGAGGCACCTGGCCCAAGTGTAACGGAAATTCAGCTGCCAAAGCGCTTTTTTGCCTGAGAAAGTCGCTTCCCTTAGGCACGGTGTACCTACCTCCCTAGAGGTGTTTGGGGGTCCAGAGTTCTCAGCACCCACCCAAACATCCTCATTTTGTGTCTCAGGGTGTCTGTCATTCCTTCCACACCAACTCCCTTCTCTTAGTGCAGATCTGCTGTGGTTGGAGAGTCCTGAACTCAGCAACCCTCACAACCGTGGTGCTCGGCCACGGCTGCCCTGCCGCTGCAGGGCTAGAGGGACCCCTCCCGACCTGCCAAGGGGGTTTTCCATGAGTCCTCCCAGCTGCATAGTTTTGCCCACAATCTCTTTTCTTTTTCCCCACTGTTTATACTTCCCGGAGCTACCAGCAAGGGAGTTTACTCCACAAATCTTTATGACTATTGTTGGCACAGAAACTAAATGCCACAAATGGTTTCCCAGTGCCTTGCCCTCCGCCTTCACTTCAGCCTGTGCTGCTTTCTGATAAACAGCTGCGGCCAGGCGTGTGCATGGGTGTGTAACCACTATCAGGGAGTCTGGAACTATACCCACCAACGCCACAGTGGTTTTTGCTGCTGCGGAAAGGGGGAGAGAAATTAGGAAAGAGAAGAAAAGTGAATTCGAATTTCCCTAATCTATTTCGGTTCTTTTATTTTTATTTTTTTTTTAAAGATTTTATTTATTTATTTTTAGAGAGGGAAGGGAGGGAGAAAGAGAGAGAGAGAGAGAAACATGAATGTGCGGTTGCTGGGGGCCGTGGCCTGCAACCCAGGCATGTGCCCTGACTGGGAATTGAACCTGTGATGCTTTGGTTCATAGCCCACACTCAATCCACTGAGCTACACCAGCCAGGGTGGTTCTTTTATTTTTTAAAAAAAGAGTTTGAAGCAAATATGAAAACATGATAGCACTTATAAATCCTAGATAGCAAAGATTTAGTATACATAAACTTTTTACTTTTTGTATTGTTTAAATCGCACCCCTCCTCCCTCCCTCACCATGCATCGCTATTCGTTACAATAACGAGGGGGCTTATCCCAGGGTACAGGTGCGCAGACAACTCAGAACGTAATTCATAAAACCATTGCGCCAACAGGTAAAAACACATGCACGGCCAACTCCCATCAGTAAATACCCCAAATTATTCCACCGCACCAAATCCCAAAGCCATAAAAAGCAAAGACTATCTTTTTCTCACCTGCGTTCCCTGGCATTCATGCGCCCTTCTGTAGAGGCAAAAACGATCACCCGTTTTTCCGTACGCTTGCCCAGGTATTTAAAACACACACCCCTGTACCAATTTTGTAAGTCAAAGAACCACTTTTAGAACACCGCTTCGTTCACCATGCCATACGACTCAAAGATGCTGGCACGTCAGTACTTCACAGTGTCGCAGCGTGTTGGTTTGAGTCAATCAATTCAACTCATTGAGAGGGATACTGATTGCTTCGCAGTCTATGCTATTAACAATAAGGTGAAGTTCAAGGAACTGTGCAGACGTCATTGCACATGTTTGAGCACGTGGAGAGTGAATTCCTAAAAGAAGACTTGCTAGCTAAAGGAATACGGGCATTTAAAATTTTGGTGGCTACTGCCCGATTGTTCTTGCTAGAAGTTGTCCTACTTTATAGCAGTGTATACAAGTGCTTTTCCCCCGCCGAAGAGTAAAATCATTCGGTTGCAACTTAGTGATTTTGTCAACCTAATAAATGGAAAAGAGTGATATGTTGTAATTTTTTAAAAGAGATTTCATTTATTTTTAGAGAGAAGGGAGAGGAGGGAGAGAAACACATCGATGTGTGAGATACATCGACTGGTTACCTTTCGCATGCCTCCAACTGGGGACCTGGCCCACAACCCAGGCATGTGCCCTGACTGGGGACTGAACCAGCAACCTTTCAGTTTGCAGGCCGGCACTCAATCCACTGAGCCACACCAGCCAGGGCTGTTGTTGTAATTTTCAATGGACACTGCTATATCATGGTTAAAGAACGATGTTAAATTCCTTTTCTGGATTCTCCTGCCTATTTACATCCTTTGTCCATTTTTCTTCTGGAATCTTAACATTTTTTTCTTTGAGGTTTAGAAAGTGAATTAAACACAAGGAGTACACTGTCTGTCTATGATTTTTGTTGCAAATATTTTTCCAGTGTTCTGTTTGTTTCTTGGCCTGTTTTCATACTGTTTTGCTGCAAAGATAACTTTGTTTAAAGCAGTCAATATTTTCTTTCATGGTTTCTGATTGGGGGCCATACTTAGGCCTTCCTTATACTGAGATTATAAAAATGTCCTATTTTTGTTCCGTGTACTTCCATAATTCTGTATTTTTACATTTAAGTGTTGAATCCACCTGGAATTTATTTTGGTGTCAGGTGTGATTTATGGCTCAAGCCTAATTTTTTGCAGCTGGGTACCCACGTCATTTAGCAAATAATCCACATTTCCCCAATGAATGTGAATGCACCTTTAACATATGCTTCCTTCCCACACATAATTGAATTTATTTTTGAACATCCTAGTCTGCTCAATTCCCACCACACAACATAGCTACATTGTTTTAATTATCGTAGCTTCATGTTTTAAGATGTGGTAATGCTGATTAGTCTCAGGTTTTTCCATCCTTGGATTTTTTTCCTGGATATTCTTGCCTTAGATTTTTCAATGAACTTTAAAATCATTTTGATGCCTTGGGGAAAGATCTGTTGTATTTTTATGGGATGCCATTGAATTTAAAGATTAACTTAGTGGAAATGGATATATTTATGATTCTGAGTCTTCCCATCCAAAAACACACGGTGCTTTGATCTGTTCCAGTTCCCTTCTGTGTTCTTCAGTTTCACTGTATAGTTTTATCCATAAAGAGCTTGTGCCTTTCTTGTTACAGTTATTCTTAATCATTTTGTCTTTTTTGTTGGAATTAATATTGGACTTTTTCTTTCATTATATCCTCTAACTAAATGTAGTTTGCATATGGGAAGGCAATGGGACTCTTTGGCAATTAACAAATAATACCTATAGATTCACCTTATATTCTACTGGTTCATTTGTTCGACCTTCTTTCTTGAAACCACTACTTTCTTCTCAACTCATTTTTTTTCTTACGGAAGTACATTATTTAGTAATATTTTCAGGGATGGGCTGTGAATGATTAAAAGAAAACCCCAAGTTGTTTCGAGTCTGAAAGTTTATTTATTTTGCCCTCAGCTTTGAATGATAGTTTGACTGGGGAGAGAAGACGAGGTTCCAAGTCTCCAAACCCAAAGGGGAGAAACTATCAACCCACAGATATGCATGAAGCTCTCAAAAACCTCAACCACAAGAATTTTTCTCAATTGCCAAAGACCACCATAATTATTTTTCTTATGTCAATCATAAAGAGAAAATCTTAAAAGCTCTCAGAGAAAGATGATGTTATGTGCAGAGGAACAAAAGATAAGGAAGACAGCAGATTTATCATTGGAAATGATACGAGATAGAAGACATTGGAGCAACATATTTAACTTACTGAAAAATAAAACTGTCAACCTAGACCTATACCCAGCGAAGCTCTTTCAAAAACAAAGGTGAAATAAAGATTTTTATACATACAAAATCTAAATGAATTCATCATCAGCAGACCCACAGTATTAGAAATGTTAAAGAAACTTCTTTAAGCAGAAGGGAAAGCATGCAAGATGGAAATCTAGATTTATACAAAGGAATGAAACCAGCAGAAACGGTACTGCATTGATAAGAATAAAAAGCTTTTTTCATAGTATTTAAAGTGGCTGCTTAAAGTAAAACTAATATCAACATATTATGGGTTTTATAACACATATAGAAGTAAAATATATCTCAACAACAGCACAAAGGCTTGGAAAGAAAAAATGGAAGCATACCATTGTAAAGTTCTTATACAATATATAAAGTGGTGTAACATCCATTGAAGGTAGACTATGATAAGATGAAAGGTATATACCACGGACCCTATGGCTACAGGTAAAATAACAAACAAAAAAGTTATAAGTAATAAGCCAATAAAGAAACAAAATGTAATTGTTTAAAAATGCACAGTTAAGTCAAAGGACACACACACACACAAAAAGAGAAACAAAGGAACAAGGAAGAAATGGAAAAATAGAAAAAATAACAGGGTAAATGAAATCCCAAACACAGCAAAAATCACATGAAAAATAAATGGTCTAGAAAGTGGGTGAAAGATGCAGGGACCCTTCCATACTACTCAGCACAGCTTTTGCCACTTCCTACGAGTCTCTAAATATTTCAAAATAAAGTGTTAAAAAGATCAAATTGTTTAAGCACCTCAACTGCAGGGTAAAGATGGTCAGATTGGATTGAAAAGCAAGTGAATGAAAACAAAAATACACTATACCCATTGTCTTCTTGTATTGTGTATTGTTCCAGAGAAGTCGGTGGCCACCATGATCATTCACTCATTCAATGATCATTCACAATGATTATTTGTAAGCCATACTTACAAATAAGAAGATTTTCCTGCTTGGATTGTTAAGAATTGTCTCAATCTGAGGATTGTTTTAGACATATTTCCCATGTCACATTTTAGGATATTTTACTATTCAATTTATTGAGTTTTCTACTTCATATCCCCTCTTGGTAAATCCCTGTACTCCTGACATATTTTCTTTATACTACCTTAATATTTGCCTTGTCTCTCTCTATTTCTGTGATTATCTCAAGGCTTCCTGTAAGCCAAGAATTGTTCTCAATGTCTTGTTGCTTCTTCTTTTTCTTCTGTAATGCTTCACGGTCTGTTTCCTCAGCAGCACCCCTCGTCCCCTCTTTTGGCCCCTTTGTCATTTTGTCTTTCAACTCCTGTTTTATGGAATTGTAGGTTTCTCAAGTTCCTCTGTAGCCTGAGGCACATGGCAGGGAGTCTACTTTCGTCCCTCGAGTTACACTTCCTTTCAGGATGGGGTCTTCCTCTGGCTCATCCCATGTTCTCTTGGTCCATTTCCTCCCTATAGTCTTTCTGCCTGCTTGTCCTGCCATTAATCTTTCTAATGTTTAACAAGAGTAGCTCAGTATAGTTTTCCCATGTATTTTAAGAAGGCATAAAAAGACTCTCTTCGACAACATTCTTTCTGAAGTAGAACCTGATTGTCTTCCTCTCCAGGGCATATACTAGGAGGCCTGGGTGGTGCCTCCCATGTGCAGCCTGCTCTGATGTGGTGTCATGTGAGGCCTCACCATTGACCTGGTGTGCGCGCTTGATCATTGCCTATGAATCCCTATGAACTCCACTGGACTAGGAGCTGTATCTCATCCCCATGGGCTCTGATTTCTTCGTTGAATTCACAGGAAACCCTAAAGATTACTTCCTGTCTCTCCAGAGTCCTCAGGAACAACGGGAGTGTCTATGCCTGAAGGTCTCTTGGCGATTTCCCGAGCTGCCTTTCGGTGTCCCAGATGGCACTCTTGAAACGGATCATATTAGCAAGCATTCTGGTTTTCTTTCTTCTCATGGACCCTGTGTACTCCAGTACTACTGGGGGCATGTGAGAGAGTAGCCATGCCTTTATAGAAATCTTTTTAATTCTGTTTTTTATGTCCATACACACTTACTGGATGCTTATGGCATGAGGTTGAGCTCTTTTCTTTGCTTCTCTCTTGCTGCTAAAGTTTTAGCTATAGTTTTACTAATTTTGTTTATTCTTTTAGGGATGGGTAATGGGAGAATCTATAAACTGAACTCATCCAGCTTTTGATTGAGAATTGCCAATTTTCATATTGATCATTTTATTTAAGAAATATTTCTCTATACTATCCTAAGTGATTTTCAACTTTTTCCCAAGTTAACTGCAATACATTTCACACAAAAATTAATTCCATGCTTTGCCATAGACATGTCTCAAGTTTTTTGAAGTTCTTCATATTTTACCCAGCTACCAGAAATAACCAATGCTTGCTTCAAGTTCACACTTTTTACAGTGGGGTTTCAATATCTTGATGTGGGAGAAATAGTGGGGTCTTTATTTAATTGAGAATTAACTCTGAAATTTTTAGTTTAAGTTTCTCAGGAAACGAAGATTTGTTTGACTTCAAATATTGTGAGAATTTCTGAGAGACCTGTGGCACACGAGGAATTTGCCCTTGGAGAGATTAGCTGAAATCCTGAAGACTCAGCAGAACACAGATCCTAGATTTACTTTATCGTCTCGTTGGTTATTAAATGAAAAACAAAGTGTTTAGGGACCTTTGAGTTCAGTACATTCCCCCTCTTGGGTACCCTTTCATTTTGAAATGAATTTAAAAACACAATACGGCTACCTGGGCAACTGTGAGAAGTAACCTAAGATTCTCCCTGTGAGGAGTAACCTAAGATTCTCCCCGGGGGAACACCACTGAAGCAGAGCTCAAGAGCTGAGATTTCAAATAACTGAAAAGCATACATACATTTTTAAAAAAAAAACGGTGATCAGAAATACGAACAGCATTCAAAGGAAACTGATGAAGCGTCGTGATGCGGTAGTACAAAAAATTATGACTTGTGCCTTCTGGTTGTACATTTGGAAACACGCCGCGACTGTTCCTTGCCAGCCGAAGCCCAGACACAGTGCCCCTGTCCGTCCTCCACGCTCTCCCCACGCGTCTCGCGCAAGCATCCCTACGCCGGGGCTGTTAAAAGCAACGAAAAGATAGGGGTCTGCCTGGCACTTACGGCTCAAAGGGCCTCTCGTGACTTCTCCCCTCACTTCTCTGACCACGCTAAATAACCAGTCCTTCCTCCTAGCTACCCTCCTGCCTACACACACACACACACACACACACACACACACACACACACACACACCTGCATCTCAGGCCCCTCCAATGCCTACTCTGGTGTCCCTATTATTCCCGGACATTTCTTGTACTTGTATTGGCTTGCTCTCTGTGCTTTGCCTCTGCCAAAAAGAAGGAATCTTCATCTGTCTGGTTTGCTAACCTATCCCCAACCCCTAGCACCGGGAAGAGTATATGGTTCACAGTGAGTGAGTCATTACCTATTTGATGATTAAACGTTTAGATCAAAGTTTCACAGAACCAGAGAAGACAGTTCCTTAATGGTTTCTTAGAGGAGGATCTTCCTGTCAGTTGGAAATCTTCAGAATATACAGGTGTTTCCTGGCCCTGGAAGCCAGACAGAGCAGAAAGTTGTGAAAAACAGCTGGCTCTGCTGCCTGTGGGTCGATCCCAAACACGATGTTTCTTTCCAGGCCTGAAAATCGACGGACACTGTCCAACACCACGAGATTGCCCGTGACATCTGACGCATTTCTGAGCCGTATTAAATTAGATTCCTCATTGGACTCAGAACTTTTTCTCTTCCTCATTGCTCTTTGAAGTTGAGACCTATATATTTCTGCCTCATTTGCTGTGCTGCACAGCACAGCAATATCCTTGCAGGAATAACCTTCCTTCAAGAGAAGTTGGCATTTCTCTGCGATACAAGCCACTATCTCCTCCAAGCTGGAGTACTCCATTATCTCCAAGTGGCCTGGGACACCCTGAGCCCATTCAGCTTCAGACAGCATCTGCAGGGACCCAGTGGGGATGTTAGGTGGTGGATTTTCTCTGACCTCGTGCATTATTTCCTGTAGGTAGTTGGCTATCGGATCTGCATTGCGGACCACTCTAGTGAGCGCTTCTCTCGGATACTGGTTTCTGAGATAGGGGAGGCCACTGTGTTCCAGGTGGCTAGTCTGATAGTAGTCCAGAAAGATCCAGAGAATTCCAGGGCACTCCTTTTCTTTCCGAATGATGGCTTTTGCCTTCTTATACCAGCTCCCATTTTCAAGGCGGAAATTCTGAGCTTCATCGATGATGATGTGTTTAATCTTTTCAACGTCTGAGCTGTTTTTCATGAAGGCTTTTCGAGTCATTGCCCGGCAGATGTTTCTGTGGCTGAAAATGTAAGAAACACGGTTACGTTTCCCCAATAAAACAAAGGGAGTCCATGCTAGTCTGAATTTCCTTTGGGCATAATAAATACAATATGACCCTTAACGTAAACTTAAAGCCACCGCAGTCAAACGTACGTTAAGAAAAGAAAAGTGAACAGAGTCCTACCTCACAAACTCCTGTAGGGGCTTGTTTTCACAGATGTAAAGAATTTCACTCGGTTGACAGTGAAACACATTACTGATCTTTTCCATGATCTTCAGAGCCAGGATGGTCTTCCCCGACCCAGGCAAGCCGTGCACAAACAGCTCTCGGGTCTTGCGAAGGTTCTTGGAAAGCAACTCGTACTGTTTATCTGTGAGCAGGTTCAAAACCTCAGAGCCCAGCTCTTCACTTAAGAGAGATCTGAACCCACGCACAACTATCACCAGGGACTGTAACAGAGCTTCCATTTGCTGCGTGGTCATCAGTTGATAGGACTCAGGGTATCTCTGTGACTCGGAATAACAAAAGCCCGTGCGTGCGGCCTCAGAATTCAGCAGGAAGGCATGGGGAATGATGCACAATTTTTCAGTGTAGCCACCTGTGTTCACCAGCTTCAGCTTTAAGGCGTGAGCGACTCTTATACAATAATCCTTCCAGCGAGGGCTGTGCTCTCTGAAGATGGTGATGAGGACTGGCTTTGTGTACTGGGAAAGCAGGAGGGCATCGCAGATGACACCCTGCTCCTCCGGCAGCCCCACATCCACGGCCCAGCTTCGAGAGAAAATCAATATTCCTCGAGTGATATTACGCAGTTGCATATGTATTAAATTCCTGAGTCCTTTATGTTGCGAGAACAGTTCTTTGTAGAGGCTCTGTGGTCTGTACAAAATACCGTCGGAGGGAACTAGGCAGGGGAAGAATTGGACTTGATTAGAGAACTCGCCATCACACTAGCAGTCATCATTCTACGTAACAGATCCAATCCACCTTAGCATCTCCCGTGTGTTAGTACCAGGTTGTGCATCAGGAACGACAAGATAAAGCGATTCCGAGCCAATGGAGAGAATACGCGACAGCCACACACAGAGACAGACGGTCATTACCACACAACGTGGTGAATTAATGGGAAAGAAGCGCACAAAGCATTACGCGAACTCCAAAGAGAGGCGCTGCCCAGAAGAGGGCATGAAGGTCTTTGTGGAGAAGGAAACATCTGAGCCGCTTCTTTGGGAGGTAGACTGGGAGTTAGCCAGGGCAGGGAGGGGAGGTGGGGAGACCCGCAAACCCGCACAGGAAGAAGGCTCGGGGCGGGGGGGGCGAGAAACAGCAAGGTGCCTTCAGGCACCTGCGGGCAGTCTGGGTGGCTGACGTCTAAAGTGAGAGGCAAAAAAGTGGAGATGGGGAGGCAGGCGCTGCCCGGCCGTGTTCACGCCGGGCCGTGCTGACCGCGGTTAGCAACGCTGCATCGGCTGGGATGTGCCTGCGAGCCGCTGAGAGAGACCCCCGCTGTTCTCAGCGCACACTCGCACGAAGGGATGGGTAGGTCACCTGGTCTCACCGCGGTAGCCATGTCACAGTATATACGTGTATGAAATCGCCACGCGACACGCCGTCCCCAGGGTGGCGTGTCCGCCATAGCTCCGTAAAGCTGGGGGGGACCCCTGGCGGAGGTGACATGCCTGTGACCTCGCCCACACGGGGGTGGGTGCGGCCTGCCTTTCACACGGTGCTCTGTGAAAGGCAGGCTGCAGGGACGAGGAACAGATCGTGGCTCCTAGGGGTCAGGGGTGGGAGGAGCCTTTGGCTCCGAAGGGGCAGCAGGACAGAACCGTTTTGGGGGATGGGATTGTTGTGTCTCTTGACTGTCATGGTGGCAGGCAAATCTACACTTTTTTTTTTTTAAGATTTAATCTATTTATTTTTAGAAAGGGAAGGGGGGGGAGAGAGAGAGAGACATCAATGTGCGGTTGCAGGGGGTCATCGCCTGCAACCCAGGCATGTACCCTGACTGGGAATCGAACCTGCGACACAGCCCGCGCTCAATCCACTGAGCTACGCCAGCCAGGGCAGATCTACACGTTTTAAAACCCTTTCACCTGTGTACGAATAAAAGCCCATTTTACACTTGTAATTTTTCAAAATTAATTCTTAAAAGTGCTTTTTAAAAACCAGTTTGGCTTTTCATACACACGCGCGTGTGTGTGCACACACACTCACACACACACACACACAAAGTTCACCTTTTGGGTCACAAGCCCAAATTTGGAATCTCACCAAAACTAGGAGCCCTCCCATTAGAAAAAAAAATACAATACACACAAAATTTGAATTTTTAATTCCACACAGAGGGAAGAGACAGGAATGAATCCAGATCTCTGTGCTGGGCTGGATGGAGGATGGACTCTTCAATTGGTAAACATAACGTGAAAAGGATACTTAACGTGAAAAGGATACTTAACGTGAAAAGAATACTTAGCCAGACTACAAAGAAGAAATAGAAGATTGTGGGAGTGAGAGATTTTGGAAAGGCTCATCCTGGGACTCCTGTGGTGCACCGAGCTGTCCAGCAAGCAACTGGACACACCAGTAAAGTCTGCCTGGGTTCAGAGAAGTACTATTTTCTAGAAAAGGGGACTGAGGTAAGGGTGCCTCCTATTACTGTTTCCATTTAACATCATTCTAGGATTATGGGCCTGTAAACTGAACTGTAAAGGAAATAATGTATATAAATATAGGAAAAGTTAGTTCGAAATTACCTTTGCTTTTGCATTAATAAAAGCATTAAGGAGAATGTTTGGAAATGGCAATAACTTAAAACTCTGAGCTTTCCTACCTGCCAGCAATTCACAATAAAAAATGATCATATAAAGATCTCATTAAGCCCTGGCTGGCGTAGCTCAGTGGATTGAGCGTGGGCTGCGAACCAAAGTGTCACAGGTTCGATTCCCAGTCAGGGTACATGCCTGGGTTGCAGGCCATGACCCCCAGCAACCACACATTGATGTTTCTCTCTCTCTCTCTATCTCCCTCCCTTCTCTCTCTAAAAATAAATAAATAAAATCTTTAAAAAAAATCTCATTATAGGAATAAAATTTAACATACATGGTAACAATATGGATAAAACTCTGAAACTGTTAAGTTATATACCATATTTCACTGAGTATAAGTGTACTTTAATATCTCTTAATTTAAGATATATCCTATAGCCTAACAGACAATACTTTAGTGGTAAGTCAAATAATATGCAATATTGTTTTCCTAAATTTGATGAAATATGGTAAGACTTAAATAAACGGCCAAACATTCCATGTTCAACCATGAGAAAATTCACTGTTGTAAAAAATGACAATTCTTTCCAAATTAACTTATCAATTTTATGAAATTGCCACCAAAATAACCTCATAGTATCCTTTCCTCTTTTTTTGTGGAATGAAATAATTCTAAGCTTCCCAGAGAGAAATGCCATGATAACATCATTTGGGAAAGTGTACTCTGGTATGTTTGGAGTTGCAGTTTGTCAAATATTCACCTAAGGTTACAGGGTTAAAGTAGCGATAGAGGGGGTGTTTGTGAAGCACTGATTTTTGACCCGGGGGGTGGTCACGCAGGTTTCACTGCACAATTACTCATTAAGTTACAGCGTGGCTCCAGGTGCTTTCTGTATACATAGCACATTTCACAGTAAGAACTGCAAAGACGGAGTAACATCCATGTTGAAGGACACTATGAAATACTATATGGTCAGTGAAAGAATTGGGTAAATCTATGAGTTAACTTGGGACAAGACGTCCATACACATTACTCAGGTGTAACCCTGCGCTTGCATGGAGCTGTGGTAGGTTCATTCTCACTGCCAAATAATGTTCCACTGTGTGAGTGTGCTGCAATGTATTTATGCATTATTGTGGCAATAGGTAATTTGGTTGTTTCCTGTTTGGGGCTATTACAAAAAGAGAACTTACGAACACTATGAGATATTGGCATACCTCTAATCATAACCATTTCCAGCTGCCTGTGTACACATTTTACTTTAGAAACTAGAAGGAATTGCTGAATGGTTGAGTATGCAAATAACCAAGTACACATGGTAATGTCAAATTTGTTTCCCAAAGGGATCAGACCAACTTAAATCCCCAGCCAGGATATGAAAAGGATCCTGATTTCCCACAGCCTCTGCAACACCTGCTATGGTTAGTATCTCTTCACATCGTTATTGGGCATATATGCGTTTCCTTGTCTGAGAAAGTCATCTTTATAACTACTGCCCATTTCCTCTACTGGGTTGTTCTTTTAAAAATTTATATAAGTTCTACCTGGCTGGCGTAGCTCAGTGGATTGAGCGTGGGCTGCAAACCAAAGTGTTGTAGGTTCGATTCCCAGTCAGGGCACATGCCTGGGTTGCAGGCCACGGCCCCCAGCAACCACACATTGATGTTTCTCTCTCTCTCTCTTTCTCCCTCCCTTCCCTCTCTAAAAATAAAATAAATAAAATCTTTAAAAAAATTTATATAAGTTCTTTGTATCTTCTTGATACCAAACCTTCGTCAACTACATGGATTGTAAATATCTTTCAAGGATGTAGTTAAATCTTATCGCCTTTTGAGGAGCAGCAGTTCTTCATTTTAATATAGTAAAACTTATCAGTTTTTAAGTTTAATTCATTTGTGTCTGGTTTAGGAAATCCTTTCCGATCTGAACGACACACAATTATTTGTGCACGTTTTCCAATAAAAATTGAAAAGGTTCTTTTCTGATATTGACGTCCTAAAACCTTCTGGGATTGATTTTTTTTTCTATAGCATGAAAAGGGAGTCCACTTCTACTTTTTTCCCCGCATGGACGAGCAACCCACCTGTTTCCAAAGCAACCATCGATATGAATTACCTGGGAAATAACACTTCTGCTGTTCTTTCAAACATTCCAAATTCTTATGAGTGCACACGGCTCTGCTGCGAGGTGTCGTGGATGACAGACTCAGCTCCAGTAACATCTCAGAAAATCTGGAAAGATCTTAGGAAACAGGAATGAAGGGTTCAATATGCAAAAAGCTGACCCCCCCGCCACACACACACCTGATAGCTGCGCTGTGTTGCAGTCTCACACTTAGTCTTAGAACTCAAGTGTTGGCCCGCAGAGATTTTTGATTGACATCCCAAGTCCGCTCACAAAAGCCTGCTGATGTCTCAGGGAGTGAAACTGGTGTGGAGCAAGTTTTTAGCCTTTATGTTTGAAGTTTATCCCATTGAAACGAACTATTTTTACATTTGTTGAACGCTCATACTGAAAAAATAGATTTAGAAGCTGTGCTCCTGAGCTGGTTCTGAAATGAACTTTGTTTATCTAGCCTTCTGAAGAAGGGACCGTTGATTTTCTTTTGTCTAATTGCTCTCAGGCTTTCCTTTTCCAAAGTGGACGTAAGTCAACAACTTGATTCTTCGGCTTATCGGTCATGGTGAGTATCACAGGTTGGCTCTCAAAAGGAAGAGTGGGAAAGGAGAGAGACAGGCATGGCTTGGTCATCTTTTAGCTCAAAAATGAGAATGGGCTAATAAGAAAGGGAGAATATTGCCCCAGCTGGTGTGGCTCAGTGGATTGAGTACCAGCCTATGAACCAAAGGATCACCAATTCGATTCCCAGTCAGAGCACATGCCTGGGTTGCGGGCCAGGTCCCCAGCAGGGGGCATGAGAGAGGCAACCACACACTGATGTTTCACTCCCTCTCTTTCTCCTTCCTTTCCCCTCTCCCTAAAAATAAATAAATAAAATCTTAAAAAAAAAAGAAAGGGAGACTATTTAATCCAGGAAACCATACAAAATGGGAAGTCGGGGGGAAGTGAAAAGGAATTTTCTAAATAATTAAATGTTGCACTTATAATCAAAAAAGGAAAGAAGAAACTTGAATATGAACCCAAGAAAGGATGTGAAGATAGGAATGATTAAGTCTATCATACAGCCCCATCGTACCACCCTCTAGTGGGCCAGCCAGCCTCGGGCATCTGCTGTACACAGGGTATTTGAGGTGGGCGGAGGGACAGAAGGGCCATGCCCAGCAACTGCATCTATGGGGATTCATGAATCAGATGGGTGCAACTCAGAGAGTGCCTTTCTTTCCCAGGATTCGGAAACAACACCTCCCTCTCCTCCCTTCTCCCTCTTCTCCCCCCACCCCCAGCAACATTACGGTGCTGGTGGATTCTGCTCCCTGACCTGGGTCTTCTTCTGTCATCCAAGCAACCCATTCCTTGATGGTCAGCTGGGTCACACAGTTGTCCTTCACCTGCCAGGAACTAGGCTGTTTGGCAAACACTGCACAGCAGAACGGTTCCACCTTGACTGCGCACACGTATCCGTGGAGGGCCCCCTGATCGCGGACTTCAAGGAATTTGATTTTAAATTTTATCTCATGCTTCTTGCTACAGAAGTGATGGACCGGTAACTTCCTAATACAGCTACCAATGGAGTCCTTCAGGGTCGAAAGATCTGCTCTTTCTTTTTCACATCCGATGACTTGAAGGGTATCCTCATGCACCCCCCAAAATATGTACCCTCCTTCAGCGTTTGCAAATGCAGACACACAACTGCGGAGGCTGTCCCTGAAGCATTCTGACACTTCTGCTGGGAACATTTTAAATTCGACATGGGTGGACTTCGTAAAGCTGAGCTTTTCCAGGTACCGAAGGTGAGGTCTGTCGAATAAAGCAGCGGCGGAGGCCTTTATGTTACTTTCGTTTTGCACGCCACCCTGAACATTCTGTGCACCTGACAGACTGGGACCATGAATATTCGGAGGAGCCTGAATCTTCCCCTTGAGGAACTCCACTGCCTCCTGAGAGGTCATGACATTGGTCGATGTCTTATGTCTGTGGTACAAATTGGAGCACAGAGTAGCAAGCCGTATGCGGGAGGACTTGGCGTTCCAGGACTTCACAAAAATAAGAAAGAGGTCTCTCTCTTGCATCTCATCTAAATAACCTTTGAAAATCGGATGCTCATTCAGTCCTACTCCGTGCATCACATAATTGTAGCCTTCGTTGGCCTTGATCTTGACCACTCCCCCGCCAGAGTTCAGCAGAGCGCATATGGCTTGCGAGACAGCCTCGTCCTGTGTCTTCTGAAGATGAGGGTCCATCTCCTCCCTCTCCCGCCTGCCGAGGATGACTGCTCCCACGTTGATAACATACTCAGCGAAGTTTGGGTCCAAATCAATCTTGAGACTCATCTTCTCAGCACTCTTCCTAGTCTTGCCCTGAAATATCCTCCTAAAAAAAAACAGGAAGATAGAACCATTAGACTAGGACAAGCATAGGGGAGGTAAGAAATGGAGAGGTCCACGCCCCCCTTCTGAAGTGGGTCACACCATTTATTGCCACGGAACTCGAGACCAGATTCAGTCCCGAAGGAAGGGCACACAACCGGCTGAGGAGCCGTGTCCGCTGGGAGCCCACTGCCACCACAGAGGTGACCAGGAGGCTATTTTCATGCTGATTTTAGTCACTGTTTCTGCCCGGCTCTCTAAATGACAAGATCTCTCAAGACCCCTGCGGAGAACAGGAAGTATTACATCTTCCCACCACACCGCCAGACTGAAAGCGGAGGTGATGACACACACCCCGCAGCTGCTAATCTTTGGCCAGTCCGTGGCAGCCGAGCAAGAAGAAGGAGCCATTAATCTACTTCCCACAGAATCAAGAAACCCTCTAGCATGAGAGACTTCACTGTGAACCAAGAAGATGTCACGCTATCTGGACAGCGTCCTAGCTCTGTCATGCCCCCCCTCCACACACACATATGTCCTTCCTCAAATACCTGGGTGCACGGATCAAGCGATGAAACCTAAGAGAGAAGCAAACACCCCCCGGATGGGCGTGAAGACAGAGCCCAGGGTGGCAGCTGTGGGACGGGCCTAAAGGATCACCAGCCAACGCTGGAGCGAGATGGTGGCGGGCTCCAGGGAGCGGCACCTGGGACTGTCCGCGGGATGGAATTTAATGAGTTGGCCAGCTGAGGAGGTGGAGACTTTGAGAACACATCAGTGATAGGGATTTAGGAAAATGTGCAAATGCAGACACAATATGTGACAGTAACTAAGATGAAAATTAAAAGTAGTATGGAAAATAAAAATATAATTGGCACAAGTATAAATAAAATGACAGTCATGATAATATAAACTCTGAATACTGTCCTGATCAGGAAGGACGATAGAGTTGTGCTGTCAGGATGTGGGGGGAGAGAGCACAAGGAGAGAAGTGTGTGACATTGATTCCTCTATCTCCAGAAACAGGCGATGTCTGAAACTGTGGGGGAGGGTGTTGGAGAGAGCACAGGTGTGGCTAGGAATACGCAGTCAAATGCCAGAAGGAAAAGCCAACGGGGCAAGAGCGGGAAGAGCGGATGAGGGTGTGGGCCGTGGGATTTCTTCTTGTCTGTTACAGAACCATGGCTTTCAAAAACTGGATCCATGAGACTCCTGCTTCCAGTCAGAGGAGAGTACCAGGGACTGGGTTACTCTCCTGCCTGAAACAGCTCAAACATTTTTGAAGAAATAATGGCCAGAAAATGCCCACAGTTGGTGTACATTATGCAAAATCAAGATGAAGATCCAAGATATTCAACAAGCACAAGAAACAGGAAGAATGCTACACCAAGCGCATCACCATTAATTTGCTCAAAACTAGTGATTAAGAGAAAATCTTAAAAGTAATCAGAGGAAAAAGGTATATAATATATAGAGGAACAGAAAGTGAGACTACATTTTTTTTTGTCAGAAACAAAGCAACATCTTTAAATCACTGAAAGAAGAAAAACACACTCAACCTGGAGTCTGATGCCCAGTGAGAATACCTTTCACAATTTGGTTAACTCAACAACGAAAAGACAAGCAATCCCATTTTTAAAATGGACAAAGGACTCAAACAGACATTTCTCCAAAGAAGACGCATAAAGGACCAATAAGCACATGAAAAAACGCTCAACATCATTGGTGCTTAGGGGCATGTGACTCCAAAGCACAGGGAGACACCAATTTGCATCTTCTTGGATAATAACAATAATAGTAAAAGGGAAATAGCAAGTGTTGGTGAGGATACAGAGAAATGGAGTCCCTATACATTGCTGATGGGAATATAAAATGCTGCCACCATTGTGGGAAGCTGTTTGGAAGTTCTTCCAAAAGCCAGCAGCGCCACCCGTAAGTATATATCAAACAGAACTGGGAAAAGGCAATCGAACAAATCGGTGAAATGCAAATGGGTCGTGAATGTTCGCAGCAACCAGAAGGTGTAAACGGCTCAAATGTCTATCCACAGACACACGGATAAACACATTTGTGCCGCATCCACCCAACAGAACGTTATTCAGCCACAGAAAGGAATAAAATACTGCTACACGCTTCCACAGGGATGAACACTGTGGTAAGTGCAAGAGCCAGACACAGAAGTTCATTGTTACGCACTGGGTGCTTCTGTCCCCTGGGACGTCCATGCTGAAACTCTCATCTCTGTTGGGATGGCATTAGGAGGCAGAGCTTTTAGGGAGTAATTAGGTCACAAGGGTGGAGCCCTTAGGATGGGACTAGTGCCCTTATAGGAAGAGACACCAAAATACATTAAAAGTCAATATATTGGACTTTGAGAAAGTCTTTTTACTGAAAGACACAGTTAAGGGAATGGAAATACAAGCTCTTGGCTAGAAGGAAAATTTGCAAATGACATATCTGATTAAAAAAACAACTGGTATCTAACTTCTTTTTCTTTCTAACTTCTAAACAGAATGCTTGAGAGGCAATAATAAGAAAACCAACAACCAATTGAAAAATGGATACAAGATTTGAACAGGTATTTCACCGAAGAAGGTATATAGACAGCAAATAGGTACATAAAGTGATGTTCATCATCATTAGTCGCTAGGGAAGTGCCAATTAAAACTGCGATGAGATGGCGCTGCACACCTGTCAGAATGACTGAAAGGCAAGCCCACCAGGTGCTGGTGAGGATGTGGGGGGAGGGGAACTCCCATACATTCTTAGCAGAAACATAAAGAGCAACCATTTCGGAAAAGAGTGTTCTAGTTTCATACACTTCCCACATGACCCAGACATCCCACCTCTAAGAACTCAAGAGAAATGAAAACATATGTTCATACAAAGACTTGTACGTGAATGCTCATAGCACTTTCATTTGTAAAAGCCACAGACTGAAAACAAACTAAGCGCTCATCGACAGAAACACATTTTGGCTATCCACACAATGGAATAGTACTCAGCGATAAAAAGGAAGAACTATTGGTACCCACAACGTGAATGAATCTCGGAATAATTATTCTGAGTGAAAGAAGCCAGACAAGAAAGAGTACATACTAAGCCCTGGCTGGTGTAGCTCGGTGGATTGAGCATGGGCTGCGAACCAAAGCATAGCAGGTTTGATTCCCAGTCAGGGCACATGCCTGGGTTGCAGGCCAGGTCCCCAGTGGGGGTCACGTGAGAGGCAACCACACATTGATGTTTCTCTCTCTCTCTTTCTCCCTCCCTTCCCCTCTCTAAAAACAAATAAGTAAAATCTTTTAAAAAATATTCTTAAAAAAAAAGAAAGAGTACATATGGCATGATTCTGATGGGGGCTTAAGACTTAGAAAATTTTAGCTTAAGGTAAATAGCCATAAATCTAGCAAGTGATGTGTATGGTAAGCTCTTTGTTTCAGAAACTACAGATAAGGCCCATTTGGCGCCTGAGAAAAAGCGGCTCGCCTCCTAGGGTGCTGGCTAGAGATGACCGCCTGGAGACGCCTGGAGACATCATATCAGGAAGAGCAGGCGACTACCCCTCCCCCACTTGGAGACAGCTAACTGCCCAGGATAGAAGTGCTGCAGCTGCGAACTTCAAGGACTCAGACTGACTCCTTCTGTCTTCCCCTATGACCCCCTTATAAAAGATCTGGCCAGGAAAGAAAGGGGAAGATGGTTTGTTAGGGTATGAACCTGCCATCTTCTCGGATCGCCGGCCATCTGAATAAAGCGCCTATAAAAGATTCAATCGCTGTCATTGCTTATTGGATTTGGTAGCCCGAACGCTGGTATCTTTTCCCGTTACAATTCCATCTGTATAAAATGTTAGTAAAATGAAAACTAGTCTATAGTGACTGAAAGCCAGTCCTGTGTTGTTTGGGGGTGGGAGTGGGGGGCGGAGGAGTGAGGGGGGTGGTTACAAAAGGGCTCTTGGGAGTGACATATATGTTCACTATCTGGATGGCTGTGATGACTTCATATGTCAAAACGTATCAAATTGTACACTTCAAGTATGTGCAGTTTATTGCCTGTCAAAAATACCCCACAAGGCTATTAAAAACTACATAGATGAATAATTATTAAAAATAAGTAAAAGGTGCCCTGGCTGATGTGACTCAGTGGACTGAGCGCCAGTCTGCGAACCAAAGGGTTGCCAGTTAGAGTCCCAATCAGGATACATTACCGGGTTGCAGGCCCCCAGTAGGGGGCGCATGAGAGGCAACCACACATTGATGCTTCCCTCCCTTCCCCTCTCTCTAAATTAATTAATTTAAAAAATAAGTAAAAAGGTATTTCACTATAATACAATGAACTCAATCACCTGCTAGGAGTGTAAATTGATGCGCCTGCTATGACTGAGTTGTTTCCATAGAAAGTGGATTTAGCATAGGATTCGTCTTACGGGGGCTCTTGTGCGCCTCCCTGTTCATTGGGTAATAACCACGCCCCCGCACCCTGCCCCTTCCCTCGCGCGTCTCAAATGCACACTTCTCACTGTGAAGGACAGCAAGCCACTGTAATGGCCAGTGAAAATTACATCAGCAAAATCAGAGAACACGCTCTCTCTTCCTTACAGATGCATAAAAGCAAAAAAAAAAAAAAAAAAGTATTCTATTTCATTTAAGTTGCCCTAGCAAAAGAATCTTCCAAGTCACCTGGTCTTCAGAAACTGCCTCCCTGGCCGGGGACGCGCCTGTGAGCCCGGACGAGCGCTGTGAGTGGTTGTTTACTTAACGTCCGGTTGCAACAATCCTCTTGAAATTGACTTGTTTTCTGAAACGCATCGACACCTGTCCGTTTTCACAGCCAGGCCAGTCTTCCACTTGCAAGAAAGCACTAAAACTCGGGGTTGCTCATGTTCTCATTTAATCGGAAGCGTTGGGGTCTTGTGCCCTTCGAAAGAGCATATCCGACACAGGAGGCCGTTGCGGCGCCCCTCCTCCGGCCACAGGAACTCTCACCTCCTCCACGCTCGAGAGAGTCAAACTGAGTCTAGTTTCTCTTTCCCCGCCAAGCCAGGCTCCTCTCCCGTTTCCGGAGCGGCAAAACCAAGCAAATATTAGGTAGCGACCCCGCCCGTTTCCCCCGGGAGAGTCCGCGCCGAGACCGCCGTGCGTGTGGGTGAACCCGCAGGAGCCCCGCAAAAGCCCCGCAGGCCAGCGTCCCCTGCCCACCGCACTGGTCCACGAGGATCCCTTTCTGGTTTCTAGAGAGCCACGTGCAGAGAAGTGGACCAAAGCCACGCCCCGCGGCCCAGCCTCTGCGGCCAGAGTCCACAAGAGCCCTCTCGACCCACTCGATGGGGGGGGGCGGGGGGGCGGGTTCGGGGGACTGCGCTGGCAGCCCGGCCGCACGCGCCCCCCCCGCCCCCGCTCCCGTGGGAGCTGTTCTGTGTGAGGATGGCGCGCGGAGCCTGGGGCGCCCAGGCTTTCCACGGAGCACAGCCTCGCGCAATGACCTGGACCCCGACCCCGTCCGTCCCCCGGGGGAGCCTCGGTGCCCGACGTAGCGGTTTCCTTTCAACTTCCTCCAGCTCCCGGACCGTGGGGAAATCTCACGGGCTCGGGTTGGGGAGATCTGGGCTGCGAGGCTGCGCGCCTCTCCTTCCTCCCCGGCTGCCCGGGCGCGGCAAAGCTCCCCGCTCCGCGTCCTCCACTGCCCATCCGTGGGAAGCTGCTGCTGCTCCTGAGTGGACTCCACAGACCCAGGCTCCCGAGCGGGAACGGCGCTCCCGGGGCAGCGACCAGGCCCGCGGGCTGCGGCCGCTACACCCCGCCTCCGTCCCTGCGGGGTCGGAGACGCGCGCGGACCCGGGGAGGCGGAAAACCCAGCTTTTGGCGGGCCCGGGTCAAGGGGCGCGCGGGGACTCATTACCCGTCAAGGCTTCCGCTCAGCAGCGCGCCTGCCTCCTGGAGAAAGCGGAGAAAGAGGACAGAGCGGAGAAAGCGACGGCGTCTCCCGAGTCCGGAGCAACGGCTTTGGCCCTGCAGGGTCGCGTCCTTTTATCAGCTGATCTGGGTGGCAGCTCGCGAGGCGGGGCTCTGCCGCGGCTGGGGGCTGGGGGACAAGGGGTGGGGGCGGGGAGACAGACGGCTGGGTCGACAGTTTCGTTTCTGTGAACCGGGAGCTCCACCCCTGCCCGGACGGCAGCCTCGGTCACAATCAGCCCAAGAGAGACTTATCTCTCTCTCTTTTTTTTTTTTCTTTTGCGTTTCTTAATTTTTTGTGCTTTTTAAATTTTTTTCACTGTTGTCCAATTACAGTTGTTCCCATTTTCCCGCCCTCGCTCTTCCCTTCTCCGCCCACCGCCCTCCCATATTCAATCCTCCCCCTCCCCCTCCCCCACCTCTACCCCGTGGTCCTTGACCTTGGGAATGCTCCTTCGTATGCCAGTTCCTTGACTTGTCCCTTCTTCCCCGTCCTTGCCCCGTTACCCCCCTGCCCGCTCCCCTCTGGTCACTGCCGATTCGCTCTTTGTTTCCTCGACTCTGGTTCTGTTTGGCTCGCCCGTTTGTGAAATGAGACACCACAGCGAGACAGGTTGGAGCGTCTCGGAAGACAGCCCGCGCGTGAGCCCGGTCCCCGAAAGGCTGGGTCGCGCGGGTTCAGGTGGGCTGTCCCGAGCAGAAGCTGTTTGTGAGGCCCACGGCCAACTTGTGCAAGATCGAAGTTTGAGGTTAATTTTCGAGGGACCTGTTAAGTACCAGAAGGGGCCTACAGGAAGAAGAAAGCTCCCACCTCAGGCATTGAAAAGAAGAGTTATCACCCGGGCCCCACGCGATGGAGGCGGTTTCCTTCTTTGTTGTTTCTTTGTTTTCTGATTAGTTTTCTTTCTGAGAGTACTCTCCCCCCACCTGGGAAGGGATTTCCTGGTGCAACCCCGCCCCCCGCCTCCGCCCCGCGCGCCCTAACCCTGGCCGGACCCCAGGCTCCTGCACGCGCGCGCATCTCTCGCCCCATCGCCTCCAGCCCCTGGCTGGCGGCTGGAATTGGGGGATCCGCGCCCCCATCTCTCGCTCGCTCGGGAGGAGCTGGGAGCAGAGGATGAGTCCTCCACTTTCGCCCATCCCCACCCCAGAACTGGATAAAATGGGCTCTGCCCCCTTTCTTTCGAGAGCGCTTTGATTTGTGGAAGCCGATGCCCGCTGCTAACCAAAAGCTGCCGGGAGGGCCCGCAGCTTGCTAGAACTTGGCAGGATCAGGCGACGGCGTTTTGGTGCGAGAAAAAGGAAAATGTCCCCTCGATTCACTGGCTCACACCCAGGTCCTGCCCAAGACCACAGTTTTCAGTTTGTTTGCCCTAAGGTTATTACCAAGCGTCTTCTGGGCGCCACAGAAGGATCTGGCTCCGCGCCGGGGTCCGCGCGGGTCAGTCCACCCCTGGCCGCGCCCTTGGCGAGCGCTGCTGCTGGGCGGTGGGGAGTCAGGAACCCAAGAGGCAGCCCCGAGGGGCGAAAGGGGCGAGGGGCCAGCGGCTAGGTGACGGACCCCAGCCCTCGCCCCCAGGGGCGTTAAGTAGCATTTAGGGAGCCCTGGGGCGTTCAGTTCATTGCTGGCTGCAACTGCTCCTCCGGTGGTGCGCCCTCTGTCTTCCTTCCTGGCCCTCGGGACAACCTGGGGAACAGTGTGTCTCCATCTCACTGTCTCCAGGCCCCGCACCCACGGCCCGGAGGACCGCTACAGCCCGCCCAGCAAACTGTCCCCAAGAGCTGGAGTTCTCAGTGAACGGGCCCCCTATGGAGCCCTGGACAGGTGGGGACCCGGCCGCTGCAATCTGGACAGGGGGGACTCGTGGGTCTAGGTCACTTCTCAGGACAGGGTCGGGGATCAGGCCCCACCAGACCGACCCATTGGGCCAATGGGAAAAAGGCTGGGAGAGGTCACTGTAAGACCACAGGGTCTCGGTGGTGAGTCTACCCTGCTATCCAAAATTCCTGCTCCTAAAGGACTGGTCCCTCCCACCAGGGGACTCTGCTGAGCTGGGGAGGCCAGGACAGACCAGCGTGCTGGCCAGTGACCAGAAAATCCAAGCCCGGGAACGTGTGCAAGAGACCACCTGTGGTCATCTCTGGGGGCTGGAGTTATAGGGGATTTTAGGGGTCCCGTCTGTTTCAGTCTCGCAAATGTGACTCAGCTCTGTGTGAAAAACCTACAGAAGCGAGGTGGTGGGCAGGAGCCAGACCTTCAAACCGAGTTTTCCCGTGGGAATCAGGCCTAGAAAATGCATACTGGCTGTTATGACTTGCTCTCACTAAAACTCCATCGCCCTGGTCTAAAACAGCAAATGTGTATCGTCTATCTTCCAGGTAATTCCCAAAGCCTGTGTGAATTCTCCCAAGGACAGAGCTAATCAGCTCACCGCCTTTCCCTTCTGCATGTTATTTTCATTCCCTGGAATGCACCTAAAATGTGGACAACACTATTCTGTGTAATAGATAATACATCCTTCTTGGATGTCAGGCCCGAGAAAAACAAGAAAAGCCTGTCTAGGCAAGGGTCGGGGCGCTCTCCCCTTGAGAGAGTGGCCGAGCCGTCCCCCTTTTCTCCCCAGTATTGCTGTTGTCCGTGCATTTATTCTCATCTTCAGTCACAACAGGCGGACTCTGCTGGCCGGAGTCCACCACAGGGTATGACTCCTTAATTTTTAGAAGTATTCTCAGATCGCTAAGGGCTACGGAAAGTACAGAAACAATGGTCATTTGAACTCCCCTGTATTCACCCGTTATTTGGAGTGGAAAGATGTGAAGGCAAAATGTGATTCGTTCTTAGCCATCTCCTCGACATTAAAAGTAAAACGCTCAAGTCTGGTCTGTCCGAGAGTAGGACATGCCAAGAGCCACCTCGGGTCACTCGGGTGTGCACGCACACACACTCTCAGTCGATGCAACTTTGTGCCGTTTTTCTCAACGCGCTCAGCAGGGAGCAAGCGAACAGGAAGTGAGGTGGGTTAAAGGGACGTGTGGCCCCGTAAGTTTCAAGCAGTCTCTCCGGAGGGAGAATCGCTGCCTGGGCCAGCCCCGTGTCAGTGACCCTGCCAGCACCTGGGTGGAGGTCACAGTACGGTCGGGAGCTGCATGCCTTGGTCTGTATGTCTTGGCCCATAGAAAGCCCTGATCGGCGTTCTTGGTGAGAGACACGGAGGAGACTGGGGCCGAGGCCCCCTGCTCCGTGATGGGGAGCCCAGTCAGGCTTTTATGCCAACACTTTTGTGAGGATGCTACGGGTTACAGCAGCTGGGGGTTTCCGCTCGGAGCATTATCAGCGCCTCCACAGACTTTCTTGTTTACAGTCCTCACTTCTCAGGCGAAAGCATATCTTCTGTTGTCTTCTTTTTTACTTTTGTCGGTAACAACAAATTTTAAAAATAATTTTTATCCTGGCTGGTGTAGCTCAGTGGATTGAGTGCGGGCTTCAACCAAAGCGTCGCAGGTTCGATTCCCAGCCAGGGCACATGCCTGGGTTGCAGGCTATGGCCCCCAGCAACCGCACATTGAGGTTTCTCTCTCTCTCTTTCTCCCTCCCTTCCCTCTCTAAAAACAAACAAATAAACAAACAAACAAATAAATAAAATCTTTAAAAATAATAACAATAATTTTTACATAAACCTGTTTTGATGTTTTTTTTTTTAATCCTTACCCAAGGATGTGTTTTTATCGATTTTAGAAAGAGAGGAAGGGGGAGAGAGAGAGAAACATCGATAGGCTGCCTCCCATGTGTGCCCTGACTGGGGATCAAACCCACAACCTAGGCATGTGCCTGGACCAGTAATTGAACTCACAAGCTTTTGGTGCCCAAGAGGACGCTCCAGCCAACTGAGCCACCCGACCAGTGCTTGGTGTTTCTTAAGAACGATGTTTGTCGTTGGACAAAGTGGGGTGAAATCTCGCCGTGAGTTTACCAGGAGGAGGGATGAGGCCCCTTTACAAGCGAGTATGCAGACCACACCCATCAGAGACCATGGTGGGGTGAATCTGGGTTCTCTGGCCCTCCTGGCACCCACCCTGAGTCCCAGAAGCCTCCTGGTGTTTTCCCTGTCCTAGGGGGCGATGATGCTTTTCCTAAAGGAGCCCGCTTGTGGGAGCCCAATGTTCTGTTTGCTTTGCATGTGTAGGAAAGAGAAAGTGTGGCTTAGAATTCTCCCTCTGCGCCCTCCCTCAGACCTGTAGCTCACTGAGAACGAACGAGGTGGGCAGAATGATGGCCTCCC